AAACTATGCTGCCATGACCCACACTGGAGTGTTTCACTAATTCCTTCTTCAACTTCTGAGCCTGTCAAGTTGACACAGTTAACTTTACCCACTGCAAGAATCACAAGGTGTTATTTTATTTGGGCATTTCCAGTTCTTCAGCGTCTTTGTGCAATAAAAGATTGTCTTTTCCCTCATTGCACATTGATGCTACTTTTCTCATAAGTCAGGAAGCCCTATTTGTGTGAGACTATTTTTCATTGGTTAAGTTTAATAAGTATATGTTTTAATGTTTGAAGTGTATATACTCAACACTTTTTTAGGATCATATTGGTGTTTTTCGCTTTTGCATTTCCATAAGGATTTCAGAATCAGATTTTTTTTTTATCAGTACCGGGGATCAAACTCACGACCACATGCTTGCAAGGAAGGTGCTTGTGCAACTGAGCTAAATCCCTAGCTCCCAGAATCAGCTTTTTCAAATGAGACAAAAGGGAGTGGGAAAGCTAGGCATAGTGTACATGTCTGCGATCCCAGCACCTGGGAGACTGAGCAGGAAATCATTGTGAGTTCAAGGCCAACCTGGGTTACATAGTGAGTTCAAAGCTAGCCTGAACTACGTAGTGAGAGCTTATCTCAAAGAAAGCACCGTCTCTCCCCCAAAAAGAGTGGGAGTTGATTTAAGATTGCTTTGAAATTGAAATGATGGGTTGGAAAGATTTTAAGTCTTCCCGTTCCACAAATTTGCTACATCCTTTCATTTGCAGTTAATACTGTGATGAGGTGTTGGGCAACTACAGACTTCATATACAGCAGTAGTCCCATGAGTTTATAATGGAACTGAAAAATGCCTCTTGTGTTACAACTGTTGTAAGGTTACTGTCCAGCACATTCCTCAGGTTTGTGGTGGTGCTGCTGTGTAAACAGGCCTGCAGCACTGTAAAAATTGCATGTACAGCCCCTAAGACTGAATAGTGATAATAAACAACTGGTACTCATTTGTCTATGTAGTATGCTACTTTTCATGCTGTACTTTTAGAAACTGTGTGGCATTTTATGCCTGTAGCACACCCACATGTCCTGCTTACTTTGTCTCTTGATAGTGTCAAGAGACTACAGCAGGTGATTGAGCTGCATACTATCTAGGTTTGTGAAAGTACAGCTCTATGATGTTCACACAACTACAGAATCACCCAACTGCATTTCTCAGAGCATTCTCCTGTCTTTAACAGTTTTTAGACCTTTGTAAATATCCCTCAAAAATGATTCCCTCTGTTCCTTGCAGAGGTCTTTGCACATCATTTGTTAGATTTGGTCCTAGTTGTTTGTTTTATGCTATTGTACTTTGTGTTTTAAAAATATAAATAGCCAAGAGTGGTAGTGCAGTAACCTCAGTATTTGCAAGGTCAGGGCAGGAAGATTGCAAGTTAGAGACCAGTCTGGGATCCACGGTAAGTTAAAAACTGTAGAAGACTTTCAAATAAAACAAAAAGCCATAGTTAGCTTATAGAAGCATAGTTGGTTTTTCAGTATTAACCTTGTACCCAGGATTATAAATTCACTTATTCTAACACTCTGTAGAATCCTGTGGAGTCTCTTGCTGTATAATCATATCATGTGTCGGTCTGGGGATTTAGCTCAGCCGCATAAACACCCACTTGGCAAACGTGAGGTGATGAGTTCAGTCCCCAGTACCAAAAAAAATTCATCATCATCATCTATGAATTACTGCTTTTCTTCTCCTGCTCCCTCTCCCTCTCTCTCTTCCTCTTCCCCTCTGTCTCTGTCTCTGTCTCTGTCTCTCGCTTGCTTTGTTGCACTAGCGAGGCCCTCTGAAATCGTGTTGAATTGAAGTGGTGATAATGGTCATCTCTTGTTTTCAATACAGTGTTTCTCCATTCACTGTGATACATGCTACAGACATTTTATGGCCAGTCTTACTTTTTTTCTTTTCCTGGTACTGAGGATCAAACCCATGACCTTGCACTTGCCAGGTAGGCGCTGAACTACCGAGCTAAATTGCTGGCCTTCCAATAAATTTTTATCATCAATGACTTGCATTTTGTCACATGCTTTTTCTGTACCTATTTGGATGATCATATGGTTTTCCTCCTGTTAGATACAAATTACTTTATATATGTTTGGGTTCTCCTATATAGTGGTAGATTTATTTGCCAGCACATTGAGTTATTAAGCTTGTATTCATGAGAGAGATTAGTTCCATGATTTTCCTTTCTTGCAACATTGGTGTCAGTATTTGGCATCATGGTTGCACTGGTTAATAGCCCTTGGAGCATAAGACTAATTTTGTTATTAAAGCACATGAAGATGAGTCTGTCAGACTCACTCTTTAGGATATGTCTATTGATGAATTATTAGTTATATTTTTATGAGTATTAAATAATGAGTACTTAGTGGGAAATCATGAAAATAGTGTGTTGAGTTTTTTATATTGTTCATAAAACACCAAAATTTTCAGCATCAAGTGGTTTTTGATGTACAAAGTCTAAAAAAAATTGTCAGGAAAAAAAATCTTTACTTCAGTACCGCCCCTGAGGCATCTGCACATGTGACAACAGTGTGTTCCATACCGACGCATTGCTTACACTGACAGCACGTTTCTTTTGCTTTCCTGACCTTCTTGTAGGACATACCTGACATCTCAATGGTCTTTCTATTTTGTCAGGAGGCTTATTGTATTATACAATGGGTAGTTAACAGGAGCATAAAATCTTGATAAAATACTAAACTCATAATATATATTGTGCCTTTAGAAAAGACACCAACATTTTCATATTCCTTCATACTTGCTGACAGAACCTAAGATAGCATCAGAAAGAAATTCCTATGTGAACCACAGTGAAAGCACCAAAAGAGGTCTATCATGAAAACAAGTTTTACTTTACCTGTGACACCCAAGGCAGTCTTCCCACATGACTGCTACATGTTTCATGTGCATGTCCCACACTGACAGCACGTGCACTTAGCTTTCCTTTCCTGTGTGGCAGTCTTGTTACGGCTTCTTGTTTTGTCAAGAGCTTCCTACTAAACTGCACAACATGCATTTAGCTGGAAATAGATGTCAATAAAATAAAATATTAAATATGTTATGAGTGCTTAGAATAGACATCAGCATTTTCACATCAGCTATTTACTTGCTTACCAAACCTGAAAGATAACATCAGAGATAAAACTGTGAACTACAGTGTAAACCCAAATGCAAGTCTACTGAAGAGAGCTTTGCTTCGTCAGCTGTCACACCCAAGGCAGACTTCACACATGACAGCTGTGTTTTCCATACACAAGTATCCCTTACACAGATAGCATACTATGTTTTTTTCTGTACTCTTTTGTAAGGCACAGTTAACATTTTTGTGTTTCCTTGTTGTCATAGTAGGTCTGTATGATGCTGCACCTGTCTGTCATCTGTCAGTTGATTAGTGTGTGCCACAATTTTTGGTATAGTTCCCTGAGCAGAAACATTTTGTTTTTTCTCTGCTACAAATGATCTCTTAGGAGCTCCAGTCCCAGTCCTCCTAAAATTTCTCTGTGATATTTTGCACTTGTTATCTTTTTTGTAAACTGTCAAACTATACCACATAATGGTCCTAAATGGACCAAGTAAAGTACAACCATTGGCCAGTGCTTTGTGTTTCAAATGACATCAAAGGACCTGGTATATAACTGCAGCACAGCACCTGCCTGGCGTGTTCTTGGCACACAAAAAAAGAGAATATTTCAGATGGCATCATAACAGCTGCATAACGCATTAACAACATCTATTCCACATTTGGTTTTATTGAAAGTTTCCAGCTCGTGCTTCTGTGTTGTCAAGGTTTCGTTATCAATATTTCCATCATGGTGTTACGCTGACATAGCAGTACCAGCTTGCTTTTTTCTTGCTATTTATGAGGCCAAGATTATATTTTTCTGAAATCCAAAGATGGTACTTTACAGGTCTCTGTTTTGAAATTGCAACATTTCATTTGAAATTCCTGCTTTGTTCCTGTGTGCAGTCCTTTTGCTGGCCAACTTGTGCTGTTAGCAACTGTAAGGTCAGTTGGAAACCGGGGAACCTATTGTCCAGTGTCATGCTGTGATTAGTCTGGGAGATGGGGGCAACATGTCCGTTCACCTCATTTGATTTATTACTGTACCAATAAGGACCCGATGACTGAGTTCCAGCATAAATGTGTGAATTAAAAGCGTATGTCTTCACATCTCCAAGGACATACATTTTTATGCCATGCTTGGACCCATGGCTTTTCTGTAGGTCTTGTACATCCCTGCAGGCACCATGAGAAATCTGTGCTAAGTGCAGCCGACTTCAGTTCAGCTAGTGAGGTGTCCTCATCTGTACACTTTTGAATACGGCTGTGTCTGCACAGGTTTTACTTGCAAGTCAGCCTTTGTGGTTTCATAACATCTTGTAGCATATCCTGTGTTACAGTTTCCAACGCTGGATGGCATTGCTGGCGTTCTGTCCAACACATTTCATCCCTGCCAAGACCTTCACTGTATTTTTGGACCTAGTTCTTTTTTCGTTTGTTTGTTTGTTTTCGGTCTGTTTGAGACAGGGTCTTGCTGTGCAGTTCAGGCTGGCCTTGAGCTAACTTTGTAACCCAGGCTGGCCTTGAATTCCGGGCAACCCTCCTGCCTCGGCCTGCCAAGTGCTGGAATTACAGGCACGTACCACCACGCCTGGTTGGACCTGGCTCTAACATCAGATGGTTCCGTTTGGTTGCATGGCCATTTCACAACCTTCACCTAGTGTAATATATACTCAGGTTGCTGTCGTCTGAATCAAGGAGGTCTGCATTCCCTGTGTCTGTATCAGCTGATTCTTGCTCCACTTCACAGGACCCCCAGCTCGTGGCCACCATCGAAGTCGTCGTCATCATCATCATCATCGTCGTCGTCCCATCCACCCCTCCACTCTTCTGTTATGGAAGCGTGTATTTTACCATAATGGATCACAAGCAGCCATGCATGAGTAATCTGATGATTCACTTTTTTTTTGGCATCGGGAATTGAACTCAGGATCTCGTGCTTGCCAGGAAGGTTCTGTGCCACTGAGCTAAATCCCTGGTCTTGATGACTCACTTTTGACCTTCTCCAAAACTTGCAGATCCACTTTTTCTGTGTCATTGTACTGAATTGGATTACTTCTACCAGAAAAAGTCAGAAGAAAACTTTTTCAAATAAATCCTGAAATGGTGTGGATCTGTTGGGCCCTCTGTGATCCTTGGATAAACATCTGGATAAGAATGGGTCCAAATCTGCTTTTGGAAATATTGATAACATGTGCCACTTTTGCACATGTACATACTCTGCTGTTTGTCCCGCCAAGTTGGTAAACAAATAAATTGCTTCCTATATCCTTCAGGGTAAGATATTGAGATCCACAGCTGGCTACCATGACAGTAAAGTGCAGATTTACAGTAGAAAAGTGAGGGATGGGTCCACTGGATCCAATTGTTCAGAAGTATTCATTAGTGAAACTATCTACATCCTGAAATCTTTTGTGGACAGGTTTTTAGTAGCAGATTCTATTACTTGAATAATAGCTTTGGTCCATTTGGACAGTCCTATTTTCTTTTTGGTCTGAATTTATTGGAGGGGGGAATTCTAAGGATCAAACTCACAACCTTGTGCTTGCCTGGCAGGTGCTGTGCTGCTGAGCTATATCAGTACCCCTTCTTTTTTGGTCTTTTTTTTGAGACAGAGTTTCACTGTGTAGTTCAGGCCGACCTTGAACTCACTGTGTAGGCCAGGCTGGCCTCAACTCAGCACTCCTCCTGCCTCAGCCTTCTGAGTACTGGGATTACAGGTATATGTCACCATACCCGACTCATTTGGACAGTCTGTTTCTGTCATCTTTGGTAGTTTTTATTTTTCAATAAACGTGTTCACTTCGTGTCCTTAATTAGCATAAAATGATCATATTGACTTAAAATTTCTGTAGTTATTTGTAGCTTCCCTTTTTCCTGAATCAGTTTGGCTAGAGGTTTGTGTTTTTTGAATTTTTTCAGCAAATCAGCTTTTGGCTGTGTCAGCTTTGTATGTGCTTGTTTTCCTTTCACTGCCTTGCTCGTCAGTGCGGCCTCTTAGAAAGCGAGGGCTTGGAGCGGTACAGGTGCAGCTGCGTCTCACACCTCCCTGTGTGAGCTCTTGCTTAGTATTCAGTTCAGCGTGTTGCTTAACTTAAACTTCCAGGTACTTGGTGTTTTTCCAGGTTATTTATTGTCGTCATTAATGATTTCTGACCTTTTTTGTTGTTCTTATTCCTTTCTGTGATTCTGGAGATTGAACCCAAGAAGCATTGATCTATGTCTCCAATGCTATTTATTTTTATTTTATGTATTTTCTCTCTCTCTCTCTCTCGCTCTCTCTCGCTCTGTGTGTGTGTGTGTCTTTTGAGACAGGGTCTCACTATAGATCACGTGGCCTTGAACTTACTTTATAACCCAGATTGGCGTCAAATTGACAACAATCCTCCTGCCTCAGCCTCCCAAGTGCTAGGATTATAGATGTGTACCACGCCTAGCCCCTTTATCTTTATTTTGAGAAGTTGCCCAGGCTGGCTTCAAATTTGCCATTCTGCTTCAGCCTCTAGAGTATCTGGGATTACAGTGTACAGATGAGGCAGGCACCACCATTTCCCACTGTCAAGTTTCCTTCTGGCTGGTGTTGCGTGACTTCTCTAAATTTTATTTTTTTCATCTTTACTTTCAGTCTTTCTATGAACAAATTTAAAGTTTGTCTCTTTTAAAGAATATACTTTTTGTTTAATTTAGTCTGAAGAATAGCCTTTTACATGGAGTTGGGTTTATGTTTAATTTTACTGTTATTTGCTGTTCAACTCTGTTCCCCTTGTTTTTTGGTTGTTTTAAATTAAATACTACTTTTTTCTCTAATATACAGGTATATGCCACCATATTCACTTCAGATTACTACTTTTACATTGTCGACATAATTGCTAAAATCTTAAAACCTTTACACCTTGTATTTCATTTATTGCTTTGAAGAATCACTATTAGGGGGCTGGGGATTTAGCTCAGCGGCATAAGCGCCTGCCTTGCAAGCAGGCAGTCGTGAGTTCGATCCCTGGTACCGACAAAAAGAAAAAAGACAAAAAAAAAAAAAAAAAAAAAGAATCACTATTGGGGGCTGGGGATTTAGCTCAGCGGCATAAGCGCCTGCCTTGGAAGCAGGCAGTCGTGAGTTCGATCCCCGGTACCGATAAAAAGGAAAAAGACAAAAAAAAAAAAAAAAGAAGAATCACTATTAATTTATTTCTTTACATGATGAGAAATTTCCTTTTTTGTTTGCAAATATTTTGGGCTTTTTTTTTTTAAAGACAAGGTCTTGCCATGCAGTTCAGGATGACCTTGAACGCACTATGTAGCCGAGGCGGACCTTAAACTTGTGGCAGTCCCTCTGCCTCAGCCTCCCAAGTGCTGGGATTACAGGTGTACACACCCACACCCAGCTCTTGACATTAATTTTGAAGAATATTTTTGCTGAGTATAAGATTCTAGACTGGCTGTTACTTTCTTTTTTGGCCCTTTAACACTACCATTCTGTTATATTCTGGTTTCTGGTGTTGAGACAGCTGTTGGTTTTGTTTCTTTGAAAGACATCTTTTTTGCCCCCCTTTCTCCCTTCCTCCCCTTCTTTTGGTAATTTTATTATGGTGTCCTAGGTACAGTTTTTCTCTTAATGTGATTTTTCTCTTAGCTTGGAATTGGCAAAGTATCTTGAATCTCTGGGTTGATTTCTTTCATCAGTGTTGGAAAACTCTACAGGTACTGTCTTTCTCCTGTTAGCTGGTATATGTATCACAGCAATGACTCCTCACCTCCAACCAGCAGGGATTGCTTTGCTCTCCTGTTGTGTTAAGGTTTTCAGAAGTTTTCCTATCATTTCCCTCCCTCTCGCTCTTTCTTTTGTTTGTGCTTTCTTTCTTTCTTTTTTTCTCTTCCTCCTTTTGCTTTTTAATTTGAGAGCCTAATGCCCATCTTTATGCGGGAAGACTGGGACACAGGTCTGCAAGACCCCCCAGTCTGCCCAAGGCAGGGCTTTGAAATCTGACTTGTTATTTTGTGATTCAAAACTCCCAGGGCATAGGAAGATAATGTCTTATTCCCACCCCAACTCCTTAACATCAGGAGAACCTTCTCACACTGTTCACTAGTCTCTTCATGTGTCTTCCCATAGATACTCTGTTAGTCCTTTGCAAGGGCTCTCCCACCATGCAGAACCAACTCCTAAAATCTCTCACGTAAAAGCCAAGTCCAGAAGAGATAAAAGTTATTGCTGTGGTTAAATTAGGGAGGTCAAGACACGTGTTCATTCTAAAGAGTATCGGAACCTTGACATTGCTGATATAAATTTTTGTTTGTTTTTTGAGACACAGACTTACTCTGTAGTTTAAACTTGTGATGATCCTGCTGCCTCAGCTTCCTGAGCACAGGATTATTAAAGTGTACCACCTACTTTGGCCTGATAATTTAATTCCCATATAATTTTCATATTCTTTGTTAGGAAGTGCATCTCATCAATGAACATATTTTAAAGAATTAACTTTGAGGAAGGCTGCATTTTAAAACTGCAGTGCTGTTTTGAATCAGAGAGGTAGAGCATAATGTGTTTAGTAGATATTTATGTGTCACTACTTTCCATTTGTTTCACCATTTGAAAGAAGTTCTCTCTGAGCAAGAGATGGAATGTTTTAGTGCCAGAAATTCAAGTAATAGTGTCTTTGTAAAAAATGACAGTTTTTCAGTTAGGTAAACTCATTAAAAATGACTTTGTAGCCTTTGATACTATTTGGTTTTATAGGGCGTGTTTTAAAATCATTTTTGTTTTGGGTAGTTTAAGCCCACAGTGTTCGCATATGCTAAGCACACTCCTGCCCTGAGCTGTATCTTTAGTCCTGTGTATTAAAGTTTTAAGGAGAACTTGTTTCTTAATGTTTGTGCTTGCATGCCTGAGCAATCACTGTGATTTGTTTCAATAGAGTCATAGAATTTTTGACTAGAAGACATACAGTTTTGTAGATTACTCAAGTGAGGCTCAAGACAATATATATCTATATACATGTATATCTATAAACATAAACATAAAGAATTTAATCTACAGAGGGTCTTACAAATAGTGGTAAGTTTCAAATTAAAATTCAGACTTTTTACCTCTAAAATGTTTAATTGTTTTAATAAAAGTATACAAATATCCATGTTATTATAGAACTTTTTAAAATTCATGATTTTTTATGATTAGATGAACTGTATATAAATGTATCATCAGGTTGGGATTTAGCTCAGCAGCACAGCACCTGCCTGGCAAGTAAAAGGTCCTGAGTTCAATTCCCAGTACCAAAAAAAAGGTATCAGCAAGTGTTTCTTCTGTATATTACATCCTTGTTTTCATTTACATTTTTATAGACTTGAAAGATACTTAATTCTCAACAAATGAATTCTTCACTTGAACTCTGCTGCATTCCTGTGCCACCACCTCCTTTAGAAAACTGATCTTAAACAGGTAAAATTATGACTTTTAACTTTATAATTTCCCATGTTGTCAGATGTTAGTGTTTTTGGTAGTCCTTGACGGCTTCATTTGTTAAGCAGTTTTACCTGAAAAGATCATATCCACTTGTCCATCCATCTGCCCTTCCGTCTTTCTGTATAAATGTGTGAACATATAATAGTATGTATGTATGTGGGTTTTTTGTTGTTTTGTTTCATTTTTTCTGTTTGTGAGACAAGAGTTTTACAGTTCAGGCTGGCCTTTAACTCACTTTGTAGCTCATTGTTTGCCTCAGCTTCGCAAGTGCTGGAATTACAGGCATATGCCACCACACCTAGTTATGCGTGTGTTTTGAAATGGAGTCTTGCTGTGTATCCAGGCTGACCTCAAACCCCTCTTGCTTCAGCCTCCTGAGTGCTAGATTGTAGGCATTCACCATACTGCCCAACCAGTCATATCTTAATTATTGGCCTTGAAATTTATACTTGAAAGTATTTCTTTTACTAATTGTGTTTTTAAAAATTTGTTATTTAAATTTATTTTTACTGGCCCGGGATTTAGCTCAGTGGCTCTCGCCTGCCTGGCAAGCACAAGATTATGAGTTCAATCCCCAGTACTAAACAACAAAAATAAAAACAAAACAATTTCTGTTGTATTGAAACCAATGGCAAATGTGTAATGGAATTAAACAGGTCATTTACAAAAAGAAATTCTAATTGCTTATTATAAATGAAAAGGTAATCACAAAAAACAGATAATTTTACTTGTACTGAATTATTGGGCATATTCAGCCTGATTGTATTATCTGGCTGCATCTAAATCAGTACCATCCAGTGCAACTTTTATGACCATAACTTTTTATGGGGGTTGTTTAGTAGCTGCTGCCATGCACTTAAAAGTGTGGGTACATCAGCCAGGGAGTTGAATGCTTAAATATTTTTTTTTCTTTTTCTTTTTTTGTTTTAGAAGGGAGTGCTGAGAATGGAACTCAGGACCTTATGCTAGGCAGGTGCTTGTGCTGCTGAGCTATATTCCCAGCCTAAACTTTATTTATTTATTTTTTTTGGTGCCTGGGATCAAACTCACGATCAATTGCACTTGCAAGGCAGGTGCTTATGCCACAGAACTAAATCTCTGGCCCCTAAATTTTATTTCTTTTAAAAAAAAAAAAAAAGCCTGACTTTCCCTTGCAGTGTTTGTTTTTAATGTTTTATATATATGTACACACATATGTATATATAACTAAAATAAAAATATCCATCCCCAAAGCCATTGTTGCTCTGACCCAAGTGCCTCCACAAACCAACTGAGAAACTGCCAGTGTCCAAGAAGTTGGCTGCAAGGTGGGCAGTGGCAGGGCCGTCTCTCACACCTCCCTCCCAGGAGGAGCGTGGCACAGGTTCAACAGTGGGACAGGACAAGGTTGCTGGAACCTCATGCTGCAGATTTCAGTGGGGGGAAATGTCAGCAGATCCAGAGAGCTGGGCTGTGGCCCAGGGGAAATGGAGTCACTGAAGTGTTCTAGGACGTTGCCAGAGTGGCCGTAGCCAGGACAGAGTAACACTGTCGGCCTCTCCTGTGCTGAGTGTGGACGTGACTTTGCCATCCGCAGCCCAGTGATGCGGATGCAGATGTGGGTGTGAAGACTGCAGAGCCTCACTTTGACAAGGGACTCAACATGTGCAGCTGGTGCTGAGGACGGAACTGACTTCAAGTCCAGCCCATGTATTCTTCCCTGTCTGTATCAGTTTGCTGTGAAGTAAGGGTTTGTTGGGATTCCTTCAGTGTAGCTGATCCTGTGCACACCGGAGGCCTGCAAGGGGAGCTGAAATCTTCTCAGGGTAACTGACTTGAAGCTGTCAGGCATTAAGGTCCTACTAGAAAGAGCCAGGGTCATAGCGTGACTCTGGCCACAAAGTAAAACTAGCAGAGTCTCTGCCTCTGCAGTCCGTCCTTTCCTGACTGGAGAGGAATGATGTAAACTTTAGTTTTAGTTAACTTAGGTGTCTACATGTGTCTAGTAGCACTAGGCATTAGACACTGGGTCTTTAGATTTTCCTTAGTAACTTGGTGTTTACCGTAAGTGTGTCAATTTAAATGTGACATACACTTTGAAACACCTCCATAGGTGTTGACTGATGTTGTTTGTAGTAACAAATCCATTGAGCTAGATATTGGCAAAAACCTGTAATTCTAGCTGCTCAGAAGACGGAAGCATAGGAGGATTGGTCACAAGTTCAAGACCCTGCCTCAAAATAAAAGAGGACTGGTGACACACATTTATCCAGTAATTCTGATGCCCTGGAAACCTCAAGACCACCTGTCATAGTTTGCTTTGCTCTTTGTTTTATTATTAGCATCTTAATACCTAGCATGTAACCGAAATCTAATAATTGTTATGGAAAGAATGAATAATTTGTGTACTAACCTCCACAGTGAAAAACACCTCCCAAATTGTCTAAAAAATTAGGTGATTGTATTTCTGAAGTAATAGTGGCAGCTGATGTCTATGAAGAACTACTGCTGTATGCATCACTTTTCTAAGAACTTAGGCATGTGTATTTAATCTTTTAACATAAGCCTTCGTCTCCTGGGCATGGTGGTACGTGCCTATAATCTCAGCATTGGGGAGGAGGCCGAAACAAGAGGGTCCAGATCAGCCTGGACTGCATGGGGAGACTTGTTTTAACCCAAAAATAGTAATAATAAAATAAGTAGCCTTTGCCAATACAAATACAGTACACTTGTATTACCCCATTTTATAAATGAGGTTTTGGAAGTCACTGAGTAGTTAAGTGTCTTTCCCAAAGACCTAGTTTATAGATTATAGAGCTAGAATCTATACTCTTTAACCTTTAAGCTGTATTGCCACTTACATTCTGATTCTGTGTGAAGTGACAGTTCCTCAGAAAGGTACATGGTATCAGCTAAGACACAGTTCCTAACCATGTAGGTAATGGAGAGCTTAGTGTACTTGACAGCTGCTGTGAGTTTGCTTCCTGGCAAGTGATTCTTGCCCTCCTTTGGGCCATGCTCTGAGAGCTTATTTTATTCATTATGTTGTCATTAAAGGATGCATTACTATGGTTGTAAAAAAGATAATCATTTTCTGTGACAGCCTCTTCATTCTTCACTCTAGAAGGGAGGCAGTGTGTGTTAGAACTTAGCTGTATGCTGGAACACCGGCTTGATTTCTTGCTTTTAAATACAGTTTTTGGGCCGGGGATTTAGCCGGGATATAAGCGCCCGCCTGGCAAGCATGAGATCATGAGTTTGATTCCTGGTACAAAATAAATAAATAAATGAATGAATGAATGTAGTTTTCACATAGCAGTGATAGGATGGATATGCAGTACAGTAGAAGTGGTCTTCAGAATTCTATATTGTCTAGTTAAATAGAAAGCTTTATAGTGTGTTCTATTGTTTCTTCCAGATACTGGGTCTAATTAGGAAATTTGTTCCTAAAATTTCTTTGTAACTAGTACTATGCTGTTTTTTAAAACTGTTAGGATTTTAGTAACTTATTGTAGGAAATTGAAGCCCAAAGAGTTCAAGTTTTTGCCGGAGGACTTAAGCAGCAAGTGAACACAAGACTTTGGAAGAAAGATACATCTTGTTTTAAAATCAGATTTTGTAGATACATTTTAAATATGCATAATGATCACATTCATCATAGGTAAGATACATCTCAATCCCTTTTTTAAAACTTTGTTTATTCTGAGGCATTAAGCGTTTGGGACGGGTTTGAACTTGCAGTCATTCTGCCTCAGCTTCCAGAGTGCTGTGATTGCACGCATATTCTGCTTTTCCCACCTTGGAGTTTTAAATTTGGGTATCCATGTCTATCAATGGACTTTAGTGGATCTATAAACTTATTTTTACTATTCATTATAGAGCATTTCAAATGGATATCACAGTAGAGCAGTGTAGTATGGTTTGCATGCGCGTTACTCATCATGGCCACCTGCGTGTGGTTACTGGTCCTTTCTGTGTCTGTAAGCTGCCATTTGTAACACATGCCCACAGCACAGTAAGGCAGTGTCTGGAAAACCTGCCGTCCCTGACTTCAAAGCATTGCTTTACCAGCACTGTTTTCAGTATGTCCCTCTGACACTCAGGTCTGTGTTGTAGTACTCTGTGCTACCATTAGCAAATATAAAAGTAAAGCTGGGCGTGGTGGCTCACGCCTGTAATCCCAGCACTCAGGAGGCTGAGGCAGGAGCATCTTGTGAGTTAGATACCATCCTGGGCTCCAAAGTAAACTCAAGGCCAGCCTGAACTGCGTAGGGAGACCCTGTCTCAAAAAAAAAAAAAAAAAAAAAAAAAAAATGTGTATACACACACACACACATAAAAGTCAACAAGGATAATAATTCCTTACTTTAATATTATCAAATAACCAGTCACATTCAGCTTTATCCAATTGTATTCTATTCTTTTTAATTGTTTGATCATGTTCCAAGGTTTATATAAGGTTTATACTTGGTTTTGGTGTTACCTATTTTCTTAACACTTCTTTTAATCTGTGGTATCTCTCTGTCTCTCTCTCTCTCTCATATCTTGTAATTTATTTGAAGTATCCATCATTTTATTTTACCAGCATTTGTTATTTGAGGACAAGTGGCACCTTTTACTTCCTTTTTTGTAACTTTGTTTATGTAGCACTTGATGTAGTAGATACATAGCTTAAAATTCTTCTGAAATTAGAGGAAATAATAGAAAAGTTGTTTTTATGTGTTTTAGAAATCCAGTGTGGAGTTTGACACTTTGTTGAGAAATACTGACTTTTTCATTTCAGTTATTTTACAGATAAGTTTCTTCTCCCCAAAATTGTTTTATCTTTTGAACCCAAGAGAAAATTTTTCTTTAATAATAACACATCTTACTTTTGTTTCAGAGCTACATAGTCGTGTCTTCAGAGCCCTAGTGGTTTAGTGACTATTTGCTTCCATGCTTTTTCTCGTTTTATATCTTTACTTAGAATTATAGTTCGTATACCAGTGTACAATTGGTACAGCTTTTACTTGGACGTTTTTCCATCTTAGAAAATGGACCTTCTTCTTCAGAAGCCTTGCTTAGTGCAGTGCGCGTATGTGGTTATCAGTTGCTGACGCCCAGGCTGCTTTCTAGTTGATCTAGTTTTATCACTTGTGATCCGTCCTTTGGGTCTATGATGTTTAACTTAATTCTGGTGCTATAAATTCTGTGTTTGTTTTGAACAGTGTACAATTTAATTACATTCAGGATATTTTACTTGCCAATTTGAAATATACTTACTAGGGGAAGGTATGAATGCATTAAGAAAATGGTTTCAAATATAAGGTATAAGAATAGAACTTACTTCAGAAAACGTTTTGTTATAGTTGCACTTCTGACCAAAAGCCAGTCCTTCTCACTGAAACAGGTATTGGTGAGTTTCTTTTTCCCTGAAAGGCTTCCATTATTATCTTTGGTCGTTTCTGTCATGCAGTACTATTCTTGGGTAAGATGCTATTTTTTTTAATTTTAGAGACACGAATAGACGGTAGAAGAAGATGCTGGGATCTGAACGTGGTGTTGTGGAAGAATGGTTATCAGAATTCAAGGTAAATTGGATTAGGGATCCGAACATACATGTCAGTAATTTAGACAATGAATATGTGTTATATAGAAAAACAAGCATGCTGGACCAGGGATCTGGCTCAGCGGTATAAGTGCCTGCCTGACAAGCATGAGGTCGTGAGGTCCATCTCCAGTACTGAAAAGAAAAACAAGCATGGTAGGTAGTAGAAATGACAAAAAATAATACAGTGTTGTCTCGGTTCATGAATTTAATTCATTCCACAATTCTGGGGGGAAATGGCCATGTTTGTGTTCACACAAAATAGATGCCTCTGATGCCAGCACTTGAGAGGCTGGCGCAGGACAATCATTCCACGAGTTCAAGGCCACCCTCAGCTACATAAAGGTCAGCCTGGACATATAGCAAGACCCTGTGTCAAAAAAACAGCTCAAAAAATTATGCCTGTGGTCATGTTTATTGCCTAATGGAGAGTTTGCAAACAAAAAAATTTTTTTGCCAAATACTTCTGTTGGTGAACCAGACTGTTAGAAAACAGAAGTATTCATGAACCAAGACACCACTGTATTTCCTTAAGTGTAATTCTGTAAAATAGCATTAATGTAAATCAGGGCCTGAAAGGAATATATAAAGCTAGAAATAGTCATCACAATTTGATGAGGAAATACTTAAATTTTAAAGTAGAGTCAGTAAAACACTAGGCTTTATGGTCCACCCCTGTCGTCTAGCTACAGTACTCTGGAGGCTGAGGAAAGAGGGCTGCTTGAGCCCAGGAGTTTGAGACAATCTGGACAATATAGTTGAGGAACAAACCCTCTCAAAATACGAAATGAGGCCAAGCATAATGGTGCATATCTGTAATAGCAATATTCAAGAGGCTGAGGCAGGAGGATTGTTGTGAGTTCAAGGGCACCCTGAAATGCATAGTGAGACCCTGGCTCGAAAAAGAGAAATAGGAAGAGGAGAAAGGAGGAAGGAAGGAAAGAAGGAAAGAATGAAGACAAAGCAACAAACTATTAAGTAGAAAGGAGCATCCAAACTTTTTATTTACAAGTTTAAATTAGTTTAAGGTGGTCCATTTCAGCATATCTGGGCGTGATGTGTAATTTTAATCATATTTCATGATGAGTAGGTATAATTGTATAACACTCCAGCTTAATTTGTTTAATCCTCATAATTATTTATTAAATAACTTTTTAAGTGGCACTCTTATAAAGTAAATTCCCTCACTAGTTAACTAATAAGCTCAATTTTCTTTCTTGTGCTGGTGTCTTTTAGGCATTACCTGACACTCAGATCACCAATTATGCAGCAACTTTACACCGAAAGAAGACACTTGTACCAGCCCTTTATAAGGTTATTCAAGATTTGAATAATGAGGTATGAAAATTGATAAGGAATAAAGTGTCTGCATAGTACAATTAAATATGTTTCCTAAAATAGAAGTATAAGTTTTATAGTTTTCTGTTCTGTGGGTCTGGAAATTTTTCTTTTTGTTTCATTCTGATAGTTGCTTTGGCTTTCTCCATTCCTCCCTTTCCATATTTTAAAATGTTTTGATCAAGTTTTTTCCTCTTAAGGGCAGTTTGATTTGATTCTTGATTTTAGTGATAGCCACATCAATGTGTTGTTTTATTTGGAACTTTTCCTTGCTTTCTGTTTTGGAATGTTTTCTGCTCTGGAAGCCAGATTTTACTGTGTACTGATTACTTTTTTGTTTGTTTTGTTTTTTTATTGACTTATTTACTTTGGGTTTTTTTTTTTAAAAGGCATGCTCTCATTATGCAGTTCAAATTGGCCTTGAACTCACCTATGTAGCCCAGGTTGGCCTCAATCTCATGGTGACCTTTCTGCCTCAGCCTCCTGAGTGCTGAGATTACTGGTGTGCACCACCACGCCTGGCTAGTTTTAAAATTTTGGTATTATTTACCGTAATTTTATTGATAATATGGAGCCATATATATTCACTGTAATCAGTGAAATCAACCCTATAACACAAAGTGATGCTCCTGGTGAGGTTAACCTTAAAATGATCAGAATAAGTGCCTTTGTAGTACACTTAATATAATAGTTTCCTATTCAGCTTTATGATAAAAGAATGTAGTTATTGAACTTACATATTTATTTATGCCAAATACACACATCTCTCCAGTAATACAACAGGGTGACATACAGTTGTATCACCACTGGATTCATGTATGCTTTAAAATGAAAATGAAAGGAACACACAGGAAAGTAGCTTCTTATCTTCCCAGATACAGCCTCCACGAGTGCCTCTGCTGTGTACTGGAGTGAGTTTGAAGAAGCTCAGGTAATCATCTCCTAACCAGCAGCCTAACTTCGAGTGCATCTTCCCTTTTGTCCTGTCACTCACAGCTTGCTTATTGACCTCTTCCTTTCCTGCCTTCTCAGTTTGGACTGGCTTTCAGGCTGTTGCTGTTTGTAACAGAAATCACAGGACTCATTTGCTTCTTTTTCTCATGCAGCATATTTCTGAATGTTTTGTAACTTTAGTGATGGGTCGTAAACATGATGTGCACATCCTTCCTGATCAGGACTATTCAGAGTTCTCTAAATAATGGGTGTGTATATTCCCTACCTCTCGTTTTGTCTTACTTTAACATGTAAACTTTGCTTATTAAAATTTGTTCTATATTTTCCCTCCAGATGTAAGCTCTTCAAGAGCAGCGGTCATGTAGTACACATTTGTTACTTCCCTAGAATCTAGAGTTTTGTCATGTGTATAATGCACATGCAGTAAATAGTGATTGGACTGAGTATGGGGTGGAAGTGTGAGTCCTTGTCATTGTGGGATGGTCCTTAGCACCACAATAAACAAACAAAATGAAATACAAAAAGATTGAAAAATTTGCTCATTTTCCTTAAGGCTCACTAGTGTATAAAATATCTCTTTCCTCTTCTTAGTGCTTTGAAAGCGATGATGATTTAATAGTGATTTTACTTCATATCATGATGCATCATAATGTTAATGTTGGAATCTCAGGGTCACGGCTAGAAATGGCAAAAGCATAACCTGGGAAAGCCAAACCCAAGACCCAGCATTCATTGTAACCAGAACACCAAAGGTCTGGGTTTGCATCCTTTGTCCTGTCAGGTCAAGAGGTTCTAAGTATGTGTTTAGACTTCAGAAAAGCAGAGTATAAGTTCTATAAAACCTTTTAAAAGTTCTGGGCTTTACTACTAGAACGAGGCCCCTTTGTCCTGATTTTGTCAGATTCTGAAAACAATAGGTGTTATTTAGTTGATATGATACTATTTCAAAAAAGATTATAAAAGTTATTAAGAGTATATATTTCATGGAAGTTTAATATTTCATGTCTCCGCCAACTTGAGTTACAATTTCAGGTCAATCTGTAGACCAACAGTCTTCTTTGTTTTTGCTTCTCTGTCTCCCAGAATCCATAGTCACACTAGCAGTTCTTCCACGCCCATGGGCCCTTCAAGCTGTTACCCTGTGTTTTCATGAAAACGGCTCTTGGTGTTGCTGAGTCTTCGGGGTTCATTACTGCAGTTCCCTTTCCTTTACCGTGTGTTCCCTGGCCTATTTTATTATCTACCCATTTCTGTCTCAATTCCCTTAATCTGTCTGTCTGTGTTTCCTTAGTCCATCCTCAGTAGGATGTCAACACTGGATAAAACCTAGCATCCATCCTGTCCTCATACCTGGGCTGAAACAGCTGATCATGCCTGGGAAAATGGAAGTGTGTTGTTTCACCTCTTAAATTCAGTGCTACAAGTCTCAAAGGAACATTTACTATGTAATCTCATAGTGTCATTTTATTTCCTAGGTACACTGTCTTATTGTTCACTTCATACTTTCTCTGTCCATGTACTTTTTTGTTTTTGTTTTTGTTTTTTTATATATGTTTGCATTCTTTGTGTAGAATTGATAGATGTCCATTACACATCCCAATTCTTTTCTTTTTCATCCCTTATCCCATTTCTCCATTTCTTCTGCCTCCATCTCTTACCCTCTGTCCCTTCATTTTGAGCTTTTTTTTTTCCCAGCTTTTTGTAGATTATTTAAAAAACAAACCAGCTGAGGAGGTGCGTACCTATAACCTGCAGTCTAGGGGATTGAGGCAGGAGGATCATAAGCTTGAGACCAGCTTGGAGAATGCTTTAATAACAAGACTCAGGGTTTAGTTCCCAACAGTGTGAACAGAAACAGCTAGGACCTCTTTTGTACCACTGAAGCAGCATCTTGGCTCATACGCTTTCCCTTCTTGCTGTTCAGCAAGTGATAAACAGCCATATATTCCAATTGTTGAAAACCTTCCTTGGCATTCCACCCCAAATGTTCAGCGAGTTCAGTGGACAGCGTGTCTTTTGGTCCTTACCATAGCAGAGCAGTGTTCGATAAATTTGGGAAAGATGTCATGTATTCTTTTTTTTTTTTTTTTCTTTTTTTTAATCAGTACTGGGGATCGAACTCACGACCATGCGCTTGCAAGGCAGGCACTTATGCTGCTGAGCTAAATCCCCAGCCCCAATGTCATGTATTCTTGAGATTTTTAAAAATGTAAAGATAATTTTTTAAACATTTTGATGTGAGTGTTTATACCATGTAGGAGAGGGAGATCCGAGCCATAATGTTGAGAATTTGAGACCATGGTGGTGTGATACAAATGCCTAGAATGGGGGACTGGGGATTTAGCTCAGCGACATAAGCACCTGCCTTGCAAGCAGGCAGTCGTGAGTTCGATCCCCGGTACCGATAAAAAAGAAAAAGACAAAAATAAAACAAAACAAAACAAAACAAAAAAAACCCCAAATGCCTAGAATGAAAGGTTTTATTTTGAGAGTCTTGTTCTGAATGAAAGTTTCTAAATTGCCTGATGCCCAAACCACCCCCCTTTTAAAAAAATAATAATTTTGGAAAGTATGTGTTTCTTCACTGTGTTCCATTAAATGTGTAGGGTTCTGTATCCCACCGTACCAACTACTACTGACAGAAAGGAATTAAGGTCTCTATGATGAAACTTGTGGTAGTTGTGGCCATAAAATTCAGAGAAGCCCATCTTTGATGAGTCTTTTACAGAAGAGGACAATGAATGTGAGCCTTCAGTATATATTGTTAACATAGTTATAAAAACCACCACAACCTTTTAACTCCTCAGAAGAGCTGAGTAGTGCTGTGAGCATTGAAGGTAGATTCTAGCAGTTGACTCTTTTCAACAGCTTGTTGTTCATTACTGGTGCTAAGTGGAATATACTTTTTATAGTTAGTCAGCTGCCATTTGCATTCCATCATAAGGAATGTAGTAGAGTGCAAACACTTCCTTGATGTTACAAGACCTGAATTTAGCATCCTCCTCCACCACTGTCTTGTGAGACTGTTGACAGATTGACTGACTGGGCTTGACTTTAGTAAGGAGAGAGTTGACATAGTTTTTAAGACTTTCACATAAAGAGCTTAGTATTTACTGTGTTTTAAGAGCCATGTTTTAACTTACGTAAGTATTAACTATACAATCAGCATAGTTTTGTCGACTTAACTTTTACAGTTGTGAAAGTAGTAACTTTGTTCTAGAGTGTTAGATTATTATATATACCTCATTCAAGCAGACTTCTAAGTGTGTTATTTTAGTCATTTAGAAGTGAGTATATGAATGCTATTATGCATTTTTTAAAGAGTTAGTGTTAAATTTTAATTGAAAAACTTACTAGCAGGGCATGGTGACTGAGGCAAAAAGAGCATGAATTTGAGGCCAGCCTGGACTATATAGCCAGACTCTGTCCAAAAAAATAAACCACAAAGCATGTACATACCCACACCTACTACTTTATAGTTTCTGATTAGTTTTAGATAGGTATTTAAAAGTCACAGTTTTGTTCATTGTGAAGTTAAACCAACAAAACCATTCAAATTGTCAGTAATTATAACTGTTCCTTTCCTTTAAGTCCTTTGTAATGCATTTTCTGAGCAGCAGAATATGACTAATAGACATTAGCCAGTTAAACACTGAAAACACTATTTTTGCGTAGTTATTCCCTTTTGAAATCTTTCAAATAAATATAACTAGTGGAAATTTAAATGTTTTGAAATGTAAATGTAATCAGTTGGTTCTACAGGTATGTATTTAAAGTATTAGTGGAATTTTGGAAACCCAAATAGTATGTATTGCAAAATCTCTTCCCCTAATGAGTAGCATATAGTTTATTTAAATCATAGTCTCACTTGAAGATATAAAGTTTGTTTCCAGCATGAGCACTGGAAATTATTTTATTGCAGTGGAAACTTTTTTTTTTTAACTGGGAATGAAACTCAGAACCTCGCACTTGCCAGGCAGGTGCTGTGCCCACTGAGCTATATCCCCAGCCCTCAAAACTTTTTAAAATGAAGGATGGTAAGAGTTGTTAGGAACAGCAAGGAGCAAAGTTGAACCCGTACTTATTAGTTATATCCATCAATGTAAATGGCCTTAATTCACCTATTAGAAGAAATAGATTTACAGAATGGATCATAAAACAGGATTCCACAATATGCTATATACAAGAAACACATCAGATTCCAAAGGAAACTCAACAGACTAAAAGCCAAAGGATGGAAAACACTATTCCATGCAACAGGAATCCAGAACAAAGCAGGGATGGCTATTCTATTTGCAGACAGTGTGAACTTCAAATCAAAAATGATCAAAAAAGATAAACAAGATTACCACATACTTGTCAAGGGAATAATTCGAGAAGAAAAGTTAACAGTCATAAACATATGCACCAAATACAGGAACACTCAACTATATAAGACAAATACTAATAAATATGAAAACCAAATAAGCAACAGCACAATTATAATAGGGGACCTTAACACCCCATTGTCACAAAGAGATAAATCAACTAGACAAAAAGTGAGTAAAGAAATAACAGAACTGAATCAAACCTGTGAGCAAATGGATTTACACATTTGGACATACACATTTACAGAATGTTCCACCCAACCACATTAGAATATACATTCTCAGCTGCGCATGGGACAGTTTCCAAAATAGATTATATATTAGTCCATAAAATGTTCTTAAGTAAATGTAAAGGGATTGAAATTAACCCATGCACATTACCAGCCCATAGTACACTTAAATTGGAAATTAATGGCAAAAGAAATTGCAAAACCTGCATAAATACATGGAAATTAAATAACAACCTCCTGAACAATCAATTGCTTACAGGTGGAATTAAAGAAGAAATTAAGCAATACTTATAATTCAATGAAAATGCAGATACAACATACCAAAACCTGTGGGACACAATGAAAGCGGTCCTAAGAAGGAAATGTATAGCAATACATTGTCCTATCAAGAAAACAGAACAAGCGCAAATAAACAACCTAATGCTACATCTCAAGATTCTAGAAAACCAACATGTCAAACCCAAAGCTCACAAAAGAGTAAATTATAAAGATCAGAGCAGGAACTAATGCAATTGAAACAAAAAGAATTACAAAGAATGAATCAAAGAGCTGTTTTTTTGAGAGAATAAAGAAAATTGATAAACCTCTAGCCATCCTTACCAAGAAAAGTAAAGAAAAAACTCAGATTTACGCAATAAGGATTGAAGAGAGTGAAATTACTATAGATCCCATGGAAATTCAAAGGATCATGAATACTTTGAAAATCTCTACTCACGCAGGGTAGAAAACACACAGGAAATATACAGATTTCTAGAAATGTATGAACTACCAAAGCTCAATCAAGAAGATATAACAATTTTGAATAACCCAATATCAGCTGCTGAAATTGAAAACATCATTAAAACTTACAAACCAAAAAAACCCAGGTCCTGATACATTCATGGCTGAATTCTACAAGAAATTTAGAGAAGATTTAACGCCAATACTCCTCAAACTCTTCAATGAAGTTGAAAGGGAAGCAATCCTCCCTAACTCATTCCTAGAGGCAAGTATTATTTTGATACCAAAAAGCAGAGAAAGACCTAATCAAAAGGAACTATAGGCCAGTCTCACTAATGAACATTGATGCAAAAATTCTCAATAAAATACTGGCAAATAAAATGCAGCAAGTCATCAAGAAGATTATATATCATGACCAAGTGAGATTTATTCCAGGAATACAGGGATGGTTTAATATACGTAAATCAGTAAATGTAATAACACCACATCAGCAGTCAAAAACAAAAATCACATGATCATCTCAGTAGACGCAGAAAAAACTTTTCATAAGTCCAAAACTTGTTCATGATAAAAACTCTACAGAAACTTGGAATAGATGGTGTCTACCTCAGTCTGATAAAGGTCATATATGACAAACCAATAGCTAACATTATACTAAGTGGACAAAAATGGAAAGCTTTCATTCTAAAATCATGAACAAAGGGCTGGGGATTTAGCTTAGCGGCATAAGCGCCTGCCTTGCAAGCAGGCAGTCGTGAGTTCGATCCCTGGTACCGATAAAAAAGAAAAAGACAAAAAAAAAAATTTAAAAAATAAAATAAAATCATGAACAAGACAAGGATGTCCACTATCACCATTCCTATTCAATATAGTTCTGGAAATACTAGAGCAGTCATATAAAAGAGAAATAAAAGGAATAAAGATAGGAAAGGAAGAAGTTATCACTATTTGCCGTTGACATAGTACTCTACATAGGAGACCCCAAAACTCCACTAAAAAACTACTAGAGTTAATAAATTTAGCTATGTGGCTGGATACAAAGTCAACACTCAGAAATCAGTAGCATTCCTGTACACAAACAAAACTCTGAGAAATTATGGAAATACCTGTTACAAAAGAATCTTCAAAAAATGAAATACTTGGGAATCAACCTAACCAAGAATATAAAAGATCTATATGCTGAAAATTATACTAGTCTAAAAAAGGAGATTGAAGAAGATATTTAAAAATGGAGGGATATTCCTTGCTCTTGATTAGGAACAACCAATACTGTGAAAATGGCCATACTCCCAAAACTGTTTCATAGATTTAATGCAATCCCAATCAGAATATCATTAACAGATCTAGAGAAAACATTCCTAAAATTCAGTTGGAAACAGAAGAAATCTAGAATAGCTAAAGCAATTCTGAGCAACAAAGGCAAGGCAGGAGGCATCTAATTCCTGACTTGAAATTATGCTACAAAATTAGTGACAAAATCAGCATCATTCTGGCAAAGAAATAGACTTGAGGATCAGTGGAACAGATTACAAGATACAAAGACACTCAGCCACCTTATATTTGACAAAGAGGCTAAACATGTTCACTGGAAGAAGGATAGCCTCTTTAATGGTGTTGGAAAAATTGGGTTTCCACAGGCCGAAAACTGAAATTTGACCCATGTCTATCACCATGCACTAAAGTCAAAATTGATCAGTGATCTAAATATTTAAAAACAAACACTAAATCTACTGGAAGACAAGATAGGTAGAAATCTTGGAGACAGGGATAGGCAAAGAATTCATGAACAGAACACAAACTGCATGGAAGTACTTCAGAGAATCAACAACTGGGATCTCATCTTACTAAAAAGTATTTGCACTTCAAAATAAATCACCAACAGTATGAAATGAAAACCCACAGAATGGGAAAGAATTTTAACTAGCAGTCCCTCAGACAAAGGACTTATATCCAGAACATACAAAGAATTTTAAAAAGCCTCCCAAATTCAAAGACCCTCTCCAAAAATGGGCATCTAAAATGAACACACATTTTTCAGATGCAGATATACAAATGACAAATAAATACACCAAGAAATGTTCACCATCACTGGATCATTTGAGAAATGCAAATTAAAACAGCATTGAGATATCATCTCACTCCAGAAAGAATGGCTGCTATCAAGAAATCAACCAATAACAAATGTTGGCGAAGCTGTGGACAAAAAGGAACACTTCTCCACTCTTGGTACAAGTATAGACTGGTGCAACCACTGTGGAAATCAGTATGGAGATTCCTCAAAAAATTAGGGTTGGAGGCTTCATTCAATCCAACTATTCCCCTCCTGGGTATTTTCCCAGAAAAATTGAAAAGGTTATGTCTCAGCAATACATGTGCATCCATGTTTATAGCAGCACAATTTGTAATAGCTAAATCTTGGAAACAAAGTACTCATCAACCTCAGAGTGGATGAAAACGATATGGTATTTTTATACAACAGAATATTACTTAGCTATAGAAAATGATCTTGAGGCTTTTATAGGTAAATGGAGGCAACTTGAGACTACCGTCATAGGTGAAGTAAGTCAGACTCATATTTGTAAATATCGTATTGTCTCTAGTGTAAAAAATAATAACTGAAAGAGTGATAAGATCCAAAATGCATAATAGATACTGTGATAATGAAAGGGAAGGAAAGTGTTTTAAAGGACATAACTATATGTGTGTTTAAGATAGATAACCATCCTACTAAATTTTTGTTCATCAAACAAAATGGTTTGGACTGTCATTTTTATGCTTTGATTTTGTGACTTGAGCAACTACTTCTAAGATAACAATATGTAATTTATCAACTAGTGAGTTCTTACTTTTTTTAAATTCTGTATTATTTCTACCTTTTTTCTGTTTTGCTTTTTTTCTCTAAATATATAAAAAAAAAATCAAAGGGAAAGTCACCAAATATAAATGTAGCTAATAAGAAAGACTAATTGTCTAATTTGCTCATACAGTATATTAAAAAGTGCAATATTATGGGAACAAAAGTACTTTTTACCGTTAGAGGATTGATCAGTATAATGTGCGGTCTGTCAGTGAACATTTGGTTGAATTCTTAAACTGTGGAGAAATTAATATTAAGAATTTGCTTTTAAAATGCTATACAGGTTATGGGTGCCTCTTAAAGAATGCACTTAGAGACCCCACCTGGAAATAGCTGATGCATTTGTTTTCCTTCTAGCTGCTGGAGCCTGTCTGCCATCAGCTGTTTGAACTCTATCGCAGTTCTGAGGTCCGCCTGAAGAGGTTCACGCTGCAGTTCTTGCCAGAACTGGTGTGGGTTTACTTAAGGCTTACAGTGAGCCGAGATCGGCAGAGTAATGGTTGCATTGAAGCGCTGCTGTTAGGAATTTACAATTTGGTAAGTTGAAAGGAACAGTTTGGGAAATTTAAAATGTTTAAAAGTCCTCTGAAATAACGTGTGAGGGGTGTTTAGGGAAAAATAGACAACTGAATAATTTATTTGAATTGAGTATAGAAGTAATGATAAGCATTTAGAAAATAGATGAAAGTATTATTGATGGAACTGTTAATATCTGAGGATTTATGTCTTCAGACCTTTAATTTGGTACCAGTAAATGAACTTGGGGCCTCGTGCTTGCCAAGCAGGCCCTGTACCACTGAACTCCCTCCCCAGTCCAGGACTTCCATTTCAGATTATAGTATTTAACTCATAGGGAGAGTGTGAGGCAGAGCTGTACACTGAAAATACAGATTTAGAAATGCTACCTGCTTTTAGGAATTAGAAGTTTAATTTAATCACTATTTCTTATTTTCGACGCTTGTATATGTAACTGAGCAAAGTGAGAAAGCAGGTGTGGGATTCCCATCTGTCCAGCACATGGTCAGGCAGATTACCATTGTTTAAGTCTGTGTGCAGATGCAATGAAATGGAGAGGGAGGAGAGAAAAGGCTGAGGTGTGACTGCGCCCCTAGACTGCAGGTGTGGAGTGGGGAAGAGCTCCCGAAGTTGGGAAAGGCTGCCGGATGACAGTGCAGAGGAGCGGCAGGCGCGTGCCAGGTCTGCGGGGCAGGTCTGCAGACCAGGTCTGCGGGGCAGGTCTGCGGACCAGGTCTGCGGGGCAGGCCTGCGGGGCGCCTGCTCCACCTGGTGCCTCCTCAGGCCTGGAGTTGAATGTGTACCTAGGTCCAAGGAAGTGTGGCTTTGCCGGTGGGGCCAGGGGTCAGTGAGGGGTAAGAGTGACAAGCCATTGGAATAAAACACAGGCTTGTATTGAGCTGTAGGGTACAGAGCTGGCTTATAGAGATTCCCAGTTTGAAATGTATTTTGTTCTTCAGAATGTAGTTTGTTCATAAAAATTTGATTAGCATCCTGTAAAATTTTATGTTATTTTAAGACGGGGTTTGCTATGTTGCCAGGAATAATCTACAACTCCTGGGCTCAAGTGATCTTCCTGCCTCAGGCCCCTATATAGCCGAAACTACAGGCATGCATGTCCACTGCAGTGTGTAAATGTATTGATTATGTGGTAAAATATTTGAGACTTCGTATTTCATGAAACTTTACTCCCAAGGAATTCCCTTTGTTCCCCGAGACAGGCTCTCACTATGTAGTCTTGTAGCCCAGACTAACCTAGAACTCACTGCTATCCTCCAGACTCAGCCTCCCCGCAGTCGGGATGTGTGCCACCACCCCAGCTGCTTGTTTTTAATCTTTTGTAGCTCACAAATTCAGTACTGAAAAAGCATGTCCAGTTACGGGTCAGACGTGTGTCCTCGGGCTCCCCGTTGGTTCTGGTTCTTGCTGTCTGTGTGCCTTTTCCCTGTGGTTCTCAGGTGGGTGGGTTTCTGCCCCAACCCCTGCTGCTTCTCCCTTTCTCTCCTTCTCTCTTTTCTGCCTTACTTTTTGTTTTTCCCTAAACCATACTGGTTTTTTCCCTGTTTATACATTTTTCTCTTCTTTTCTTCTCTTCTCTAGCGTCTTTTGTTTGCCTCAACAGTCGCAGGAAAGTTTTATATTGCTCTTAGCAAGTTTCAGCTGTCTGTCTTCCACAAATACACACAAAGATAAATCAACAGAATATGGCTTCACTTGAAAGTTTAGGAATAAAGTTAAAAGGTTTAATCAGGGCCTTTCATCTTAAACAATCTTAAGCAAGATGGTGGCAACTCCCTTAACCACAAAAAAGTTGCATGAGCTGCCTAGGGAATTTCCTTGCCAAAATTAGAGGTGTGGTGTTCCTACCCACGTGCAGATGGTTCTCCCCTGTGGCGGGCACTCAGAGAGGAGGCTTTGTTTTGGCGCCATCCGCAGTTTCATCGCTGCTTCCTTTGATACTGTGCAAGTGGTCCTGTGTGGTAAGGAAAGTGCTCTCTCGGGGCTCTGCCCACAGTGTGCCCCGCAGTGCAGGGCAGGCTAAGGGGAGCAGTGCGGCAGGCAGGGGCGGAGAGAGGCAGCCATCTTTGTGGAGAGGTGTTTACTGGCAGCGGCGGAGGACAAGAGAAACCAAGGTAGTCCTTTAACAAAGAAATAACGGGCTTTTAAAAAAATCATAAAGAAAAGATTTAGAATCACAAGAATTTTTGTAGCTCAGTAGAAATTATGTAAATATGAATTCATTCTTAATTACTTGGATCTTTATGTTAATGTGTAGTTGATTTCAGATAAGCTTTATTACTGAATAGTCATTATTATTCAAGATTAATTCTTATTATTATTCAAGATTAATTCTTATGTTTTTACCATCAAATTTAATTAGCTTGATTGTGACAATCATTTCATGAAGATACATCAGAACATCATATTGTATACCAGAAAGCTAATTTTATCTGTACATCGATAAAACTGGAAAAAATAATTCTGTGTTAGAAGTGTGCTTTTCTAGAAGATCTAATCAGTACCCCTGTTCTGTAGGTAAATTTAGCACAAGTGACTTGTGTATCTCCATTTGTCTTGCAAGTTGTGAGGTTAGAGTTAGTGTATGGTAGAACTGTGCTAGTTAGAGAAGATATGATCAGTAGTAATGCTTTTATGTACTCCTATGCTAAAAATCTTCCTTAGTTCCTAACCCTATATTCTGTATATTAAGAAAGTAGGTTTGTATTACAGACCTCTGGTTATTTGGTTGTTTCGTTATCTTTGTATATTTTTCGATTGTAGGAGATTGCTGACAAAGATGGAAACAATAAAGTTTTATCATTCACTATCCCTTCCTTATCCAAGCCCTCAATTTATCACGAGGTGAGTAACCCTGGAAGGATGGGGCTGTTTATATTTATGTTGAGGAGAGATAGAGTTTGTTATAGATGAGTATTTATTTACTGACCTGCCTTCTGGTGTGTTTCTTAAAAGCAGATGATTATTGTGGATAAGACTTAAGCTGTGTTGGCCCTGAATGTTAGCTGTAAAAAAAAAAAAAAAAAAAAAAATTAAAAAAAAAAAAAAGAAGCTGTGTTGGGCGGGGGATTTAGCTCAGCGGCACAAGTGCCTGCCTGGCAAGTCTGAGGTCAAAGACTTAGGCTATGATAAGAGAAATAGACAGTAATTAATGAAAAACTTCCTTCTAATTCTTATTTATTTTTATACTTCTTTCAGCATTTTTAACTTTGTTAACTTTTAAAGAATTTTTAAAACTTTTTAAGTCTTTTATATTTGCTTCAAAATTGTTAGTTTAATTCATTTTTATTATTCAGAAAAATAATTTCAAAAAATGTTAACACTGTTGTATTTCCATGTGAAAGAGTCTAAGTGACGTATTCTAACTGTTCAGTAACATACTTTTCCAGTGAGGAAACAAGAATGTGAGACTTGAGAGGTAGATGACGCCTGTTAAGCTTAACCTTCTCCCTGCTCCCTCTAAATAAAATCCAGTAAAGAAGTATTTGTGAATCAAATCGAGCTTGTGATTTCTAGTGGCTGATGGTGCATAAAGTCGTGAAGATAACATTTGAAAAACCTTGCTCTAAAAAGCATATCCCATTTTCCTTTCAACACACAATAGCCTGCTTGTTTCATAGCTCTGTGTAGCTGGTTTTCTTAATTAATTCACTTGGGACTTTGTCTTGTTGTTAGAATGTCTCTTATTTAGCCTAGACTTACTTTAGCATGGAATAGTTCAGGATGATAGATTTTAATTAAGTTCTTTGAAGCACGTTATGAAATAAAATGGGAGGTAGTAAAGTGCTAATGAATAGATGATTTTTCTAAGTTGAGAAACATGAAATCAGTTATGCCAGTTTTAAAGAACACTTTGATCACAGTCTTTAATATTTGCTTTTCTATTGTGATAGGTGGTTGTATTCTGTGTTTTGGTTCAAGCAAATTGAAATTCATTTATTTTTAACCTTTAGTCTTTTCAGCAACTTTTCTTATTCTTTCCTAATGTGGAACTGTTCTATAACGTTTAAATGCTGAAGCAGCCAGGGATTTAGCTCAGCAGCATAAGTGCCTGCCTGGCAAGCATGAGGTCCTGAGGTCGACCCCCGATACAAAAAAAAAACACTGTAAATGCTGTATTTTGTATATTTTACATGCATAATTTCCCAAAGACATGGAAAAGATTTTGAAAGAGAAATAAATTGTCTGAATCTGCTTTTCACTTAAGCAAGATGAAATAGGATTCCATGATACAGAGGTTTACATGATCTTAAAGATGCTGCCTCACACTGTGTCTTATTTTTGTAGCCCTCAACGATTGGGTCCATGGCTCTGACAGAAGGTGCTTTGTGTCAGCATGACCTCATCAGAGTTGTTTACAGTGATCTTCATCCTCAGAGGGAAACGTTCACTGCGCAAAACCGGTAACAGTCAAACCTGTGGAATAACGATTGTGAACTTAGATGTAATAAGTGACTGTTAGTACTTCAGGTCAGGTTTGATATGAGAAAGAGTCCACAAGTTGACTACTTAATACAGATGAAATGTGTTCATAGCATAGGTTGAGCATCACTAATCTGAAAGTCAGAAATTCAGAATGCTCTGGGATCTGAAACTTTCCGAATACCAACGTGATACCGCTTGTTGAAAATTACACACCTGACCTCATGTGATTGGGACACAATCAAAAAGCATTGCACTGGAACTAGGGGTTTAGCTCAGTGGCACAAGCACCTGCCTGCCTGGCAAGTACGAGGTCATAAGTTTGACCCCTGGTACAAAAAAAAGCAGTGCACTAAATATTGTATAAAATTAACTTCAGGCTCTGTGTGTAAGGTATATAAGAAACATAAGTGAATGTGTCTTTAGATTGGGTCTCATCCTCAAGATACTGCATTACATGTACATAAGCATTCTGAAATCTTTTTTTTTTTTAACATCCAGAATTTGAAATATTTCTTGCCCCAGGCATTTTGGATAAAAGTCTTGAGTCACCATTAAATGAGCTGTGTTGATTATTGTCATCTTGGGTGAGAAGTCAAAGTCTTTGCACAGAATCAGCAAAACCAGGACTCATGTTTTAGTGTTGCAGTTTAGGAACTCGTATTGCAAGCTCTTTATTTGCTTTTGCTCTCTACACCTTGATTTTGGTTGTAGTGTTACATTTTGGGTTTTTTATTTCTTCTGCACCTTGCTCTTTGGGTTGTAGATTGGACATAGTACCTGAAATCAGGCAAACTACAAAGTTCCCCATCCCCAGACTGTCCTCATTTCTAACAGCAACTCAGTGTTTGCTGTTGCATCCTCTTGTTTAATAAGGTATAAGAAATCTTTTACACTCATGGTCAGGGTGTATTATGGGGCCTGGATACAGATTAAAAATCAGCCAGAGGAAGAGATGTGTAGAGTAGAGTGTGGGGGGACTCCAGGCTTTTGTCCTTTGGCGTCAGTCAGGACCCAGATGTGTGGCAGCACACAGTCTGTGTTGCTCTAGGGAAGCTTGCTTAAGCTTTGGTGTCCATGTGGCTGATGTTGGTCTAGTTAGCTGATGCAGGTGATGTGAAGTCTCCACATTAAATAACCTGTTTCTTCCTGGTGTGGCCAGTCACTCTAAAAATGTCACATGTGGATAGGACCACTGTGATTTTCTGAGTTACCAGCCCCTGCCCTAAACAAGGGAACTCTTATCAGATATAACATAGATTACTTTCTTTTTTTTTTTTTTTTTTTTTTTTTTGGTCTTTTTCGTTTTTATCGGTACCAGGGATCGAACTCACGACTGCCTGCTTGCAAGGCAGGCCAAGGCAGGCGCTTATGCCACTGAGCTAAATCCCCAGCCCCTAGATTACTTTCTAGAAGCAAAGGTTAGACTTCCCTTGGGCCAGAGCAGAATTACTCACAAGGCCATCCTGGGGTCCTCCACTAAGGCTCTTAAGTAAAAACAAACATGTTTATCTGGACATCTGTATTCCACACAGCACTTGTACCACAGACACAGCAGTACTATCATTCTGGACATGCTTAATGTGTGGAGAAGTCCATGTAGGTTACAGATTTAAAGAAATGACTGATACACCAGGGCAGGGCAGTGGTGGCAAACTTAGGACACACGTGCTGTGCGCAGCAGGCTTTTATCAACTGCTGCACTGGGGTGCAGCTCAGTGGGAGGACATATGCCTAGCACAACATGAAAAGGTGTATCCCAGGAAAATGGAGCAGCACGCCTAACAGCAGAGGGTTAGGCAGTGGCATATCCTTGGAGTGGTAGGAGGAACACTGTATGGCATGCATGGCAGCAGTGGAGGGAATACGGTAGGTGGGAGAGGTGGGTTGCATATGGATTTTATAGACCCTTGGGAGGTTTGGGTTTTTATTGTATATTCAGTAGGAAGATAGGCTTCTTTTCATGGTATGGTCATTTGTTTTTCAAAGAAAAAGAAAGAAAACAGTAGGTAACATAGATACAGAAATCATTCAGGAGGCTGCTGTAATAATGGGCGAGAGAAATGATGAAGGTCAATATGAAGGTAACATTATAACCATCCTGACTTAGTTACTTTCTCTCTTTGTTGGGACAAAACACTGGACACCCAAAGTGAAGGAAGAAAAGGTTTATTTAGCTCACAGTTTGTGGAGGTTTCAGTCCATAGTCAGCTGGCTCCAAGGCAGGGCAGCATGGTACAGGGGCAACACTTAAAAGTGGCAGAAGACACAAAGCAGCAAGAGCAGATAGGAGAAGAGCAAGCTTCTTTCTCTTCCAAAATCCACCAGGGCAAATATTAAGTCGTGTAGTTCCATGTCCAGCATCTGAAACAATCTGGCACATTATGAGCTCCAAAAGGCTTGCATGACCCTGTCCCTATGGCAATTTTATGCTGTCCTCTTAGGGGCACACTGCTGGGCTCTAGGGCCTTTTTTTGAAATGTGAGTGGAAGCGTTTTTAACCTCAGAACTCCTTCTGCACACACCTAAAATCAATGCCACATGGATGATCCAAGGTCTGCTGCCAGCTGGAGCAGGAGCCAGGCTTCCCTCTCTCTTGGTTATAGGATTTGAGAGCATGGAGTGCTCTGAATCCAGTTTTGAGGAACAGATCTCTAGGCCACTGCCATGCTGGAACATGGTGCTCTCTAGCTTTCTTAAAGCAGTCTTTCACTTACACAGTTTTGCGGATGCAGAACTGTGAAACTTGTTTTTTGTGATTCCTTCAGGCCATCTTTTCTATTCTTTTATTCCTTCTCAGCAATTGAGATCTCACCTGTGTCTATCTTTAACAGCTTTACGAGAGCTTCCTTTCTGCATTTTAAATCATCCTGCTGGGCTGTTTGTTCTTGATTCTCAGCATAAATCTGGCTAAAAGACCCCAGCAATAGGCAAGCTACTGCCTCAACATTCAACCGCCTTGAAATTTCTTCTACCAGATTAATTAGTCCACCACTTATAATCTTAGACCGAGGACTCAAGCAAAATACACACTTTCTACCAAAACATAATGTACATCATCTGGAGTCCAGTAGCCAATACAGTCCTTTTCCCAAGCCTAGTCTTCATCAGTTTTGTAGTCTTCTGAGCTCTGACCAGAATCTCCTGTTCAGAACAGCCTAGATGTCCCAGTACTATTCTTTCAGGCAGCATCTCCAGACCTTTCCACACTCTTCCCACAAGCCAGTCCCAAAGGCTCTTGAACCATATGGTCAAATAATAATCACAGCAATGACCCCACTTTTCTGGCATCACATTCTGTCTTGGTTACTTTTCTCTGGTTGCTGGGACAGCAAGATGAAGGTGGAAAGGTTTATTTGGCTCACAGTTTGTAGAGGTTTCAGTCCATGATCAGATGGCTCCAAAGCACGTGGCACAGGGGCAGCCGTTCAAAGCAGCAGAAGCAGCCAGAGCTAAAGGGGTGGGGAGCAAACTTGTTTTCCTCCCTTATAATTGCATGTGTGCAGGCTGTCAGCATGGTGGTGGTAGGGGGTACTCACACCACCTCTCTGCCTTCCTCTTGTAGGGGATGAGGATGTTTACAAAGAGGACCCTGTCTCCCTGCTGAGCCCCATAGTTAAACTTCTAAACTTGCAAGTTGACACAATGCACCAACCATTACAATCCCCTAAATAAATAATTTATTGCAGACCCTGGCAGAAATAGTTTGTAAAACTTTTTCCTTTTTCTCCCCAGGTTTGAAGTCTTGAGTTTTCTTATGCTATGTTATAATTCTGCTATTGTGTATATGCCAGCTTCATCTTACCAGTCCCTTTGTCAAATGGGCTCCAGGTGAGAATTATTATTGTCAACTTTCATATTCATTCATTTGACCAATATTTATCAAGATTGTTATTTGCCGGACAGTGTTTTGCCTCTCATGGCACAGCAGTTAACAAGAATTACGTCCCTCTAGGAAGCTGAGTCATTCCTCTTGACTTCTTGAGAATTATTTTAGCATTAAGGGAATAATTCCTTCCTAAAGAAGGACTTAGGTCAAGACATGTAAATTTAGGATTGTCTAGTGATACCATCTCTAGATGGTACATTGTTGATAGTGTTGACTGCATAGACAGTTTCCTGTCTCTGAGTCTGGCTTGGCCAAGTCCTCAGCTCAAGATTCAAAGCGCTACACTTGGGAAAGTCTCCAGGACTATAAACCTTTTATACATTTCACAAATAACTGCCTCAGTGTTAGGGAGAATGTAGCTGTGATATCAGTTATCTCTGTGGTTGCCTGTCTGACAGATTACAATCTGAAATCAGAATTTCTAATAATGTGGACAAATTTGACTAAAATTTAAATTTCCACTATAAAAAAGATCTAAGTAGTACATAGTCCCAGAATTTTAGCTCCGAGTTTTCCTGTTCAACTGATTTTTACTTGAGGAAACTGAGTCCCCCAAAAAGTTGAATGGTGTGTTACTGTTCTGATGCTGTATAATAGGTGACTCATCTTTATTAAGGCATCACACATATGTGATTTCATAGCACGTACAGGCCAGGAATCTAGGTCTGCCTTACCTGGGTTCTTGGCTTAGTGTTTGCTAGGCTGTGCCTGAAGGACTGGGGGCTGGGTCCACTCTCAGTTCCATGCCGAATGGGATGTGATATGGCAGCCTACTACTTCAGTGCAAAGAGCTGAGGATGAGCCAGCAAGCCCTGGGGTCTTAGTCCACATAGTCACGTGATCATGAGCTTTTCATGACTTTGCAGCCTTCTGTTGGAAGCAAGTCACAGCTCTGCTTCAAGGATGACACAGCGTAAATCCTCGAAAAGAGTGTTGCAAATACTTAGGTCATCTTTGTATGCTTTGTGTTCCTGGGAAGACTGCAGTGCTTTTTATAACAAAACATTAATTTTGCTAATTGGGAGAAGCCTAATCTAAATGCTATGTCAATAATTTTAAAGATTCTCTAAAGTAAATATATTATTGCCTGGAATACATTTTTTGTTTTTTGGTACCAAGGATCGAACTCACAACCTTGCGCTTACCAGGCAAGTGCTTAAGCCACTGAGCTGTATCCCTGGCCCCTGGAATAACATTTTCAAATGAGTCTCTTACTGGCTAACACAGTCCTTAGTAGCAAAAGCTATGGCAGAGGCTACTAGTCTTCTAATCCTTGTTTATATATCTCCTTAAAGAATTTTGAAAAGCTTCCTATTCTTTATGCATTTTCAAGCTGACATTTTAAGCTTCTTATCGTGTGTGTGTGTGTGTGTGTGGCATTGCCAGGGATTGAACACAGGAGCTTGAATGTGCTAAAGCAAGCCCTTTACCACTGAGCTACCTGTTTTTGTCAAGGCTGCTCTTAAACACGAGATTCTTCTGACTTTGCCTCCCAGGTAGTTGGGATTAAAGGTGTGCACCACCTTGCCCAGCTTCAACATCTTTCTGTCTTTTTAGTTGCACATAGTACAGTTTCCAATATCTAAATACTGGGATAATTTGTAATAACTGGGATAATTTGTAAAACAATAGCAGTATATTCTTGCAGTTCTGTAACCCTGAAAGTCCACACTCGAGGTGCCCAGTAGGTCCCAGTAGGTCCCTGGTACAGGTGCTCTCCTTGGCTTGCAGTCAGCAGCCATGTGTGTGTCTCCACACATCAACTTGGGAAAGCGAGAGAGCCAGAGAGAGCTCACTGGGTTATTTTAACTGTACATGAAGTAACCTAGAGACCTGCTACCCATGAACATCTCTTGAAGAATAAATGAGCAGGCCTCTTATTTGGTAGGCTAACATTATACTATTTTTTCTTCTTGAAATTGAATTTCCACTTGACTTTCCCACACTGTTCTGTCTTAATATAATGCCATCAACAATTTGGAATATGTTATTGATCACTTAACTGTAAGTAAAAATACATGTGTGTAAATGAAATTTTTAAAAATTTATTGAGACCATAAGGCACTAAGTACTGTAAATTCCTTTTCTGGACTCACATTTATTGTGAAAAATTAATTGATTAAAATAATAAAATTACAAATTTGGTCATTATTAAAGGATAGTATTTTTGGAAGGATCTCTGGGCTGGATGGAAGGTAGGGAGAGTCCATGGTTCCATGGTAGGAAACAAAAAATTTAATTAATGAATCAGGAAATCACACATGGTAAATACTGTGTTTTCCTAGGGTTTGTGTGAGTGGGTTTCCTCGGCAACATGAAAAACACTGGAAAGAACTCTGTGGTCGAATAGTGTTGGATCCTGAATTTATGGTGCAGCTTCTCACAGGGGTTTATTATGCCATGTAAGTAGGCAGAGTTTGCACTTCATGAATTTTTCCTAATGTTTGGATATTCTTTGTGTTTCCTTCCTTTATCAGAAATAATATAGAATTCGTTACATAGTGGAACAAAAATCGTGTTTTTCTACTATGATTTCCTTTTAATACTTTTAAAATAGCCATTGTATAATATAACTAGATAGCAAAATTGGAATCATCTTAGAAATTATCAGGCTTTCCGAATAGAAAACTGTATATATCTCTTCATTGTTTATAAGCCAAGTTTTCATGAATGTATGAGTTAATTTACTCTGAATATGAAAACATAAAGAACAATTTATACAGAGAAATGTTTTGCTTGTAGCTTTTTGAAACGGGGTCATCACCATGGATCTGAACTACTTTAAACATAATAGTCTGGGCATGGTGGTGTATGCTTGTAATCCCAGCATGCAGGATTGGTGTGAAAAATCATGACTGAAATAGTGGTACTTGGAACAATTAAAAAGTTAAGATGTCTGGCATGGTGGTGCACACCTGTAACCCCAGTACTAGGGACACTGGCAGGAGGATTGCCCAAAGTTCCAAGCCAGCCTCACCACATAGTGAGACCCTATCTCAAAACACAAAACAAAAGTTGTGTTAAAGATTAGAGATCCTTGCTAAAGACAGCAAATTGGCTGGGCATGGTGGTACATGTTTGTGATCCCGGCACTTGGGAGGCTGAGGTAAGACGATTGCCATCAGTTTGAGGCCAGCCTGAGCTGCATAGTGAGTTTTATGCCAGGCTGAACTGCATAATGAAACCTTGTCTCCCAAATAAAGGTGGAGGGGCTCCTAGGCATGTAGCCCAGCTGCATAGGTGCCTGCCTGGCAAGTGTGAGGTCGTGGATTCAGTCCCCAGTACCAAAAAAAAAATACAAAGACGATATGTTTTCTCATTTTCCACAGGTACAATGGACAGTGGGAACTTGGCCAGGAAGTTCTTGATGATATCATTTATAGAGCTCAACTAGAACTCTTTTCTCAACCACTATTGGTAAGTTATTTATTCTTTATTAAATATGCCTATGTCTAAAAATGCACTATTGAGTTAAAAGAAAAAGGAAAATAGAGTTGATATAAAAGAATTAAGCATTTCAAAATCATTTCAATAGAAAAAAGTTTTTAAGTAATTAATGAGTTCTCTAGAAGCCTGTAGTACTTGTACTTGGTAGGCTAGAGATGGGGATCATGAGTTGGGAAGGCATTCTCAGCAGAATGATAAATGTACCACATTTATGTGCAGTGCATAAACAAAAATATTCTCAGCAAGCATAAGGACAAGAAAAGCACAATTCAAGTGCTATTCAATAGAAAAGATTACACACTCCCCTAAACACCATCAAGTGTCAGAAATGTTAATGATGGGTTACCTGGCAAATGTTCACTTCTGCTGGTGAGTGGAGGGGTTATTCAGTGTCAAACTGTTGGCACAATTCTGACCACCCCTCTGCAGAAACACTTTGGTAATTTGTGTGTTTTCTCTGATTTCTTGTTAGTGTATTCCAGGAAACTAAATCCCAAAAGACAGTAAGCACAACATTATAGTATTATTTAATTGCAAAGGAATAAAAGTCTAAATGTTCCACAGAAATTTATGTGTTTATTTGATAGTTTCATGTTTAAGAATTTATATTAAAGATAAATATTAATTTGTATTAAGTGGAAAGGAAATAGACACAAGACAGAGGAAACTTGAAATGTTAATAGATGTGTAAATAATTTAACTGGAAATTTTATTGCTTTCTAGTAAGCTTATGTAGTGTTTTATAAATATTATCTATGCATTTTCTGCTTGCAGTTCTTTTAAAAATGCCTTTTTGTGAGTGTGAAGGGTATAGGGCTTGAAACCCAGAGCCCTCATGCTGGACGACACCCCCAGCCCTTATTTTTTATTTTGAGGCAGTGTCTAAGTTGCTAAATTGCCAAGACTGAACTGTACATTGCAGTCCTCCTGCTTTAGCCTCCCAGAGTGCTGGGATTGTAGGTAGATGTGTGTCACCAGGTTGGCTTACCATTCCTGATTTTACCATGAGTAACATTAAAACAAAGAGATAAAAAAATTGAAAGGTACATCTTCAAAATAATACTTTGTATTTATGAAACTTAAGATTCTTAGTCTATTCGTGCATCAGGCTTACAAATTAAATTGAAGTAGCATCCAAGATATTATATGTAAAGAAGAGGTGACCCCTTTTCACAGCTGGAGCCATATGATAAAGGGCGTAGTTGACACATAAGTCAGCATCGTCTGAGGAAAATGATAACAACTAAACTCAGGAGACTTAACCCTGTATCCCTCTATCATCCATGGACCAGGCAGCAGGTCCTGGTGGGCCGGTCAGTCTCACCTGTCTGTCCAAGTTGTTCCGTCCCACACCGGTGGAGAGGGAGGGGGGGAGGAAGTGGTGTGCTAGCTCACGACTCTTGCTGGATCCACACTCCCGTTACAGGGCATGGCTGGTCTGATGCCAGTTACGCATCATTCAGCTTAGCACAAAGTAGTGGGGTGTGGCGCCGGAAGTGTGCGGGTGTGGAGAGGGCTAATGCTCATGTGGGATTAATGTTGCATGCTGTTTATCATTTGAATAGTCAGAAACTTAAGTCTAAAACCAGGACACAAATGTTAAATGCTTTTTCTCTTCAAAAGTTAACTGAAAGGAGTCCATACCATATGTGATTCACATTTTTAAATATAAATGCTCATTTATTTAAAAGCCTACTGAAAAGATTACAATCCAGGCTGGGTGTAGTGGTACACACTTGTAATCCCAGCAATGAGGAGGCTTAAACAGAAGGATCATCACAAATTGGAGACTGGCCTGGACTACAGAGTGAATTCAAGGCCAGCCTGGACTAACTAATGAGTCTCTCTCAAAAAAATGAAAATGAGAGAATACAGAACATTGGCAGTACCACCCTTTCTGATATATATGTATAATAGTACGTTTAATTTTTTTCTTTTATTTTTTTAAAGGGAGAAAAAGGTTTATTTAGCTCACAGTTTGTAAAGGTTTCAGTCCATAATCAGCTGGCTCCAAGGTAGAGTGGTACAGGGGCCGACGGACAGCAGTTCAGGGATGGAAACAGCAGAAGCAGCAAGCAATAGGGGCGAGTGAGAGAGGAGAGATGGGGGAGGGAGCAGCAGTACAGGTGTGCAACAGGTGGAAACAAGAAGTACAGAATAACCAAAAAGTGTATGTTTGTTGTAAATTTGTATAGACTCACATTGTCATTTTAGGTTGCCAACGCTATGAAAAACTCGCTACCATTTGATGCTCCTGATTCCTCACAAGAAGGCCAGAAAGTCCTGAAAGTGGAGGTCACTCCCACAGTGCCAAGGATTTCTCGGACTGCAATCACAACGGCCTCAATCCGTCGTCACAGATGGAGAAGAGAAGGTAAGGACAAAACCCCACAGTCTGCTCTACATGTCAGGTACATTTACCAGATTGCACAGGTCATGTTACTACATAGAGGACTCTATAATGAAAGATTTTTTGGTTTTTAAAAGTAGCACTAGAGCCAGGTATGGTGGTACACCTGTAATCCCAGTACTCAGGAGGCTGAGGCAGGAGGATCACTATGCGTTCAAGCCAGCCTGGGCTACAAAGTGAGTTCAAGGCCAGCCTGAACGGCATAGTGAGATCCTGTCTGAAAAGAGGGAAAAAAAGGCATTAAATGCTTAAAATTATTTTAGTGTAAATACATATGAATATGTATAAAGATGTTAGACTGCTATATGAATGTTAAAACAGAAAATAAGACCAGGTTAATTTTAATATTTTTCTGAACTTGTGGTAACAGTAGAAACAAAGTCATTTGAGCTGTTACTTCCTGGGAAGAGCAGGTGCATGTATGAGCACTGTGGGAGGAAACTCTCTGGCCAGCCCAACTGACAGTGTGCCACTGCAGCCCATACCGACCGAATCGGTTCTTGTTTTCAGATTCTTGTCTTTGCTTTTCCTTACTTATACATGCTGAGCCCAGCAGTATTTCATAGACTGGAACAGTCAAGCTGTCTTGCCAAAGACATACCAATTGTAATGATCCCTATTCTTGTCTTTCCACTTGCAAACCTCACATTGTTCATCTGCCACCTCATGTGCGTGCAAGCTGTGCACACACATGTAACTGTTAGTAATGTTGTGTTAATAGCATATCCATATATACATTCTCTTTACCTGCCTGGGTCAGAGTGCTCAGGAAAGAGCAGAGCAGCACGAAAGCACTAAAATGTTATATGTTGAATCCCAGATGGCTTTGACTTCTCAAACGAGGCTGACTCGAGTATTCCTGGCTCCCCGATCCAACACGGCTCCACTGACCTAGGGATCAAACGTGTGCACGAGGGGGCGGTGCTGGTGCGCAGGACCCCTGAGCGCGGCTCGCCGGAGCCCACCTCAGCAGCAGCCACAACAGAGGGTAGGACAGAGATGAGGAGGAGGCAGATGTCAGTGAGGCAGCTGCTGCGGCAGAATCCCGGTCCTCTCTCCCCCGCAGAGCATCTCTCCATCCTAGTGTGTGTTTCTACCACCCCAGGGGGTACTAGCTCCTCCTTGCAAAGCACCCCTCTTCCCCTATGCCTAGCACCAGGTTAGGTTCACTCTTCAGTTCCCCTTTGTGCTGGCCTGGAGTGTGCGTCCGTGTGACCCAAGAGCAGCTTGGCATGGCTACTAACCAGCAGGGCCTGTCTCCCAGTCTGCAAGTGCTTGGAGTTTTTACCTTACTGAGCATGTTTATTTATGAGTCTTATTAGTCAGCATGAATGTATTTATGTAATAATTTGTTCTTTAAGAACCTGTCAGGAGATTTTTAGAACTTAATATTCTTGGGAAACTGAAGTGAAACTGGCCAATTTATCTGTATTTCTAAGGAGTGTTCGGTTAACAATGCCTTACCCTTTTAGCAGAATGTAATAGTATTGATTGGCTTTTTAGAATCTGTTGGTCAAGTAAATTAGGTCTAACTAGTAAATGAGTGGTATTTTTTTCTCTATAAATGTGCTACCTGGTGCACATTGCATGTTACAACTTCATGTAATGCTTCTTTAGATAGCTCCCAGGATTGAATGTACTACTTAGAGGTCAAAACCCTAGTAGATCCTTTATTCTACAAATTAGGCCTCTCTATCCAACCTCCCTATCCCTATGAAAGAACACGTCTCTTGTCCAGGAAAAGTTACTTGCTGTTTTGCTGCAGGAGTTAGTGTTGTAAAATGGGGAGCTGTAGCCAGGCAGTTTTCCTTGCTTAACACATTGCCTATACCGTCTTTCTGCAGTTTGTGAAATAAACCAAGCATTTGTGAAAGTAGTTGCATATTTTTACTTATTGCAAAAGCCAAACATCCTAAAGCAGTGAACTTCCACCTGCAGGAGTTCCTGCTCTTTGTTGCTATAGAGATTTAAGCATGCTCAGTAAAAACCTAAGTCAGCCCTGTCTCCTGCCCTTTGCCGGGATGGAACTTACTGCAGTGAACAGTGCTGCCTGCGCTTGACAAGGGGCCCAGAGAGTGGCGCTGTCCAGAAAGCCCTTTGTATGGCTATGGAAGATGCAGCCTTCCTGTTTGGTTTTCATACTCTTCATGATGTTCCTAGCAAACAATTAGTTGTATAAATACATAAAAATGAAATTATGAATAGATGTAGAACCTGGAGTTTCCCTAAATTGAGCATCAGCCCATTTTTTTTCAACATTTTTGATAATTAAATGAGCCACTCGGTGTGCATCAACTGCCATTACTAGGATGTCAGGAATATTTGTGCTAAATATAGTATTATGTTACTCAGTGAAATTCTAGGAAATGTCGTATTAGTCTGAAGCATTGCTTCCAATTGATGAGAAGCCATATATTTTTTGTTTTTATTTTGAGACAGAGTCTCACTGTGTGGTCCAGGCTAGCCTTGAACTCATCATGTAACCCACGCTGGCCTTGAACTCTTGGCGATCTTCGTGCCTCAGTCTCCCAACTGCTGCAATTACAGGCCTGCGCCATCATGCCCAGCAGAAGTCAAACACTTTGAAAGAGGAGCCAGAATAGTAATTTCTTCTCTCAGTAGCCTATTAAACATTGCAGTGTTTCCTGCTACTGGTAAAACTCAGTTTAGGGAGGGGAATGGGAGAGTGTGGCCACAAGGACAGGAGAGGAAGTTTCTTGAGCATATGTGAAATTTCTAAAAACTGACTTGATCTTTTAATCTCTTGGTTTATAATTTAAAATGTCTATTAGTGGAAGCTGACTATAGGAAAGGCAGCTATGAATAGAAACATTTTCTAAAAATTATTGTTAGTTTTTGGATCATGTGGGCTGGGGATTTAGCTCAGTGGCATAAGCGCCTCCTGGCAAGTGTGAGGTTATGAGATCAGTCCCCGGTACCAAATAAATAAAGAATTCTTAGTTCTTTGGATCATGAATAGTATTGTCACGAAGGGATAAAATTAAAAAGGAAAAATGTTGTGAGACACAGTTGCCTTTTTATTCCTTGAGGTTTTATTAAACAGAAAGAAATTGTGAAAACCTTGGCTAAACTGGGCGTGGTGGCACTCTCCTATCATGCCAGCACTCAGGAGCCTGACGCAAGACAATCATTAACAAGTTCAAGACCAGTCTGAGCTACAAAGTGAAGTCAAGGCTGGCCTAAACTGCATAGCAAGACCCTGTCTCAAAAATACCCCCAAAGACTCCCCCCCCCCAAAAAAAAAAAAAAACATTGGCCAAGCATAGTGGCACAGGCCTGTAATTCCAGCACTTGGGAGGCCAAGGCAAGAGGATCATCAAAAGTTTTAGGCCAGCCTGGGCTCCTTAATGACTTCAAAACCAGCCTGGGTTACATAGCCAGACCCCTGTCTCAAAAAAGTAAAATAAAACTTCAGTGATTTTGTAGTTTGCTGAAGCTTCTGGATTCATGTAGGTAATTGACTTTCTTTTTTTTTTTTTTTTTTTTTTTTCAAAAACCACATTTTGCAGTATGACTACTTTAAATTTTTCCAATTTAAATTATTTATTATCTGTTGAAATTGAAGGTGAAATATCAGCCCATCACTGAACTGAAGACAGTGCTTATGATACAAGTAGTGTCGTTGTTCCCTTACACTGAAACAGGCTTCTTAGCCTATAAAACACTAGTAGATTCTCTTGCATGGTTGCTTTTATGTTATCATCTCTTTTATGGCCATATTGCTTGGACGTCAGATCTGCATGTGGCAAGATTCAAAGCTAGCACTAAGTCTCTCAGTCTCTTTTCCTAATTATATAAATCCAATAATTAATTTCTATTTGCTCCCAGTTTTTTTTTTTCACTAATATTCTGATACAGTAATTCTCTGTTCTTAGAGCAATTTGGAGTTTTTTAGCACAAAGTAAATTACTAAAATGATGCCACAGAAATATAGTCTTTTTGAGGTGCATTTTATATAGGTTTTCTTGAAGGGATTGAGAGAAGTGGTGTCAGCTGCTACTATTGTTAGTAAATGCATTTTCACATGGCTTTGCATGATGATTAAAGTTTTATTAAACTGCTGGGTGTGTGGGTGTGTGTATATATATACACATACATATATATACACAGTAGATAGTATAACAAGGTGCTTTTGCTTTAAGAATAATCTATTTAGAAGAAATAACTAATCCATATGAGAGCATGTTTTTATTCTTCTAGGTATTACATTACAGGTTGTGTTTTGCATATGTTTTGCTTAGGAATCTATCAAAGTAGTATTTGTTTAGATGGTTTCCTAATATTTTATCTTAAATATTACATTAATATCTGTTTTATAGGTTCAAATTAAACTTTTTTGTTGTCTGTGGAAAACAGTTTGCAAATCAACAGCCATGGCAGTGTAGCAAACAAATAATCAATTTTTAAAAAAAGAAAATATATTAACTTCTAAGAGATTGATTACACTTTCAGTAAGAGAACTGGGCTTTATGGAAACTACAAGCTCAATGTATTATTACATGCTTTTCTTTCCACAAAAACTCAAGATAAAGATTCTTTCACTAATTTCATGCGCATTCTGCATGAAGTTTACTATTACAGTATTTTGTGACCACAACAGTAGTATATTTCAGTGTTGTTACAGTATAGAAATAGATAATGTTGACCAAAAAGGTCCGTCGTAAATGTCCCTGCTGGATTCCTACCCCTGCTCCTGACAGTGTTTCCTTCCCATCAGCGGATAAGAAAATGGGGAGGAAGACCAGTGAGAAGACAGGAACACGAGACACAGCAGGGCCGTGACATTTCTGGAAACCGTGTGGCATTTTAGTTGTTAGAAAATGTACTAGTTCCACATTACAAGTTGTAAACTCTCATAGAAGCAGTTAGCTTAAGTAAATACAACATTTTATTGTACTTAGGGGGGTTTGAGTTTTTGGTGCCTTTCTGGATACCTGAAATTAGAAGACAGTCTCCATTGTGCAGTCTCTCCTGTGGTGGGTTAAAGATGATACAAGGAAAAAGTTGTCTGGGTTTATTAAATAGGTAGCTATAGTTATCTCAGATTGATGACAGTGTGTATTAAAGATTTGTGATGACAAAATGTTGTGTTTTACCTAGTTTTATGTGTCTAATTGTTAGTATACTTAAGTCTATTTTGGATAGTTTTCCCAAAGCTGGGCTGATGTACACTAAAGGAACACAGGTTTGTGTAGACTTAGGGGTTATTCTTCCAAGTTACTTAGATGAAGTCTGACAGTCAGACCGTTAGCAGCCTGCAGCAGGCATTGCTTGAGATGAGGTCAGTGTTGTTCTCGTCTGCCTCTCACTTAACCCAGAGGTCCTGAGTCTGTCTGTTTTTTAGGTGCTGAAAGCATAAACGGAGGAGAAGAGTTTGCAAACCTGAACGATGCTGATGAAGGGTTTTCGTCAGGGGCCTCCCTCAGCAGTCAGCCTGTTGGGACCAAAGCATCCTCCTCTTCTCAGAGGGGAAGCTTGCGGAAAGTAGCCACTGGGCGTCCAGCCAAAGATAAAGAGGCAGCTTCTGGCACCAGATCCATTGAGAGCCCTCGAGAGTCAGTAGTTCGCAAACAGTATGGGCAGCAGCTGACTGACTTTAGTGTAGACTCAGTTGAGCTGACACCCATGAAGAAACACCTGAGCCTGCCTGCTGGGCAGGTGGTGCCAAAAACCAACAGTCTGAGTCTGATCCGAACAGCCAGCGCTTCCTCCAGTAAGTCCTTTGACTACGTGAACGGCAGCCAAGCAGGTACCAGCATTGGGATCGGCACAGAGGGCGTCACCAATCTAGCAACTAACAGTGCTAACCGATACTCAACTATCAGCCTCCAGGAAGAACGGCTGGGTCAGGCTGGTGATGGGAAAGAGCTCCTCAGCCCAGGAGCCCCTTTAACCAAGCAGTCCCGCTCCCCAAGTTTCAATATGCAGCTGATATCCCAGGTGTAGCTTCGACACCCCCTCCTCTCTTTCCACTTTCCTTGTAACTGAACTGACACTTCGTGTGCAAAAAGACACTTCATTCCGCCTCGTGAAATCCTGGTCATCGCGGTCCGACTTGGGTTAGTTTAGTTATATTCATACTGTACTTTGTATGGAAACAGCAATAAGGTTTTCTTTCTCTCCTTCCGTGTCTCTACCTGTGCCCTTCCTGTTCCTTGTGTGCTGTGAGCAGTGTGAAGCGCTTGCCTTCCCATGCCTTCCCTCCTCCTTGGGTGATGTGCAATCCATCGCAGGCGGATCAGCCCCATTTCAACACTGTGAGACTGAGGTGCGTTGGAGGAAATGCTGGATGTGATCCCTATGAAATGATTCTTTGGCTTTTGTTTAAAAACAAAACAAAAACGGGTTTGTTCACATAATCTATAGAACTATGAAGATGACTGGATCATATTTTTTCTTTTAACCAGGAGTGCCTCAGAGATTCTGCTATGATTTTGGACTTCTCTGAGTCTGTGCAATTGTTTTCTCAAGAAGCATGGGGAAGGGTGGTAGACTACTGCACTTTTTCATTAAAATGAGGGTGGCCCATTTCCCCCCTTTCCTTTATCCTGGGGACATAAATGTTCAATTACTAAGGCATTTAAGTCAATTTACAGCCACCTCCTTTGGGGGGCCTCTATGCCGATCGTGTAATTGATAATGCACTTTCTCAATGGCGCTCTAGTCATTACTAACATGTCTTCCCTCTTCCCACCAAGACTTAGGGTCCTTTTTCTCCTTGAAGTTTGAACAGCTAACAAATGAGAATCCAAGGGGCATGTTCTGTTTCCCAGGAATGATTGACTTGGTGCTGGGGTTTTGTGGGGGGAGGGGTTTTGTTTCTTGTGTGTGAGGGGAGGTTTTGATTTGCTTTTTTCTCTTTTGTGAGCTGATGACTGAAGTAGAATTGTACGTCTTCAGGTAAAGAGAGGGATTTCTCAGTCCATTTTGTGAAATGTCAAGACTATTGGAGAAACCCTTTCAGCTGCTTTCTAGATGTACTTAAATTCAGTCAAGTATTTTGGATTAAGAAACTTAAAGTCCTGATAGATTATATATTCCGAAGCAATGTATCAGGGACAGATAATTGGCTGAAAACACTGATGCTTCAATGTGACACATTTTTATAGAACATTTCTACCAGGGGGTACTGACTTGATTTCTCCTAAAAGGACCACACTGCCTTTGTGTTTAATATGATGCAATTTGTGTATCTTCTAATCATATTTCTGCAGTTTGTCGTTTTTATAAAACTTTGAAATCATGCCAGTAAGCTAGATAATGAATGTATGTAAGTAGCATTTGGTAAATGTTAAGAGGCCACAAAAGTACTTTACTGGCTTAAAAGTTTTACATTTTGATTTGGTTGGATAAGACTATTACAACCTCTTCTGAGTGTTGGGCTCTAATGTTTGGATAAAGAAGGGAATACATTAGACTTTTGGAAACAGTATTTAACTTGAAGTTGTATAAATCACCCTTTAACAGAGTACTATGGAGTGCATTGTACATTTAGACATTTTTAGTTATTATGAAAGAAAAATATAGTGAGTTTATAGAAAGCAAGTATTCTCATAAAAAAGTTGAAAATTTTATGTCTACCAATTAAACTTACAGTAGGTCTTGTTAATAAAATAACTGAACACAGTTTCTGTTTTTTCATACTTAAGAATCTCCTGTTCCATTTTAATTATAAGAGCATTTTCTTTTTTCAAAAAGGATGTGGAGGGCTTTATGTTGGAATCTTTGTAAGAATAGTGAGGTACTTGTTTTGTTGTCTTTTTGAAATGGTCTTGCTATTAAGGTACTTGTTTGAATTTGGTGGTTTGTAATTTATGTCAGCTCATGAGAATGGAAAACTAAGGGGCTGGGGATTTAGCTCAGCGGCATAAGCACTTGCCTTGCAAGGAGGCAGTCGTGAGTTCAATCCCCGGTACCGATTTAAAAAAAGACAAAAAAAGAGAATGGAAAACTAGAACCTGACCCAGTGTCCTTCATATGGCCAAAGTTCAAGAGAAAGCTAAAAGTTGATAGGCAGTTGATTGTGTGTGTGTGTGTATGTGTGTGTGGTATGTATACATGTAGATCACAGAGATGTTTGAGATATCTCTTATTTCTTCTCATTTTACTATGGGATGTCAAAAACAGCAGAAAAATTTTTCAACCACAAAAATAAATGAGGTGGGTATACCACACACAAGAAAGAAGATAAAGTTTCAGGTACACAAGAAAAAGAACATTGTGCTTAACAGGGAATAAGATCTTGGCAAAAGAAAAAAAAAAATACCTGGTTTTAAAAAGTTGTGTGTATACTGGCATGTAAACCAAGGATGGTTTCAGTTAAAAATTTCTTTGGTTAAAGAAATAACCAAATTACCCAAATTATAGCAAAAGCATAAAAATTCCCTTTGGTTAAGAATCTTGGGGCTGGGGTTTTAGCTCAGTGGCATAAGCACCTGCCTTACAAGCAGGAAGTCCTGAGTTCAATCCCTGGTACCGATAAAAAGGAAAAAGACAAAAAAAGAATTTTATGGCATACCTGAAAAGCTTAGTTTGAAAACTTTTTAATCATAGAGGACCTCATCAATCTCCATCTGCATATGAATAAGAGGAGTTTTTTAGAGGCTTTGTGTATGGGCATAACCGTTACTGTCCCATGATTTCATTTAACTGTTTGCCATTCCTTCAAGTTTGCCAATGCTTCAAAGAAACATTTCCTTTAGTTTGAACTTTGCATTCAGGTTCTTAGATTTGCTATGTATGATACAGTTAAGATGAAATGAGTTAGTTAAACTGTCAGATTTTCTAAGTTTAAAAAAATTGCTGCATTATTTATTTAAATAATTTAAAATAAGTTTGCTTAAGGTTTATAACAACCATAACAAATACATGCCAGCAACTAACATTTGATCCTTCGACAGGACAACTTTTTGTTTTATATTTTTCACTTTAAAAAGTATTCCATCCATCTATGGAAAATATATTTAGGGACAGAATACTTGTTTTGTATAGTAAAATAATTTGATTGATGCAGTTGTGTCAGGATTACAGAATACCAAGAAACATCTGAAGGTTTTGGGACTCTGATAAAATTTAAAGTCATGTTACTAAAAGCAAAGTTTAAATGTAAAGTGAGAAGTTACCTTAGAAGTTTTAAAATACGAAAATATCTTAATAAGCTAGAAGAAAAATGATTGTAACCTAAATGCTAATCCCCTAAGCACCACCCTTCCTTTTCTGAAACTTCACTCTTCTGTGCCTGTTTATTGGATCAGAATTTTTGTGCTAAAAGAGACCCTGGAGACACTCTAGCTAGTCTCCCCTCGCACACACATTCAGCCTCAGGAAATTGAGGCTCGAAGAGGTTGTGACCTGACTCCGTCACATAAATAAGAAGCAGAGCCAGAATCAGACCTTGTCTCCAGCAATTGCATACACCCACTGCCTCTCTTTACCGTGATCAATGTACGTAACATTTTCCATTTCTGCAGTTGCTTTGCATTATTGGTCTAGTTAGTAGTTGGTGAGTACAGCACATGAAGAAAAGTATTAAATCTAGAAAAAAATGAAGGGTGATAAATATAGATGGGGCAATGTTAGAAATGTAGGTGTCTATACAGATATAAGGATAGGTACATTATTCTTTAAGCTAATTTATGCCTTACGGATTTTCTGCCACATAACAGTTGTATGCTGCCATGTTGTTTATATGTGTAAAGATTTATTTAAGTGCAAAATAAACTTAAACAGTGGCTTGATCAGTGTTTCTAGCTACTTTAAAGTAATTTTTAAATCAGCCAGCTTTTAGTCACCAAGGTGGCCAGTTAATTGTATTGTACAATGGAGTATTATAAAGATGAAATAAATATAATTACATTAGTTTCCAGTATAGAGAGAGGTTGGACCTTACTGTGCTTGCAGCAGATAAAAGCAATATTTCCTTATGTAATTGAGAAAGGTTCATAGTGGGAAGCTTACGAATCCATAATGGAACAGTGACCATGACGTCAAACAAATTGTATATACCATATAAAATGTTGTCACCGTGGTAGTCTCAGCTATATAAGGTTCAATATTTCCAATGTGTATTCTTAAATTAATTATATTTATTAGACACTGGAATACTAAGAATAACTTCTTTCAGATTGTTTTGTTTGCACTATTGTGAATATTTTAATGAAATGGGGTGTTTTTCCTATCACTTTGTGAGGTTTGTATGAGTCTTAATTTTTGGTACATTAGTTGTTGACAATCACTTGTCTCATTTAATTCTCTGCATGTTCATTTGTAAATAAAAATACTAGTATGTGTCTTAATGGGTAGTGTACTGTACAAACACTGGCAAGGAGGAGCACCTCCGTTTCTGATCTTGGATTACATTAGAGTTAGTTTTTAAAAACCAGTGTTTCAATTACATATTTGTTTTTCAGTTTTGAAAAGCTCAGTAGGTCATGCTAGTGATCAGAAAATCTGTAAGAATTTTAGGGCAACTTTTCTATACTGTGGCTATGTTACACAGTCGGGACATGAGATTTTTTTATCTTTCAAGTTGAATGATTACTGTCACTGTTTCACCACCACGTTGGCTGAAACACATTTTGTACTACTTTTGAAAAAGTGGCTTTTAAAATACGTTACATGAAAACCAAGTAGAGAGAGATAACTTAAAAGTTGGAATATTTGCCAGATTTAAAAGAAGATGAGTATAAAATTAATAGCACTGATAAAATCATGAGTCACCAAAACTGTCCATGTTAAGTTGATCATAATTGGTAACATAACACAAATTTTAGCATTGTATTGTGAATACCCAATGGGTGTATCATACTGACACTGAACAACATAAGAAATAACCGTTCACACAGGGCTCACCATACATCTTCCTGCCCATGAAAGCACATGTCTACTAACCTAATCAGAGTCACAACTTTGGTCATTTCTTAGCCATTAGTTCTATGAGAAATAGAAAGCAGATAATTCAGGATAGGCATTAACAGAAAGCTATGAATGGTGTGAAATAATGCAGTGTAGCACAGAAACAGAGGTTCTGTGTTTCGCTTTTGAATTTTGAGGAACCATGTTCCTAATGTTTACAAATTAAAGCATATTCATATCTGCTACTCTGCTATTATAATTGATACAGATTTTACCAAAAAGTAGGTGTATGTAGCTTAAAGTATAAGTGAGTCCTTGTTTTAAAACTGTATTTGAAGATAAGTCTAATAAACAGATTCTTTTATTTTCAGAGAGAAATGAACTTAATTGGACAATCTGTTCCCAGCTACAGAATTAACAAGAATCTGGTTTGCTGTATTTCAGTTATAAACAGCTCAGTATTAAGTATATTAGAGGAAATTTTCTACAGCTTCATTAATTACAAAATTTACCAAAGAAAATCTTATTGTCCAAATAGTTTTTAAAGTACCTCTTAAGGAATCAACCCCCTTTAACATTAGGATTGCTTTCTAACTCCCGGGAAGTCATATTAAAAGTCTTTGATCTGGAAAATAGGTATACAGACAGTCTTCCTATGTCAGCAGCATGTGAATATTCCAGCAAAAGTACAAGTTAAAAGCCAAATTCAAATACTGTTATTTCTTCCAGCACATTTTCTTGTCTCCTTAACTAAAATTAAGGATTCTGCACATCAGTATTGAATAAAAAGGAAATTCCTAATGTTGGTGTATTATATGATATTGTGGGTTCTTCCAATAAAATTGCAGGGAAAATTATGGAAATGCACCTTTTCCACTGGGCAGTGGCAATTATTTCTGATAAATACAATACTGATTAAAATGGTATGGTTTACATAATTTATGTATATGATTGCTGAGTTTTTTCTTTGCATAAAAACATGATTGGATTAATAAAAGCTAAAATTTCTTAAATGTGTAGAAAAAGAACTACAAATTTATTGAAGCTGTTAAAAGATTTTTTTTAAATCACGTAATTGTACATTATCTGATAAAAGTTCTATGTATTTTTTTCACATGATAATTATAAAGTAATGAATGTTTTGATCAGTTATCCTGGAAGGAGAAAATTGGCCCTTTAATTATCCCTGCTATAGGTGTGGTTCTTATATTCCAAACTAAATTAATACATGCTCCATACGTTACTTTAAAATATTTATTGAAAAATTACTCCACATTGAATCTTTTTATTGTTACTCTAAAGTTTCAGCTGGGTTTGCATTCAGTTTAAGTGGTTAAATGAAATGATTTTACAATGCAGATTGTTTTCCCACTTTTTGTCAAGGCAATTTGGCTATCCTGAGCTATACATTCTGAAGGATTTTCACTGCTTAGGCTTTGTGCAGTCTGATCTCTGCAACAAGGGACAGCTACACAGAAAAATCCTACTCGTGTGTTTGCTTCATGAAAGAGTACAGAATGTATTAATTGGGTTTGTGGGGTTTTTTAACCAGCATTAACCTACAGTTTGGCATAAACTTCCCAAGTACTGAGGGAATGGTGCTGGTGAAACTTTAAATACGATAGGTTTATAGAAATTATCTCTACTGAATGAGGTCCTCAAACCTAGGACTAGTGAAAATCTCCATCTTTTGAGTAAAAGGAAAAAAACTGCACACTTAAGACCATATTTATTGGTGCATGTAAGCCATTATCCTGTCTCTAACTGATTATAATGCTGTTGATTGTTGAAATGTGAAATGTAATTAGTCACTGTTCACCTTGTAAATATCTGCCAGAGATGAAAAAATATTTTAAGTTACTGTAAATAAAGATGTATAAAGATCAATGTCGGTCTCCAATGCAGAAACAATCTAAGATGTTAAATACTGTGTTTCTTGACAAATGTGTAATTTTCTTCTAGGTGTATCTAGTTATATTAAGAATGTAAATTTTCTTTTGTACAGTATAAAAATACAGCTCTATTTGGCTTTTAACTGGATTTCCTTGAATTTATTTTATTTTAAGTGCTTTTTTGTTCATTTGTTTGTTTGTTTTTTGTATGTTTTTTGTTTTGGTAGGGGAGATGGGACTCATGACCTTGTGCATTTCAGGCAGAATACTGATGAGCTATGTCCCCGGCTCATTAAGTTTTATACAATAGTCCTTTCATTCTGTTTCTTCACGGTGCCATTTTATTTATGTATATCTGAACTTTTATGCCCTATTTAAAGTAAGGCAATGTATAAAATTACATATAACACTGATATAGGGGGAAAGAGTCCCAATCAGCTAGATGTCTGGTATGAGTTCATATTCTCAAATTGAAGAATGAGTTGAACTCTGCGTATTTTTTATAGAGCAAAACCACCAGGTAAGGCAGGTAGAGGTGGGGGAAATGAGAAATCATAAGGTGGGACAAAACTATGGTCACCCAATAGGACTGCAAACGTAACTGCTCAGATAATGCCGATTAGGAATCAAATGGGCAAGGGGGCAGGAAGCACAACAGGCTCTTCATGGCTTTCCCAAGATGATAGGTAGCTGTTTAGGTATAGTCACTGTTGCTTATTCTTAGGGGAAGAATGTGGGTGCCTTGCCTGTTGTTTTGAGGTCTGGCCTTCAAGGGATGTGTCTCCTCTAGAGTTGCGATGTACCCCACCTTCTAAACTGACTTCCATAGTGTAACCTGTCTAATTGCCTGTAATTCTTGAATACTACCTACCTTAGGGGTGCTAGGATGGGCCAGCGATTCCAGAATGCTATTTGTAGGAACTCAGATTTTAACTGAACAGCTTCTTGCTTGTACATGTTAGGCAAACTCACCTAAGCTATGGCCCCAGCCTTTTTTGTTTTGAGACAGGGTCATGCTAAGTTGCCCAGGCTGGTGCTGAACTTCTGATCTCTCTGCTGCAGCCCCCCAAGCAGGAGTTTCTGTGATTGCAGGCTTGCAGTCCACTTTGCACCTTACTACACTATCATTCACACTCTTTTGAAAGGCCTACGGCCTTGCTCATCGCAGGCAAGTGCGACCACTGTTGCACTGTGCCCAGCCCTGGTGTCTTCTGCAGGGTGTCAGAGTACCTGTTTCTGCACTCTGGGCAGTTCCCTCATCGTTAAACTTTATGGTCTTTTGTACACTGTGTTTGCAAAGATGTTTCCAAGGCTTTTGGAACGAGTGTTATAGTCAGGATTTGCAAGGAAAATAATTTAATACAGGACTTATAATTTATAGAATTATTTTACAATATTCACCAAAGAGTCAAATACAAGAAGTGCAGGAGAGCTGTCCACACGTGAAGACCCCAGTAATACAGCCAAGGACCTGGATCCCACAGTGATATTCTGTATGAGTCCAACTGAAGACCTAGAGCCCATGACCATACCTCCCACACTTGCCCCGACCAACTGGAGGCCAGGGGCCCACAACGTCTCCTGCAAGTCTATCATGGAACTGCACTGGGAAGGGTGGAAAGCACTCTGTTCTTTTCCCTTTCTTTACATCAAATTCCTAGAAAACCTCTGTGCCTTCTCCCCTCGGGATGTTATTCTTTGCTTTGAACAAAGGCTTTATGCTCCATCTTGTTGTGGATGTAAGCAGTACAAAGATCATGTATTGTATATATTAAGCCTCAATGCAAAGACATCAGTTCTAGAAGAAAATGATTTTGGACAACTCATAGGTTTGTTTTATTGTTTTGGTATCAGGAACTAAACTCAAGACCTTGAGCTAGCCTGGCAGTTATACCGCTGAGCTACATCCTGGGCTGCTGTTTGTTCCTTTGACTCTGGATCATTAGGAAGGATGAAATTCATGAGTTGACTGTTTCAAATGTTTTCCTTTTATTAGAAATGTCGGCCAGGGATTTAGCTCAGCGACATAAGCGCCAGCCTGGCAAGCACGAGGTCATGAGTTTAATCCCCAGTACCAAAAAAAAAAAAAAAAAAAAAAAAAAGTCACACTTGCTCATTTCTAAATTCTTGGAAAATACACAATAAGTTCAAAATAAAAATCATGTCTTTTGGCTGGGCATGGTGGCACACGCCTGTGATCCCAGCACAGGAGACTGAGGCAGGAGGATTGTTGCAAGTTCGAGACCAGCCTAGGCTACAAAGTGAGTACAAGGCCAGCCTGAACTGCATAGGGAGATCCTGTCACAAAAAGATCAAAAAAAAAATTCTTTTAAGGTGTTAAGAGCATAGGTGAGCAGCAGCACTATTCCTCCACACATTCATTTAGTTCTTATCCAGATATGTAGGTCACTGTTTCTTATTACACAGTTAATGATGGGCCCTCAGCATGTAAGACAACTGTGGCTGGAGGTGGTCACTGTAGGCCAGAGGAAAAGAGGGATATTGACCCCCACATACTGTCCCTAAAATGAACTGCAGTGATTGATGGCTTTTTTTTTTTTTTTTTTTTTTTTTTGTACCAAGGATCCAATTCACAACCTCATGCTTGCCAGATGGGTGCTTCTGCTGCTGAGCTAAATCCCTGGCCCAAGGACACTGTTAACTATGCTCACCCTGCAAGTGCCCCTTCCTTTGTCCCCACAATGTTTCTGTATTGTGATAAAAAATTCTTCTGTTTCAACAAATCTGTTCAAGACCAGCCTGCCTGTCACTATATAACTCAATACTTATAACCAATTATGTGATGTTTTGTTACTTGCTTTGTACATTCCACTTCTAAATGTTACATAACTAAGCTCTTTACAAACTCAAGGCTGTTGCCTTTGGGACCTGTCTTAGTTACTTTACTCGCTGAGACAAAATACCTGAAGCCCAAGTTGGGAAAGGAAAGATTTATTTCTTACAGTTTTTGGAGGTTTCAGTCCACACTCACTTGGCTCCAAGGCCGGGTGGCATGGCTGGGCCGCAGTTCATGGCGGCTGCAAACACAAGCAGGAACCAGCAAAGAGCAAAACATGCCTTCTTCCTGCCATTGCATTACATCCTATCTCCACCCATAGGCCAGTGTAGCACTCACACCTCCAATCCAAACACTAGACAATGAACCTATCACAAATGCACAATGCAAACTCATGAGGCCTGGGGGCCACCAACATACACCATGACAGGACCCATCCCACAACAGTCCGCTAGCCTGAAGGTTAAAGGTTTCGGTTTGTGAAAGCATTCCCTCTGAAATCAGGAACAAGCCAAAGATGCCCACTCTCACCAGTTCTATTCCACACAGTACTGAAAACATTAGCCAGAGTGATCAGGCAAGAGAAAAAAACAAAAGGGATACATATAGAAAAAGAAGAACTCAGGGGCTGGCGTTTTAGCTCAGCAGCATAAGTGCCTGCCTTGCAAGTGTGTCGTCGTGAGTTGGATCCCCGGTACCAATAAAAAAAGAAAAAGACCAAAAAAAAAAAAAAAGAACTCAAATTATTATTTGCAAATAACATGATACTTTGCATAGAAGACCAATGAACTCCACCAAAAAAACTACTTACCAATTTCAAGCAATGTAGGATACAAAAGCATGCAAAAGTCAATACCCTTTGTGTACACAATAATGAACTCAGAAGGAAATTATCAAGAAAAATGGAATGCCTAGGTATTAATTTAACCAAGGAAGTAGAAGACCACTACAAAGAAAACTTCAGTACTCTGAAAAAGGAGACTGAAGCAGCTATTAGAAAATGGGGCGCCAGGGCCAGGGACTCAGTGGCACAAGTGGGGGGCTGGGGATTTAGCACATGCTTACTCAGTGGTTCTAGTTGTGGGTCATCCTAGGGAGAAATGAGAAAATGGTCTGTCTACACCTCAGAACAGAAATTTCAGATGAGAAAAACTAGTAGTGTAGACTTTCAAAATACAAAACCTGACAGGATTTCCTCTAATCCCAGCAGTTTGCCTGCAAAGGTGCAGAAGAGAGCAAGGGAAGACAGAGTCTCTTGTTTGTTTGTGTTTTGGGTACTGATGCAGCCAAGCTAACTCCCCGGCCCCAAGACAATCTCTTGTGGTTAACACCTCCAAAAGCTTTAATCTGCCCTGGGGTCTCAGTCCAAACACAATGGCTCTATAGTAAGTGGTAGTAATAGCCCAAATCTTGTTCAAGGGTTTAGGGTTGGAACTAGCTTCTTAAAATCTACTTGAAGAACCAGTTTTTGGCACATTATCTTAAACAGTGTTTAACACATGTTCAAAATGAAAACATATTTTATGTTAAGGTCATGCTAGTCGGTGCATAGTTCTGAAATAATGTATAATTTAACCAAAACACTATTACATTCAATAAAATTCCTGTTTTAACAGTGCTAGAGATGGAACCCAGAGCCTCATATATTCTTTTTTTTTTTTTTTTTTTGAGCCTCATATATTCTAAGTAGGCTCTAACTACTGAGCAGCACGCCAAACCCTTGTGTTCAGGTTTTTTTGTTTTTATTTTGTTTAGTTTTTTTTTACCAGGGATGAAACTCATAACCTCATGCTTGCCAGGCAGACACTTATGGCACTGAGCTAAATCCCTGGCCCTTTGGGGGGTTTTTTGTTTCGTTTTGATTTGTTTTGGTCTTTTTGAGAATGAATCTCACTATGCAGTTCAGGCTGGCCTTGAGCTCACTTTGTAACCCAGGCTGGTCTCAAACTCACAATAATCCTCCTGCCTCAGCCTCCCGAGTGCTGGAATTACAGGCACGTGCCACCACGCCCTGCTTTGTTTTCTTTATTTTTATCTTTGCCAGGGTGGCGTTTATGCCTCTGAGCTATATCCCTAGCTGGGTTTTTTCTTTTCATATTAGTAGAGATTTAACTTAGAACTTTTTGTTTTTAAAATTTTCAAATTTCTAAGTTGCCCAGATTGGGTTGGAACTTGCAAATTATGGACATGTGCCACCATGCCTGGCTAAATTTCTTATTTTAGTATGTCCAGTATTTTATAGAGAATTCCCCAAACAGGCTTTCCATATTTCTTGCAACTAAAATGCAGTTTTTTGTGGGTGCCAGAAATCAAACTCAGGACCTTGCGCTAGCCAGGCAGATGCTGTACCACTGAGATATATATATATCCCCAGCCCACAAAATATGGAATTTGAAGGAATCTATAGACATTTAATTTATTCACAACTGTTGTTATAAATAGTGGCTTTATACGAACTCTATTGAGAATTCTTGTTTTTTTCTTTAGAACCAAGGATCAAACTCATGACCTTGTGCTTGCCAGGCAGGTGCTTATGCTGCTGAGCTACATTTCCAGCCCAAGAATTATTTTCTAAAGCTAGTTACCCATTCTTTTAATTATACTGTATAGCTGTTGTGAAGGATCACCAGGATGCTCCTTGAAAGAAAAGCAACTGTTTCCATTCTGGCTAAACATGGCCCTACTAATGTGTACTGATATGTGATAAATTTTGTCTTTATCCCCTCAATTGGTTTTAAGTGAATACAAATAGGTTTAGCTGAGGTGCTGATACATAGTTTTTGAAGCAAGTCTGAGGGTCAGTTATGTGCCCCCTGTCGCTCCCAAGTAGTTTTGGTGAGCTAGGCTTTAATCAGAGATACCATGCTGTGGGCTGAGGATGAGGGAGAAGCCAAGCTGTGGGCTCTCATCTCTCAGGGTGAGGAGGATTGACATCAAAACTGAAGCACCAGGGATCACACTCATGAGCTCCCACTTGCCAGGGAGGCACTTGTGCGGCTGAATCCGCAGCCCTTCTGTGCACATTGTAAGGCTTACTTTGCCGAATCCCTCACTAACAGGTTATCTTGCCTCACTATTCCTTGCACAAAAAGCCTGAAGGAGGTTCTGACAGTCGTACTTCCTTTTATTTTAGTCTGGAGGTTGAGAAGTAATGTTTTTCTTTCCTGAGCATGACTAACATAAAGTTTTTAAAAAAACATCTAGTTAGGTGGGCAAGGGGCACACATCTGTAATTGCAGCTCTTCGGGCGGCTGAGGCAGGCGCGGCACAAGTATGAGATCAGCCTGGGCAATTTGGGGAGCTCCCGTCTCAAAATAAATGAAAATGAGAAAGGACAGAGACTTGCCTAGGGCGTGTTAGTAAAACAAGCAAAATGCGACCTCATCCATCTTGTGGAAGTTAAGGAAGGTAAGGTGAGGAAGCTTTGGAACAGGAAAGAGGACAGTGGAACAGCTGTGTAGCTCACCATAGTGTTCTGTGGCCTGGGGGAAGCTGACTGAAGCAGTGGTGGTGTTTGTCTAGCAGGCCTCAGCCCTGGGTTCACAATCCCCTGTACAGTCAAAACAAAAACAAAAAAGCTGGGTAGAAATTACTTGCTGAGGTATCTGCCACTGCCTTTCTAGACCACTGGCTGTGAGAATCTGGCACACGTGTCACAGCGGGCAGTTTATATCACTGAAAGCTGTTACTATTTTTCTTTTAATGTCCAAGTTCTAAACAAAAACCTCAGTATTCAGGTTCAATTGCAGTGTTAGTGCTTGTGGTAAGTGGGTTTTGTGCTGCAGTTTGGGCACTAGGTCTGAAAGGTTTGCCATCACTGCTCTAGACCCACAGAGGGTCAAGCTATATGCATAGCATGGTATCTAAGTCATTTTTCTCTACTGAAAATGCTTCTCACGTGTGTGCACACCACTCAGGGAATTGAACCCAGGGCCTTTGCGCTGAGCTAAATCCCTCTTTGCACTTGCCAAGCAGGCGCTTGTGCCACTGAACTAAACTCCAAGCCTTTTTTATTTTTTATACCAGTGATCAAACTCAACTTCACACTTGCCAGGCAGGCACTTGTGTCACTGAGTTACATCCTCGGCCCCTCTTTTTATTTTTTAAACCTCTTACTTTTGCTAGCTCGCTGCTTCTCAGCCTCACCTGCACATTAAAACTCTGTAGAGCCAGGCCTAGTGGCTCACCTGTAACCCGAGCACTCAGAAGGCTGAGGCAGGAGTGCCGGGAGTTTTAGGCCAGCCTTAACTATACAGAAGATCCTCTCTCCAAAAAAATAAGTAAACTGGGAATTGGAAAAGAATCCTGACAGCCAAGTAATATTTATAATGTCCAACAGGACCTGGCCTTGGTTGTTCTGAAAGCTTCCCTGGTCATTCTCACATGTGACCACAAAGATAAGCTCCTCCTAACACCCTCTGGCATAACTAAGCAAGTCTTGGAGATGGACTGAATCTGTTTGCGTAAGTGATGTGTGAATCTTTTGGGCACCAAAGACAGAATGCTGTCTAATGCTATCTAAAATGTCCCCCAAGCCGGGTATGGTAGCGCATGCCTATAATCCCAGCACTTGGGAGGCTGAGGCAGGATTGCTTCAAGTTTGAGACCAGCCTGAGCTCAAGTGAGCTCAAGGCCAGATTGAACTGCAGAGTAAGACCATATCTCTAAAAGACAAAAACACAAAAAACAAAAATCACTATAAAATTCCCCCCAAAGCGTCATGTGCTCATAGAGGAGGCTTCTGAAAAGTGAATTGTGAGCACCCCAGCTCATTGCTGCTAGGGGTGGAGCCTGGTTGGAAGAGGCAGTCACCTGGGCCCTGGCCTGGATGGGTTCATCTCTATGCCCAGCTCCTCCCAGACTCTGCTACCACCACACAGTGAACAGCTTTCCCCCTACCACTCGCCTCTGCTGTGTCACAGTGCTGTGGAGCCAGCCAACTATGACTAAAAACATGAACCAAAATAAATTGTTCATCCTTTTACTGTGGGTGTTGGGTATTGTGTCTCAGTGACATGAAAGTAACAAAAACAGTCTGTGTCTGTAGAAGACTTTATTGAAGACAGGAACAGTAGGGTTTAATTACATCATAGAAACAAAGAAAATATTAGCTAAACATATCTACTATAATAGTCCTAGGTCTTCAAGTTTTTTTTTTGTACTGGGATTGAACTCATGACCATGAGCTTGCAAGGCAGGTGCTTTTACCGCTGAGCTAAATCGCCAGCCCTAGGTCTTCAAGTTTTTAAGCGCTCTTCTTTTACCTCGTTTTGCATAAAAATTCTCTCTTAATAACTAAGTTATGGAAGGGCACTGTGACTAGGCACACAATTAACTAAACAAGGAACTGTATACAGTATGTACATTACAATATGCAGAAATGGTCAAAGGAAACTCAACTTGATGATTGTGCTTTTATTTCTGTAACTTTTACATGCAACATTGTCACGTATGACAGAACTTAAAACTTTAGTGCTGGGCTGTACAATCAGTAAAAATGAGTACTGTTATACGCAAGATAAACTGTACAAAAAATGTTTGAGGCTCTATAAGCAAGATCTACAGAACCATACGAAAAAAAAAAAAAAAAAAGGTGGGAGCTGAGTCCAAACCGCTGGTCCGAAGTCTGAGCAGTGATGAAACGGGTGTGTCGATAACCAAGGAACGTCTGTCCTCATCTGTGTGTGTGTGTCTGTGTGTACTCACCTGTGTCTGTATTCACCTGTGTCCGGCTCACCTGTGTGTGTACTCACTCGCCTGTGTGTGTGGTGCTAGTGTGCACACGCTCGGACGTCCTCCCGAGCCGCCAGCCCAGCTCCGGCGAGGTCTTAAGCGCTGCCACCCGAGCCGGCCGGCCGAGGAACCCGCGGGGCTTCTCCCCGCTGAGTCCGTGGGCGGCTCCAGACGGCCTCACTCTCCCTCCAGCCTGAGCGGCGCCCGGGGGCGTCGCCTCCTCGCCGCCCCGCCGCTCCGGACGCTCTCCTCCTCCTCCTCCGACCAGCACGAGCTGGCCGCCGGCCACCACTCCCAGGGCCCCGCCCGGGGACCTGCAGCCAGAAGCCTCTCCCGGTCTAGGGGAGCACCGGCCTCCTCCCACACCCTCGGGTGCCCGGTGTGCTGCCTTTCCCGGTAAATAAGGAAGAAAAACTTGAAGCGAACCCAGTCCCACTACCTTCTTCCTCTCAAGAAGGCAGCCAGAGAAGCCGACGCGCACCTCCGCCCCACGAGTCCCTCTCTCTAGGACAGCGACTCTGCCTTCCCCGGAAACAGAAAAAGAAAAGGCAGGCCGGAACCCAGCATTCAGGGATTCTTTTTCCTCAAGTTTCCGGACGGGTAAACCCACTGACAGATTCTAGTTGGTTAACAGAGCCGTCGCTCTCACCGACTCCACTTCCTACTGGCTCTTTTGGGCACCGCCCCCTGGCAGGGCGGGAGATTCGGTGTGTCCTCGGCTGATTTCCCTCTCCCGCGGCTCTCGGTGCACTCTCTCCCTCTAGCTCCCGCGGCGTGCTTGAGCTCTCCGCAGGTCTCTGCGTCAGGATCGCTTTCCCCACAGCCACGATCCGGCAGGGCAGCGTCGGTCGCTAGCTAGGCGGCCCGCAGAGACCTAGCGGCGCCTCTCCTGCCAGTGAGGCGAGCGCTCCTCGGCGTCTCGTGCAGCGGCGATCCCTGCGCCCCGGCGTCTAACGTGCGGCGCGGCCCAGTCAGGGCACCGGCCACCTGGCAGGCGGGGACCTGTGGGCGGCCAGGGAGCGCCGCGCCCCCGCCACTCCGAGCAGCGCCTGGATGCCCCGCTGCCGGGCGTCCGCGGGCGCGAAACGGTGCCGCAGACCCGACCGTGGCGGCGGAGCGCTGTAGAAGCGAGTGGATACTTCCATTTTTCAGTTGGGACCTTCGGTGACCGTGACGCCTCCGCCAGGTAATTTGCAATATCTGAAGAAAAATAGCGTAATCCCCTTGGTGTCCAGCATTAGTCAGGCACTGGGCACTTTCCTGCTATGTGGAACATGAGTAACAGAGAGACCTGCATGGTGGCTTTGAACTCCGGAGTGAAAATACCAACAGCAGAGAAGGTTTCCTGAGCACTTTCAGAGTGTCGGAAGCATGCATCTCATTGCATCCTCATGACTTTGGACAAAGTCACCCAGATATAATATGTAAAGTTGAAATTAAACCCAGGTTATCTGGTACCACTGCTTAGTTACTAAACTGTAGCACTTTTTTAAAAAAATTACATGTTTAAAAAGTACATCAGATTCTTTGTTTCTCAGGGAAATGTGTTGCTGCTGCTGTTAGCACTTGGTGCGCTGTACTCTTTTAACTCCCCAGCCAGTGCCTTGAAGGATGAAGACAGTCACTATACATGTTTTCACTTTATTGTGTGATGAGTAGTAGTTTTTTTCAGGAGCTGTTGGAGAGGGATGAAGTTTTCTTATGAGGTCTTGCTGTAAATTTCTTTTGTGATGATTTTGTTTGTTCTGGACTTGGCAACAAACAAGACTTGAGTGAGTTTAGCTGCCTCAGTCCAGACAATTCTTACTTAAACCTCCATGGGGGATGGCTTACAGGCAATATCACTTGCCCAGAATATTTTTTTCCTACAAAGTTTCCTTGAAAATCCACCTCCCAAAGAACTACAAAACTTTTGCTGATGAGAAACTTCCTGATTTGCTAGAGCTCAGAGCCAAAAATTTTGTTCATGGTTTTATTTTTTGACTTTTGTTTGTATCTTCTGCCATGTAGACTCCTTAGTATTTCAACTTCACCCATTTGTTTCATCGCAGTTGCTCATTGTAGCTGATTGAAATTGTGGAATGCAACAGTATATAATTAAGTGAAAATAATGTAGATAATGCTTCATCTGGCCATATTCTTTGAAATATGCTTGATAGAGTTAGTGACTTTTAACCTGATGATCTGGAAACTTAGGATAGTATAAGTCTGGATATTTGGAGTACTGACACATGGAAAAATGATTAGACATAGAGATTATGAGTAGCTTCCAGAGGTCAGAATAAACAGAATTAACAAATCTTTGTTCAGTGGCTGGAGAAGTATATGGTGTAATAGAATGATCAGGAATTTAGGAATCAGTTAAAGTTGGCGTTCAACCCTAACCTACTTTCTAATTGTGTGAAATTGGTATTTAACCTCACTTACCTATAAGTTGGGAAAATTATGCACAAAGGTACACAAAATATTTTCTTGATAGACTGCATAAAAGTGCCTCGTGCAATGTGTGGCATGCAGCTCCTCAAAAAAGAAAACTGTGTACTTTATACAAATGTGACAAAACTTTATTTTGCACAAATACCATATAATTGCGTTAAACGTTTTCTCTAATCTGCCCAGCTTCCCCCAAAGAAAGCAGTGTAATGTCTAGGAAAATAAACCAAGAGAGTATTTTACTAGTGGGTTTTATATAAATTATGGACAAAGTTGTTTTTTTTTTTTTTTTTTTTTTGTCTTTTTCCTTTTTATCGGTATGGAGATCAAATTCACGACTGCCTGGTTGCAAGGCAGGCGCTTATGCTGCCGAGCTAAATCCCCAGCCCCTTGGACAAAGTATTTTTTATCTGTATTTAGAGAGTATTGCCTCATAGGATTGTAAGGAGTAAAGGAGGATATAGTACTTTTCATGTTCCTACAATAATCAGAATTCCTTAAGTTGTGCCCTCTCTCTGCCCCACCGACATGTCCTATGTAGGACTCTGACCAGAAGGTAAAGATAGTTTTGCGCTGTGTAGGTCATCATAGCAACTTTGTTAGGACCTTTATTTATCTTGTTTTTTTAACTCTTAAGGACTTCTTGCTTTCATTTGCTATATGTAACACTGACTGAGTTCTTTTTCCAGTTACAGATAACTGTCTAAATTTTCCAGCTGCAGAATGTGTAGTACCTTAAAAGGTAAATGAAACCCAAACAAGTCACTTCTTTTTGCCACTTAAGAAAGACCTGGTCTACTGATTTACGTGTTTTGAAATTTGTTACAGTTTTTTCTTTTTTCTTGTTCTTCCTTTTCCTCTTCTCTTTTTTCTTTCTTTTTATCCTTGAATAAAATGGATTGGAAAAAAAAAGAGAAAGACTTGGTGACATTTAATTATCTGCATACAAATAACAACTCATGAGCTGCAGTTAGTAGTTCCTTTTGTCAGAAGGAAAAGAGGGCTGAGATGTGGCTCAGTGGTAGACCTCTTGCTAGGCATGCACAAAGCCATGGTTCAATCCCCAGCACCACACACATTCCCCACATACACATATACATACTGGTTTTAAAAAGTAGGAAAAAAATTAAAATTTGAAGCTAACTGTTGTCTAGCCAGAGTTGGTCAAGCTGAAAGAATTTCTTTCAATTTCTTTCAACTGGCTACAGTGTGCTGGAAAGATTCGTGTTTATTGTGTAGTTACTGAGACTGCTAGAAAGCCAGAGTGGGAAGCCAGCACAAGGATAGTCCTCAAGAGTTACTGATCCAGCAAGGTCACCAGTGCGGTCATGGATTCCCTGTGAACTGCATCTTTCTTGTGAACACATATAAAATCTACCAAAGTTTTACTCTTAGACCATCCCCCCCTTTTTTCTTTTTTGAGACAGGATCTTACTACACAGTTAAGGCTGGCCCTTGAGCTCATATTGTAGTCCAGGCTGGTCTCAAATTTGCAATGATAATAATCCTGCCTCGGCCTCTAGGAGTAAGCCACCACGCCCAGTTTTGACCATCCCTTTTCTAAACTCTGGTGTGTTAGCTACTCGTTTCTGTTAATGTGGTTCTTAAATTGATGGGTGAGAGCTGTCTTTATAAGCAGAATGTTTTCCTGAGATTGTATACTGGTTATCTTCATTGGATTTAGCTCTGCAAATTATAGGTGGCTCTTTTTAACCTATTGTTCAGATTAATTATTGAGTTACTGACAAAACCATAATGATGCCGATAGCTCAGTAGAACAGTGCCTGCCTGGCAAGCATGAGGTCCTGAGTTCAATTCCTGGTACAAAAAGACATAATGATAATATATTTTTCCTGCTTTTGTTCTTTTGAGATGAGGTCTCCCAGTGTTGCCCAGGCTGGTATTAAACTCCTGAGCTCAAGTGATCCTCAAACTTCAGCCTCCCAGGTAGCTGAGACTGCTGGCACATGCCACCATTCTCCGCTCCTTACTTTAAAAGACTAAAATGTTAAGCAAGGGCATATATTTATTATGCATGTTAAATTTATATGGCAGTTGGTATGAGTTTATTGTCATGTTGGTTTATTGCTTTTGTTTAGGTTGGCCGTGATGAGTAAACTGGAATTAAAAGAAGACAAGATGCTGGAGGTCCAGTTTGTGGGAGATGATGATGTGCTTAATCATATTCTTGATAGAGAAGGAGGTACTGTGTGATTGTATTGAAGAGATGCTTATAGATCATTTCATTTTTTAAAATATCAAAACATTTTATATTGAAAATACAGCACTGAGTGTTTCATCTAAGAAACTTAAAAATTGATTTTTCATTTACTCATTTCAAATTTTTTTATTGGCAGGATTAGACTGGGGATGGACCTCAAATCCCTTTTCCTTTTTTATAACTATTTATATTTTGAAACAGGGTCTCCCTAAATCACTTAAGTCGTACAGGCTGGGTTTAGATTTGTAGTCATCCTGTCTCAGCCTCCCAGAGTGATGGGGTTACAGGCATACCCCCACCACCATAGACTTCTTTAAAACTTTAATTGAAATTTAAATTATAGCCTTAGGGCCAGGCATTTAGCTCAGCAGCAGGCATAAGCACCTGTTTGGCAAGTGCAAGGTCATGGGTTCAGTCACCGGTACCAGATACATAAGTAAATAACAGCCTTACTTAAAGGAAAATTCTCTGTTGTACTGGTGAATAATAACTATGCATTGTAATTTAATATACATGATTACTTTGACCCTCAAAATAATAGATTTTCAAGGTTTTTTTGTTTTTATCCAGTTACTATATAAAAACGCATTGTCCGTAAGACTGGGTCTTGGCTGGTCTCAGACTCTCACTCTTCCCTCAGCCTGCCCTGTGGATGCTGGGGTTTCTAGGTCTGTGCCACCACACCCAACAAGTCAAGACTGAATCAAAGAGAAAATACTTCCCAGCTTCTATGTAATGATCATTTAAGTTGTGCAAGTTTGTTTATGTACTTAAATTTAATGCTTAGGAAAGATGCATGCCTACCATGTTCTGATTCTTTGAATGTTTTTCTAGGTACTAAATTAAAAAAAGAGCGAGCTCAGCTTTTGGTCAATCCACAGAAAATAATAAAAAAGCAGGAATATGGTGTGGAGGAAGGTGACCAAGAAGTGTTAAAGGATCAGAACTACGTGAAAGTTTTGGGACAAAACGTTCAAGGTATTTGATGGTAGAGGTGGGGATGTGTTAATGTTTCTCCGAGTAGCAGAAACTGCTTTGCAGGATACCTAAAAGTCTGGTAGGTCAAACAGTAGTGTGCTTTAATAATATATCTCTTCTGAAAAGTATTTCCTTGGTGATTTTTTTCTCCACAATTCTTTTTCGTTAACAAATAACCAGTCCTGCCCTTGATTATTTTCATAAAGAAGGAATCTACAGGTGAACACTCTGAAGGCTGGAGATATAGCTCAGTGATAGACTGCATGGGTTGCTAGCATTAGACACTGGGTTCAATCCCCACTACCAAAATAAACAAAGAAATACAGTTACTTTCTTTTTCTTTTAAACAGTGATAAAGTTTCACAATTATTACAGGTTCGGCTGAGCCATTCCCTTGGACTTGGGGAGAAATGTCCCTTCCCTTTCCTGACAGGACTTCACTGTTTACTTGAGGCTACCTTGAAGTCACTTTATAGCTAAGATCCTGCCTCAGCTTTCTGATTGCTGGGGTTATAGCTCTATGCCACCATGCCCAACTAAAAGTAATTTCACTAAACGAGTCGCTTCATTGTTACTTTGGTCTTTGTAGAAATAGAAGAAATATGCCAGAAAGTAGTGTCCCAGTGGAGGCATGTTGGTAGTGAGCTTTGCTTATTTCTTTTTAACACTTAAAACAAAGTCCTGCCTAATTATACCTAAGACACATTTTAGGCTTGAATTGAATTATATTTTAATTAGGGTTCTGCTGGATATAGAGATAGTCATTTCAACAGGCCTAAAAAAATAAAAATCAAAGAGAAATGAGTGTTGTAGGTTACCAGGAGCCCTGGGAATAGTTCAGCATTAAAAATGGAGGAGTTTGCTTTCTAGAAACCCTGGTGTCCCTGGGTTATCTCTCCATCTATCCGTTCTGTGCCTCCTATCTCCCTCATGTATGTGTTTTCACTCTTACACCTGCCCTGTAAATGACCATTTTGACGACTCCGACCTTTTTCACATCTTTCTTTCTTTCTCTTTTTTTGTCTTTTTCCTTTTTATCGGTACCAGGGATCGAACTCACGACTGCCTGCTTGCAAGGCAGGCGGTTATGCCACTGAGCTAAATCCCCAGCCCCTTTTCTTTCTTTCTTTTTGATTTTTTGAGACAGGGTCTCACTATGAAGCCCAGGCTGCTCTTGAACTCAGGGCAGTCCTGCTTCAGCCTTCCAAGTGCCAGGATTACAGGTGTGCACCACCACAACTTCGTTTGTTTCTTAAATCAGTGCTGCTTCTGGTTTAGTTTCCCCATTTTAGGTGCTGAAAGGTGGATTTAGATTTCAGCTTCCTGAATTGAACCATGGCCCTGGTTAGGTGTCTGGTAGGCAGTAGAATCTCCTCAGTGTCCCTAACTACACAGTTGACATCATTAGGACATTTTCTGAATAGAACTTTGGGTTAACTGCTTATGTGCTAGCCCTAAGAAGATCTTAAAACAGTATTCTAAGCCAGGAGTGGTGGCTCATACCTATAATCTCAGTACTCGGAAGGCTGAGCAGGATGGCTGAGAATTTGAGGCCAATCTAGACTATACAGCCCCTCCCATTAAAAGGCCCATAAATAAATAAGCAAACAAACACAATATTCCAAAAGAGAAACTTTCGTGTTTTTTAGTGTTAGGGCTCAAGCCCAGGGTCTTATTCATGCTAAGCACACACTCTCATTAAGCTACATTCTTAGCCATGTGTTTCCTTAAAAATGGCTTTTGATTATAAAGGCAGTGTGTTAATATGCAAGACCCACAGCAAGAGTCGCTCTTGAGGCACCTGGGATGAGGACAGGATGAGGGGAGGGTATCCAATCCCAGGATAGTTCCTTGGGACCTGTCTCAACATATTTTTAAAAAGGGCTGGGGATGTAGCTCAGTGATACGGTCCTTGCCTAGCTTGAGTGAGGCTCTGGGTTCCATCCCAAGAACTGCAAAAAAAGAAAAAAAAGATTTTAAGAATAATTTGGTGAATGTTATATGGTATGTAGTAAGAAGCATAACTCAAAGTTTTTAGTTAATATTTATCTGGTGGGTGTTTTTTTTTTTTTTTTCTTGTAAGTTAAATATGTTTTCTTTTTCAGAATCTTTGAAAAATGGCACTGCTACAGATGGTGGGAATAAAGTTTATTCTTTTCAGAATAGAAAGTACCCTGAAAAGATGGCGAAGTTAGGTATGTTGCTTTTCTAATTTCTATAATCATTATTTGCCCTAAGACTCATTTAGCCGATTGCCTACAACGGTTGCACCATTGCATTCCCCAAATGAGAGCATGGCATCACCCTGCTCACAGTGGGGCCGTGGCAAGTTGGCAGGCAGGTGCTAAGCCAGGGCAGTTCTTTAGTTACTGTTCACACACTCAAGTGTCTTCCTTTCCGCAGGAGGGCACGTGCCCTGGTAGGAAGGCAGGGCTGTTCCTTTGTTCCCCCACAGTGTGTGGCTCCGGTTCCTAGCAGATTCTGTGAAATGAGTGACTCAAGTCATGTGTGCATATAACACGGCTAAGAGTGGTCTCTTCTACGTTTTTCTTACCAGAGTTACCACTTTTATTAATTAAGTTTTGCTTGCTTGCTTGCTTGGTTTTGTGGTACTGGGATAGAACTCAGGACCTTGTGTATGCAAGGCAACAACTCTACCACTGAGCAATCTCCCTAGCCCCATTAATTAAATTCGCACTGCTGGGCTAGGGATTTAGCTTAATGGCGTAAACGCCTCCCTGGCAAGCATGAGGTTGTGAGTTAGATCCCCAGCACCAAAAAAACTAAAAAAACTAAACTTGCACTGCTGATTTTTAGAGGAGTAGACTGTAACAAATTGCATGGGGATTTAGCTCAGCGGCATAAGCACCTGCCTTGCAAGTGTGTGGTCGTGAGTTCAATCCCTGGTACTGATAAAAAAAAAAAAAAAGACAAAAAAAATTTTTAATCTTTAAAAGAAACTGGATGACACCATATTTGAGTCTTGTGACGTGAGAAGATATCATTTTTGAAAGCTTTAAGGAAAGGAAATAATACATATGAAAGTACATTGAAAATTAATTTCTGTGAATATATAAAGAGTCAGAAATACCGAAAAGTGTAGAATAATTACCTACCTGGTAAAATGTAAAAGTCTTATAAGAAAGCTAACCTATAGTCATAAATTTCTTAAATGTCATTTCAGTCATTTTAGCTAGTGGTCCATGTAAATCAGAGATGAGTGAAAAATGCACTTGTTAAATGATGATATGGATAAGAAAGTCGTTATAAATGTTTAGGAATATAATCATTTTTGCTGGGGATTTAGCTCAGTGATATAAGCACCTGCCTTGCAAGCACATGGTCATGAGTTCGATCCCTGGTACAAAAAACAAAAGAGGAATGTAATCATTTGACAGATTCCGTTTCGTTTTTCTAAACAATACAATGTTGAATGTATCAGTGATTTTGAGTATAAATGGAAAGTAAAATAACTTACTTTAAATGATGTGGAATTTAGTATCATCATCTATATCAAGAAATTAAAAGTTTTTAGATCTGCAGAAATTACTGAGCATGTATAGAAGCTCAGAGAAACTAGAGAAAAACACTTGTATAATTATGAAAGGAAAGATCAGGCAGGCACCAGGAACAAAGTGAAACCCTAGACTAGAGGAGCAAGGTGGAGAACACTGGAGAACTGTCAGGTCAGGGAAACATGGGGCTCACAGCAGGAACCAAGCCATGCTTCTCCATCTCATCAATGAGTGCTGACTTAGCTGAGTATCTACAAACGAAGCAAAACCCTCGACTGTTACCCTCATGTGCATTTCTAACATCACACCTGAAAGAAATGTGGTTCTCTTAGAGATACATTTTAAATATTTAGTCTTTAAATATCAGGAACCCCGCCAACCTCTTCGTCTGTCTTAAGGGTATGGCGAGAAAAGTGAAAAACAGACATGTTTAGTAGTACATGAATGGCTGGGAAGTCAGTCTCAGCGCAAAAGCAGCCATTGCTTATTAGGTGTATACAGTGAGAGGCAGGGTCAGCGAAGGGTCATATAGGTTGGTGGAAGTCTCAGACTTGAGGACATAGATGATCTGATGCTTAGAAGAGTCAATGACAAATCTTAGATGGCTGGCACCAATAATCCCAGATTCCATTTTATACCATAGGGAAATACATAAAATTAGCCATTATGAATTTGTGGTCCCCAACATTTAAAGGGTTCCTTTGACTCATTAAGTATTATTGCCAACTAACTATATCAATGAAATCCAATGTCTTTAGCAGGGACATTTTGTCACTTAATATAAATGACCAAGTCAGGAAGTCATTAATGATAATTTCATATAATTGGATTGACAGTGATGTAAGGCTAATAGGCTGAATTACATTAAAAGGTTTTGGCAAACAGAGAATATATCCAGGGTGCATCCTAGATGCAAACCAAGGTGTAAAGATAGAAGTGCCTGTGCCAAGTGCATGGTCCCACTACCAAAAAAGGTAGAGGTGCCAAGGGCGGGGGTGTGGCAGGACTCGGCAGAGTGGAGAAAGACGATGTGAAGGAAGGTTGTAGAAGGCCGAGCTCATACTGCTGAGTGTCACACGGAGGTGAGAGTCTTAGAGTGAAATCCCCCCTGCTGTGCCAGGTGGTATTCATGGTAGTCATCCTAAACGTGTACCAGCAGGTAAATAAAGATGGCATAGGTACATAGTAGAATACTACTCAGCCTTTAAAAAATAAGGAAGTCCTGTCATTGCGGAAGCATGGGTGAACCCAGAGGACATCATAGTAAGTATTATCGTTAAGCCAGGACTGGGAGACAGGTGCTGCCTCATTGTACATGTGGAATCTCAAAAAGTCAGTAAACTCACAGAAGCAGAGAATATAATGATTATCAGGGCTAGGTTTGGGAAGGAGGTTAAACATGCCCTAATTTTTTACAAAGTGTAGCCATACAGTTAATTCTACTTATCAGACCAAGTATGACACAGCAAAAAAAAATTATGAAAACTCTTAGTTTGCCAGAAGTCATGTTTATGTATGATAAATATAGTGCAGAGTTCAGCAGACTTTTTCTGTAACACGCCAGTGAGTAAGTATTTTCATTCTCCAGGATAGATAGTCTCTGTCCAGGCTACCTGCCATAAGCAGAAGAGTCCCCAAACAAGGGGAAGGGAGAGTTCGCCCAGTGGCTTGCAATTGTTAGCCCCAATATAGATAATCATTCTTTGTAGCTCTCTGTCACACACATTAGAAACTAAAGTACATTACACATTAAGTAGTGATTCATTGTATTCAGTGCTCCTATGCACATTTTGAGCAAAAAATTTGCTTATCAGTATTGAAATTGGACAAATGAGCTTTTATTCTGTGGTACTGGGCCTTTGCCTGAACTGCATTCCAAGTTCCTGTTTTTATTTTAAGACAGGGTCTCACTTAGTTGCCCAAGCAGGGCATGAAGTTAAGTCTTTCACTAGCTTCCTGTAGTGCCGGGGTTACAGGTGTGTGCCACCACGCCAGCTGCAGTATTCATTTTTAATTCTAATTCCAAACAGTACCAGCCACATGCTCAGAATTCGTTTTAATCATTTACTGGAGGAGCTGATTCCAGCAGTGTAACCTGTTAGCTTATGCATACATTGAAACTTTGTGAACAAATGGGCGATAGATTCTGTGTGCTTTTGGGATGAGGTGATGAATTAACCTCGCGCCGCTGCCCACATTGTGCACCAGCTCAGCAGCACCCTGTGTTCCTAAGCCTGCATCGTCTGGCATGTCCAGCGACCCCTGCAGGAGAGCTTCTGTACGTTGTTCCTCATCGCTGCAGTCAGGAGCTGGAAACAGCTATGGGGCTTGACACTGGCCTATGGGCCACATACTTGGTGCTGATAAGCAGGACAGCTTGCAAGAAGGAAAGCAGGCATTATTTTATTTTTGCTGTGAGTATTCGTTTTAATTGTGAAAGACCCTGAAATAACAGTTCAAGGAAACGCATTAGAGACAATAGTAGGTCCATGTCGCAGTGGCTGTGGAGGGACGAGTGGAAGCTTACCTAGGAGAGCAGGGTGGGTGTCACGCCAGGTGGGCGGGCAGGCGGGCATGCCCAGGGGGAGGCTGTCATCTGAAGTAGGCTGGGCAGTGAGGGCCAGCAGTGATTTTCCTGTTCACTGGGCTGCCAGTGTTTGTTGTCTGCCCAGTTTTGTAGTCAGAACTTTATGTTGAGAAATCAGACTCAAGAGTAAAGGCCTGGGGTGGATTGGTAATGGGTGCGGGAGGCTGCAGAGGCAGCAGAGGCAAACAAAGAAACAGGCTGACACAGTGAGCAGCACACAGCATGGACACCTCTTAGCTGGCAGGAAACGAGGAGAGACACGCTCATGCGGAGAGGTACAAGTGTCCGTGTTTCTGCCGGTTCTTAAAAAGTAACAGTCTTAAACTGTTTGTCAGTAGTAGGTGAAGGTCTACACGGTGGAGCTATTGCTCCTTGAAAGTGATGCATCCGTCATGATTAAGACACAGGTTGGTGATACAAATAATAAAGAACAGCCTCAGATGATTTTATGATGTGGCGGTAATGGTAGTGGTCACTCCCAAGCAGCTCCTGTGGACTGGGCTCCGTGCTCCGTGCTCCGTGCAGTCTCTGCCTGTCTCTCACAGGATGCAGCATGTGATGCATCTCTGTGTGACATACCAGTTAGAGTCAGTGGGAGCACTGAGCACAGATCTTAGCATGTAGGTACCTGTCTACCTAGAAAAGCCTGTAATTTGTACAAAACCACGGATGGCAGAGCCAGGCCTAGGTTTCACACTATCTAACGTTAAAGCCTGCACCCTTCAGTGTTGCTGCCCAGCCACCATAGAGCTGTGTAGGAGCTACACAGTGGCTGCTCACAATAGAAAGGCATCTTTTGGGGGAAATCAAGGCATTTTGTAGTGCCTGGGCTAGAAGGGTAGACGGGGATTTGTTAGGGAACAGGGATATTCTAGGGAGAGCTTGTGACTCTTGTGGGCCTCTGCTGAGTCCTGAGATATGACTGGAGCTCAGGCCGCAGCAGGCTCTAATGAAGGGGACTGGAGAGGGGCCTGTGGCGAGCGACAGCATACACACCTTCGGCTGAGGGCAGAGGTCGCAGGTGTTGTAGGGAGAGGCGTGCCTTGGTCACCCGGGCATCGATGCCCACGGTGGGTGTGTGAGACAGCAGTGAGGGCATGGGGTAGGTGAGGGGATGCACAGACACTGTGGCCAGGAGTGGCCGTGGAGTGACCAGGTCAGGACTCAGGGCCCCTGACTTCTGGAGGTCTCACAGAAGGCAGCTGTTCATCTGCTTAGCAAGGAGATAGCCACGGCATAAGCTTAGTGCATTAGACATATGTATTACAGTTTTAGACTCAAAATAAAGAACATCACACTTATAGGTGATTTAAGAGACATTAACATGACAGTGCATATTTAGCTTTAGAGCCTGCTTTCTAGCCCTTTGTACCCTTTGCAGAGCAATGGGAGGAGTGTAAAATGTTGGTGGGGAGGAGAGGAAAGTGATAATTACCAAAGCAACAAGATCAAAATGAGTTTTTTTCTCTTTTTTTCTTTTTTTGGTGAGACAGGGTCTTGCTGTGTAGCCCAGGCTGGCCTCCAACTCAAGGCAGTCCTCCGGTCTCAGCCTCCTGAGTACTGAGATTATAAGCATGCAGATTTAGTTTTGGTACCAGGAGGGGAGCCCACAGCCTCGCACTTGCCTGACAGGCACTGGGCTGCTGAGCTACGTCCCTAGCCCTCACTTGTTTTTTTTTTTTAAAGAAATTTGTGTGTAAGTGAAAGATTTAAGATGCTGGGAAGATATTAGTAAAGGTAAAATAGTACTTTTAATACAGTATGGGTTTATCTACCTTTGTGAAAGCAGAAGATAGGATTTTATTTTGTCTTTTAAGAATTTATGTGTTGGGGGCTGGGGATTTAGCTCAGCGGCATAAGCGCCTGCCTTGTAAGCAGGCAGTCGTGAATTTGATCCCTGGTACCAATAAAAAGGAAAAAGACCAAAAAAAAAAAGAAAGAAAGATAAGGAAGCAAAAGGCATTATGGTAACCATTGTTGATAACCTTGTACTCTGTTTTTACATCATGCGCTATGTCTATCCTTGGTTTTAACTGACAGCTTTGTTTTATCATGCTTGATTTTATTCTCTTACAAAAAAAAAAAAAGTAATAAGATCTAAGGGAGATCCCTTAGATCTAAAACCCAAAATGTGTAAATTTTGTTGTAATAAAGAGAGGGGGAAAAAAAGTGCCCTAAAGGAAACAACAGCAAGGGTATTTAGGTGTGTTAAATAGAAGACCATATTAATATTTTTGATTGGATTACTGAACACAGCTATTTGCAGTCTCACTGTTTGAATGTTCACTTTGTATGCTTTGATCCTGTGACCTGAAGCACCGTTTCTAAGATGATAGCGTGTAATCTATTAACTGGTGAGAGCTTAGTGGTTTTTTTTTTTTTTTGTAATTCTGAATTACTTGTACCCTTACCCTGTTTTGTGTTGTTCTGCTTTTTTTTTTCTCTTTTTCCTTTTAAATTTAAAAAAAAAAAAAAGAAATACCACAAGAATAAAAAAAAAAAAGAAAGAATTTATGTGTTATAGATGAGGACATTGTAAAGTGGAAGGGTGGGGCCGCAGTAAGTTCAGCAGCACCACACCTGTCTGGCAAGAACAAGGTCCTGGTACAAAAAAATAGAGAAAGCAAGTGGAAGTGTGCTGCCTATTCTAGAGAGGCAGGGCCAGCATTATTAAAATGGCCATACTTCCCAAACCGATACACAGGTCTAGTGTAATTCCAATCCAGATGTTAACAGCGTTTCTCATATAACTGGAGTACATAATCCTAAACTTCATATGGAACCAAGAGAGACCCGGAATAGCAAAGCAGTCTTGCACAAGAGTAGAGCAGGAGACACCACAAACAGTAGTGCCCTAGTAGGAAACAGACCTGTGGGTGAGTGGAACAGCCTGGAGGAGGCAGGCGCAACCCCAGGCACCTTCGGCTGCTGGTCCTTTTACTAAGGGACAGAGCACACACTGAGGAAAGACAACCTCTACCATACGCGGTGCTGGGAAAATCGGCTATCTACGTGTGACTGGATCTAGAGCCATTGTCTGTCACCGTGTACTAGACTAACATCAATATAGAACTTGATGGAAGATGAATATGTAACATTCAGAAGCATAGGCACAGGCAGGACTTCGTAATAGGACCCCAGTGCGCCAGAAATAATCCCGAAAAGCAGCAAATGAGATCACGTCAGACTGAAAAGCTTCTGCACGGCTAAGGGGAAGACAGCCTGCAGCGGGCCTTGTGCCCTGATTGTCTCCTGCTATTCATTCCAAGGGTTTTCATGTATTTCTTTTTGGGTTACAGCTTCTGAACTAGCAAAAACACCGAGAAAAAATGTTTCGTTCAGTTTGAAAAATGATCCTGAAATTAAAAGCATCTCTCAGAGTAGTAAGGGTAAGTCTTTACCTCTCTTTGAAAACCATTTCCATGTTTCAAATTAGAGTATGTTACTTTTTTCTTTTCTGAATTAATATTACTCATACATTTTCTTTATTTCTGTTTTGAAAATTCACCAAAATGCCATTAGTGCTCCAGCCCACGGTGTTCATCAGTTAGCAGGGGTTGCTTTGTGCTGACTGAGGTGTGGGTGTTGGCAGGACCAGTGCCGAGTCCTGCTGTCATCTGCTTGCGTTAGCCAGCTGTTCACACACAATTTGGCATCGGCCTTTGGGGAGTGGAAGTCTTAATAGTATAGAGAGAATTTTGGAGCAGTCTATTGCAACTTGGTTTAACAGTACTGTTGTTTGTCTCTTTGAGACAGGGTCTCACTATGCAGTCCATGAGCTCACTTTGTAGCCCAGCTTGATCTCAAACTTACAGTGATCCTCTTGCCTCAGCCTCCTGAGTCCTTACTAAAGTGTACTTTTTCATAATTGAAAATGATCAAAGCTCAATTTTTTCTTATTAGAATGTCACAGAAATGGAGGAAGTAGCTGACACTATGAGACTAGTCAAGAGATTACTGATGGTGCTGTAGCCTCTAGGGGAGATGCAGTTGGGGTTCTAATCATACGAGGTACTTCCGTGTAAAAACTACAACTGTGCTTTTAACAAAACTAGACGATGACACAAGGTAAAGTATTTATGATAAGTCTTGGCTTTTTGTTTCTTTTAGGGCACTCTGCTTCGGACAAAGTTCAGCCAAAGGTAAGCGACTGACTACAAACAACAAAAACCTTAGTGTTAGCCAGGGTGTGGTTTACATTTCAAAAGTCAGGTGGTTTAGGTGGACTCATTACAAGCACACCTGTAATCCCAGCAATCAGGAAGCGGAGGCAGGTAGACTGCTGTGAGTTTGAGGCCAGCTTGGGCTACATAGTAAGATCCTGGCTCAAAAAACAAAACAAAATCTTATTGTTATGATTTACTTTTGTTTATGGTTTAAATAAGGTGGTTTAGGTAGGCTCATTACAAGCTACCTGGAAAGAATCGACAGTTTTTTGTGTCCTTTGTGTTTTGGTGGAATTTCTTAACTGTGCTTTATCAAGTGGCCTACTTGAATCTGGGCAAGCTAAGATGAACATGGGGATCCCAGGCCATCAGAGATGTGGGTAGTAAATGTGTCCAGGACTTGGTGCCTGTAGACTTAGACATGTCTGGGCTGTACACAGGCATGGTCAAAGGAACCCTCAGCCAAGAATTGAGTACAGGGCCAGGTACGCTGGCACACGTCCATAATCTCATTATTTGGGAGGCTGAGGCAGGAGGATCACTTTGAATTTGAGGCCAACTTGAACTACATAGCAAGGCTTTAAAAAGACCAAAAAGGAAGAATATAGACATTCAAAGCTAGGCTAACAGCCTTTTCAGGAATACTAAAGTCAGTCTAGGTATAGGAGTAGACATAGAGCCTCTGCTGTTGTTAGTAATGCTTTTTCCTTTGCTGTGTCTTGTGTGTTTTATCAGTACAAAAGACAAAACTTACTATTTTAACTCAGCAGGAATTGAGATCTATTATAGCATTGTTTCACATTGCACGCCATTGATAGACTACATCATCAGAAAACCCATTGATCAAGGGTACTTATTAAAACAAGAGATAATTCCACCAGGGCAGGTTTAGTGCACTGTTTTAGAATGGGGAGTGTACTAGGTGTGGTGGTGCATACTTGTAATCCCAGTATTCAGGAGGCTGAGGCAGGAGGATCTCTGTAAATTTGAGGCCAGCCTGAGCTACATAAGCGAATTCACGGCCAGCCTGCACTACCTAATGTTACACTGTCTCAAAAAACATAAACTTTCCCAAGGTTGTAGGTGCAGTTCTTTACACAATAATAGTACATACAAACTTTTTAAATATCTGGAATTCAGTGTCTAGAAACACGAGTAGTCCTTTGGAATGTCTTGTGTTTTTCTTGTGATACTCTTTTGTTTCCAGATTCATTTGTCATAATCTTTTAGCTGTAGGACTAAATTTCTTTCATTCTAACTTAGTCTCTTGCAAAGAAATACTCCTTTTTAGCCTTTCTCTCAGATCTGTCATTAACTTCCACTGTATTATGTATTTATTTGTCATGCTTTTATTTTTAAACAGAACAACAAAAATGAATTGCAGTCTACACCACCTCGAAGTCTAAGAAAGAGATTAATAGGTATGTACTTCTTATATGAAAAAGAAGGCCTCCCACCACCTCTGTTGCTTCAATTTTGTTGTTGTTTTGTTCTGAGGGATTTTTTGGTACTGGGGATCAAACTATTTTTGCCCAGAACAGTGTTTGCCTTTGTAAAGTAGTCATCATAATGGCCCCATTCTCAGAGTTGTTCTGAGGATCAACTGAAGCCAAGGACATCAGACATGCTCAGTGTGGTCTTTGACCCTAATGCAAGCATAAACACCTGTTGATGAGGCGAGCAGCGTGAAAGGGTTAAGAGGTGTACGCATACCAGCTCCCTACGAGAGCATCACCACCTACTGCACACCAGCATGGACTAATATTCAAAATTTTTTAAAATAGAAGAAAAAAAATACTTTTTGCTATCTTTTCACAAGAAGATATGTTTATATTTTCTTTTTTTTTTTTTTTTTTTTTTTTGTTGTTGTTGTTGTTTTTGGTTTTTTTGGTTTTTTTGGTCTTTTTCGTTTTTATCGGTACCGGGGATCGAACTCACGACTGCCTGCTTGCAAGGCAGGTGCTTATGCCGCTGAGCTAAACCCCCAGCCCCTATATTTTCAATACTAGGTTTCCTAAGGACAAAGATGCTATCTAGTGTTAATTCCAAAACTTAGTACACACTGTATCTTTCACATTATAGTCAATGAACATTTAAGTCGATTAAAACATCTCCCTCTCCAACAAAATGGCGTCCCTTTCAGTATGTTTTGAGATGTTCTGGAAGGGGAATGTGAGTTTGTTAAAGATTTCTAGTTGTACTGAAAGCTGTGGAAGAGCAGTTAAGCAGACATGGGTCCTGCCTTCCCCTGGGAAGTTAAAGATGGCGTCCTGTGTTCAGTATTTAGCCTGGGTAGAAGCTCACTGGCCTTTATGTCTCAGGAGTAGGCCAGTCCCTTCTTTGTGATGACCTTGGCCAGCAGTGACCTTGTCTGCTGTTAAATCTGGTCAGAGAGCTGGGCTCAGGCTGTCATCCTTGCTCTCCAAGGTGTGGCCTTCAGGAAAATAGTGATGCTGTGTGGGGGCTCTCTGGAGTGGTGAAGGGTGACGCCTGCCACACTTACACACACGTACGCCATGTCCTCTGTTTCTTTCTCCTCCTCCTCCTCCTCCTCTTGAGCCAGGTTGGCCTTGAACTTACAGTGGTCCGAGTGCGGGGACCACGGGTATGTGCCACCACACCCAGTCTGTACTTTCTTAACACACAGAAGAACTTTTTTTGTAGAGATGGTGAACTCTGCTCGGTCACCACCACGTATGTGTGCTGCAGGTCGATAAGACAGTGATGTCCTCTCTCCCTGCTGCCACTGGGAGCAGCACCAGGGCCGGGCTGAACTGCTGGGCTGGGCTTACTAGGGTTACTGGGCTTACTGGGCTTACTGGGTGCAGGGTTCCCACTGAAGAGCGAAAGTTCAGGACAGGGGCGTGCTTAGTTACTTCACTAATCTTTTGGGAATTATCTTTTAAAAATAATTCTGTTTGGGCACAGTGGTGCACACCTTTAATCTCTGCATTTGGGAGGCCGAGGCAGGAGGAATACTGTGTGTTCAAGGCCAGCCTGAAGCACACAGGGAGTCCCTATCTCAAAAGCCTGAAACGTAAACATCAAAGAAAAGCTCTGTACTTGGGAAGTATAAAACTAGTTTTATCCTTATCGATGAGACTAGTGCCAGCTTCATTAATTCTGGGGATGGTGGTTGTTAAAAGTACAGTTCTTGAGTTAGCTGTGGGGCGGAGCGGTGTGGGTACTGAGAGTGGGTTAATGGAAGCTGTCACTTAGTGAGTGCTGTATCGGGGGCGAATTTGCTGTAGCAGCAACAGGACCGTGTACAGTCGTGTGTGAGGGCCCTAATACATCACGTGGCCAGACGTCTGGTGGCCCAAGGCCATGGCTGAGGCACACACTCACCAGTTTCCCCAGGAGCCCAGTTCCTGTCCCTTCACGCTGCCACCCGCAGTTCTCATTGCTGGCTCAGTGGCTTCCAGGTACAGACAGGGACCGCCCTTCCTCGTCTGGGGAAAACCTACCCTGAGCCTCAAGCAGGTTTCCCTCGGGCCTCAGTCAGCAGCTTCATGGCCAGTCCCAGCTGTAAGGGAAAGCGAGGCTCTGGAAGGGTCAGGGCCATGATTCATCCTGAGCGGGGCACTGCCACTTACAGATATGGGTTCGTGGGCATGGAGGGGATGGGTATGAGCGCTTGTGACAGTTCCTTATGCCAGGTATCATCAGCCAGTGTCATCTTCACAAGGGCTTATTAAATTAGTGCTGTCTGCTCGCTGCTAAATGAGGAAACTAGTGCTCAGAGAATTTATGGAACTAGCTCTGGTGAAATCATGGGCGAGTCGTGACAAACAGGAGCCAAAGTGTTACTTCCAAGCCCACACTTTTCATTACCCCACGGCCAGTCTTCTGTCAAACTGTCAGATGTTCCCCCACAGTTCCCAGCTCCCATTCCGACAGTGAAAGTGAATATTCGGCGTCGAACTCGGAGGAGGATGAAGAGGTTGCACAGGAATCCGAGAAGGACACAAACGCATCTGTGCTCAGCCAGAAGACGCAGGCTGCGAGCAGAATCCTGGTGCCCACCTGCAGAGGCACGCCTTCCAAGAGGATGAGGAGAGAGGACAGTGTAAGTGAGGCGACTGTGACCACCCACCGCGAGCTGCAGACGCCGCAGCGAAGGCTGCCCTGACAGACGAGGTCACAGGAGTGGCTGATGGGCTATTTTTCTGTATTTTCTCAGCCCTACTTGTAAATTTCCGCATAGATCTGTTTCCATTTTTGTGGCTTGCCTGCCTGTGTGTTTGGGAATCATGACCACAGTACATGCTAAAGGCAGCTTTTTGGTATCAGTGGTATCAGTGGACAGCTGGCAGTGAGACCTGTGAGGGTACCCCTTTTCCCAGCATTCTGTTGAGACATTGGAGTGGGTGAGGCGCCAGGCACCTCAGCTGCAGGAAGTGAGGACCACCCGGTGTCTGGGCAGAGGTGTGGTGAGGCTGTGGGCAGTGTGCGCTGGACTCTTCCTCACCACGTCAGAACTGCGGGAGCCCCTGCTGGAATCACCTGCATGGTCTTGGTTTTCCTCGTACTAGAGATAGAACACGGCGCTGCCATTGAGCCACATGCTCAGCCCCTGCGAGTTTTTGATACTGGTTGTTTTGTTTTGTCTTTGAGATGGGGTTCTACTGTATTGTTCAGTCTGGCCTCGGGGATTACAGATGTGTACCACCTCACCAGGCCTGTTATTCTTTGAGACCGGATCTCTAAGTTGCCCAGGCTGGCCTCAAACTTGTGATCTTCGTGCCTTAGCCTCCTGAGTAGTTTGGATTACAGGTGCACCATCATGCCTTGCTTGTTTTTTCTTTTTACTGACATTCCTGTTGATTGATTGATTTGCAGGGTGTCTCATCCCTGCTATGTGAGAGGACTCACTAAGCTGCTGAGGAGAAACTGAGGTCCTGCTATCTAGTATCTGTTTTTCAGTGTAAATGGAAAATGACAGTGTATACTGTAATTTGGGAGTCCCTTTTTTAGGAACAGACTACTTCAGTTGCTTGTATAACCCTAAGAATTCAGCAGTTTTGTAACTGCAGTTCAGGCCAGGTTCCTTCGCCTGTGTTGCTGTTCCAAAGGAAAACACTCCCCGGTGAGCAGTGTTAGTCGAGTGGGGTCCAGGTGGGCTGCCCGCAGGAGATGCTGTGCAGAGGGCCCTGCAGCCCACAAGCTGGACACTGGTTTGGGCAACATATCCACATCCATGTCTCCACAAAACAAAAGGAACCTTTACATTGTGTTTATTTATTTTGGTATTACTGCAGATTGAAGTGAAGCCTTTGCACTGAGCTACTTTCCTGGCCCTTTCATTGTTTATTTTGAGACAAGTTCTTAGGAAGTTGTAGTTTACCCAGCCTGGGCTTGGATTTGTGATCTTCCTGCCCAAGACTCCCAGAGTGCTGGATTTGCAGGCATGTGCCACTGTGCCCAGCAAGAAAGATCTTTCTATCCTATTTTATGTTTATGTGTTATTTTGGGTCTAGTTTTGATAGAACACAAATATCTGAAACCACCTAGAAATGACTTTACTCTTTCCCTTCCAGAGCAACTTAGTGGAAGAATATTTCGAAGCTCACAGCAGTTCCCAAGTCTTGACCTCCGACAGAACCCTGGAGAAGTTGAAGAGGGCAGCCCTGGATCAGGTGTGTGGTGAAGAAGGGGTGGGAGAGTGCTGGAGGCAGGGGCACCGAGAGCAGAGCTGGCATCTGATGGAACCCAGTGCAGGCCCTGCGGTGGCCACTCCCTTGCAGTGTAGAAACGCTAAGTAACCCTGAAATGGGCTTCCCTTGTTTTGTTTTGTTTTGTTTTGTTTTGAGACAGGGTCTCATCTGGCTAGGTAGTCCAGGCTAGCCTTACATTCACAGCAATCCTCCCGCCTCAGCCTCTTGAGTACTGAGATTACAGGTGTGCACTACCACACCCAGCTTCCATATTTTATACTTTATGTACAATCCAAGACAATTCCACTTCACTCAAAAAAAAATACATAGTTCAGGCCATAGGTAGCACTCAACACCCTTGTGTTCTGTTACCCTCACAGTGGTCATAAAACAAACCTGCAAGCTGTCTTTGTCTCACTCACACACACATGAAAACATTGAAGGTGTTCTCCTTAGCAACACTGTGGAAATGTGCGCAGTCTAGTAAGGTAACAAGGGTGCTTGTGCTGTGGTTTTGCTAGCTCGTCATACAACCGTACCAAAGAGAGAACAAAACTACCTGATCAAGAGAATTGGGGCTGGGGATTTAGCTCAGCGGCATAAGCGCCTGCCTTGCAAGCAGGCAGTCGTGAGTTCGATCCCTGGTACCAATAAAAACGAAAAAGACAAAAAAAAAAAAAAAAAAAAAAAGAAATCATGTTTAGTTTTCCAGCAGAGTCCTCTGGAAAAAAAAAAAGAGAGAGAATTGGCATGGTGGTGCACACCTGTAATCCCAGCCTGTCTCGAGGACATAGCTCAGCATAAAGACCCTAGATTCGCTCCCCTGTGTGAAGGGGGAAATAGAAAGTGGGGCTGATAATCTTAAGTCAGAAAGAAATCATTACTGGCTGAAAGATCACTAGTATTTTATTATGCAGGTTTAGCGTCCCTCAGCTAGAATGCTTGGAGTGGGAGTGGACTGTTCTGTGTTTTAGGATGTTTGCATAAGCACACTGAGGTCCTGGGGCAGGGCCTGTGTCCAAATGCAAAGCCCACTGGCTGTGCTCAGGGCACGGTCTGTCACCGCTCTCTGGTGTGGAGTTCCCTCTTGGGGTGTCAGGTCAGCACTCAGAAAGTTTCCCATTTGGGAACATTTCTTGTTTTTAATTTTTGGATTAGGGATGCTCAATCTGTACTGCATGAACCAGAATTTAGATTTTTCTCAGCCACATGGGGCTTTAGACAGGGTTTTCCAGATTGAGAAAATAGGCAGGAGGGTATGGGGTAAGGCTCTATGACTTGGATAACATGGTGCTATGCATTTTATTGGCTTTTCAATTTTTGTCCCCTAGATCATTGGTATTGACATTCAGAGACCAGCTAAAAATAAAGGTCATAAAGCCACGTTGAGCTTGGTGGCACATGCTTGTCATCCCAGCACTGAGGAAGCTGGGGCAGGCGGAGCTTGAGTTCAAGGCCAGACTGGGTAGGGGACCAAGAGCAGTGCCAACTAAGCTGTGTTTGTGGTGCCAGCTTGCTTGGTTTTATGTTTTTGTCTTTTTTTTCCCCTTGGTGGTATTAGGGATTGAACCCAGGACCTTAGCACACAGCTACATCCCTCGCCTTTTTTTAAGATTTCCAGGTAGAGCCTCAGTAAGCTGCTAGTTACCCAGGCTGGCTCAACCTGCCTCAACCTCCCAGGGCACTGATAATACTGGTTGCATCTTCATACCTGGCTTGGAGTTTTCTTTCAAAAAATGAGTTATATTTGGTTTATCACCAGAAATTTCCAAGGTAACTGATCTCCTTTAATGTTTTCTTTTTGTTGAGAAAGGCTCTTGCTATTTAGCCTAGCCTGTCTTGAATTCCTGATCCTCCTGCCTCACCTTCCCCGGTGCTGGCTGGGGTTACATGTGGATGCCACCATTCCTGCTTTCTTTTTTGGTATATTACTATGTTTAAGATTTTTTTCTCATACTTACAAAAGATAAAGGATTTGTCAGAAATAACTTTTTGAAAAAGAACAGTGATAAACAATGAAAAAGAACAAGTTTATGTAAGATTATGATAACCTTTTGCATGTTTCAGATGCCAGAGTTATTCTGCTTTATTTTATTTTTCTGGTGCTGGGAAACCTCACACATCCAAAGTAGGTACTTTACCACCAGGCTCCACCCCAGCCCCAAATCCACAGGCTTCTGAAGTCTGCATTTGCAGTCAGAGCCAGGAGCGGTGTCATCCCCTGCAGACACCGTCTTTTTAAGGATAATTTTTTTTTCTTTTTTTTTTTTTTTTTGTCTTTGTGAGACAGGGCCTTGCTATGCAGTTCAGTTGGCTTTGAACTCACTTTGTAGCCCAGGCTGGTCTCGAACTTGCAATAATCCTCCTGCATCAGCCTCCTGAGCACTAGGATTATAGGTGTGTGCCATGGGATAAAACTTTGATTTAGGAATTTGTAACCATTTTAATGGTTCCCAACAAACTTAGCAAATGTTTTACCAGTATTACGTATTTCTACTGAAAAGAGTATTTTAAAAGTTTTGGGTGTTTTTTTTTGTACCGGAGATTGAACTCAAGACCTTGCACTTGGCAGGTGCTCATGCCTCTGAGCTAAATCCCCAGCCCATTTAAAAAGTTTTATGAAAAAACAGACATACTCCTGGTGTAGAGGTGCACACCTTTATCCCCCTAGCTTGAGAGATGGAGGTAGAGAACTAGAAGTCTAAGTCCACCTGGGTGGCCAGTGGTCCTGTCTAAAGGAGAAGACCCCTGGTTCAGTCCCCGGCATCACCAGAAATGAATGGAGAGGGAATCATTTCAGGGTGTGTGAAGTGTTATTGCACGGCATTGGCCAATGCGCTCATCTACATGCCAATCTCTTCTACATGCAGCTGAAGAAACAGTTTCAGTTTGGGCTGAGTGATAGATGTGGCTTGAGGATGATTTTCTTCCCCTTTTTTTTCCTCAGCAAACGCTGCGTAACTTACTGAGCAAGGTTTCCCCTTCCTTTTCTGCTGAACTTACACGATTAAATGAACAACACGAAAAGTTATTTCATAAATGGATGCTGCAGTTACAGTAAGTATTATTGCAAACCTTTGCAAAAAAATATATTTGGGGGCCAGGGATTTAGCTCAGCAGCATAAGCACCTGCCTTGCAAATGCAGTCATGAGTCCGATCCCCAGTAGCAAAAAACATATATACAAATTTATATTAAAAGTATATTTCACAATTTTATGATTCAGATATAGAAATATAACTTCTCATAAATTTGTTTTTAAAAATGAGTGTCAAATTAATAACTACCAATTAAGAGTGTAATCATTTTCTTTTTATGTAACTGTGTATGCATAAACATTCAGAATTTCATGAAATATGTTCCATAAATGTTTTACCATTTTAACAGTTATTTTCTAATATTCTTTAGTATCATCGGTTTTCTGATACCGCAAATTAGATTTTGAATTTGTTAGAAAATAAGTGTTGAAGATGGAATGATAGTAATTATTTTCCTTGTATGCTTGTATTAGTTGTGTTAGAAGGATTTTAGCTGGGTGTGGCGGCTTGGGAGGCTGAGACAGGAGGACTGAAAGTTCACGGCCAGCCTGAGCAGAGACCCTGCCTCAAACAACATAAAGCAAAGCAAAACAAGAAGCTGGGCAAGGTGGTGTAAACTTGTAATCCCATCACTTGAGGCTGGGGCAGGAGAATTGCTGTGAGTTTGAGGCCAACATGGACTACAAAGTGAGTTCAAGGCCAGCCCGAACTGCATAATGAAGGGGTTCTGTCTCAAAAAGCAAAAAAAAAAGAAAAGCCACGAGGCTATGGGAAATGCGTGTCATTACTGGTGTCCTCCTGGTCTCCGGTCAGTAACTGCGGCTGCCCCGGCCTGCGTGGTGTGTTTCTGGGAACTGTCCAGCTGCCTTGAGGCTTGTGCTATGCAGAGGGTGACCCTTTCCCTGCAGGATTGCACTTTCTCAGGTGCCATCTGTGGAGCTGAGCTCAGCCCTCCTCCCCACGCTCCCCGGGGCCAGTTCTTCCTTCCCAGGAAGCCAGCCCAGCTGCCCACTTTGCACTCAGCAGACCTGCCCTTAGCAATGTCCACCTTCCAGGCCTCTCTGCTGCTCCAGTTTCTCCGACACCTGTCATTGTCATCGTCGTCCTCCTCCTCCTCCTCGTCCTCTTCCCAGCCCCTGTCTCGGAGCCGGTGTCCTGGGTGGCCCCCTCTGCTCTGGGCTTCCCCAATGGTTCGCAGGTGACAGCTGCACCCTGACTTCACTCAGCAACCAGCGCAGGAGTGTCTGTTGGAATATATCAGAACCTGCGTCTTGGGTCCTGTAGGAAATTCAGAGATCGCATCAAGCTCATCTGCAATGCCAAACTTGAGACCACAGCGGGGTCCAGGTGGGAGTGAGCCACAGGGCACGAGGCCCGGGAGCCAATGCTTTGTGCCGAAGAAGGAAACAAACTGTGCTCATTCAAGCCCGTCACTGCCACGAGCCCCACACGGACAGGAACGGCACTGCCTTTAGCAGAAAACCGGCCCTGGTCTTCTTCCACACTTCGTTCCCGTCCCATCTGTTCCCCTAGTAGAGCTGCAGGATTTTCGGAAAGATTGTGTGACCGTGTGGCCGTCCTGCTGAGAGCCTTCCAGTTAGCACCTTCCTCATAAGCCTGAAGGAGAGAAATTGGTTGATAACTAAATTAACAGTGAGAAATTTTGATGTTTAATTTTCTGAATGCTCTCTCCCAACAGCCTTGGTTTCAACATTGTGCTCTATGGTTTGGGTTCTAAGAGAGATTTACTAGAAAGGTTCCGAACCACCATGCTGCAGGACTCCGTCCATGTGGTCATCAATGGCTTCTTCCCTGGGATCAGTGTAAAGTCAGTAAGTTTCAGAAAGTTTTGAGGGGTGGCACTGTGTCCCCTGACAGGCTACCCCTCCAGGCCCTAGGGTGCTTTCTGGTCCTGGGACAGGGATACAAAGGATTGTCTTAGCCTTCACACTCAGCAGATCATGAAGTGTGGGCGATTGTGTTTGGGCTCAGGAACCAACTCTGTCTGGATTCCCTGCTGTGTAACTAACTGGCCTGTGTGACATTTTAGGAAATGTTAGCTTTGTTTGCCAAATAACAGAACTTCTCTGAAAAATAGGATTATGGAGTCTGCAGCTTTATTATCTTTTTGGAAACACCAAAGACTATGGGTTACGAGGTGTTTATCCTAGACCATCTTCATTGCTCTGTTTCTTCATCGTGGACCAGTTAATTTAAAGCTCTAGGGTGCTAGATACTGAGCAGTGCAGTGTCCCTTCCTGAGTGGCCTCAGTGTGTGCGCTGACTCCTCTGAGGAATGTGGGCCTCTCCTTCTCTCACAGCGGCAGCTTCTGTTTGTATCGCCTTTTCACCTTCGCTCCTTCCGCTTGCTGTAAGCCACAACTCTCACACAGAGAACTGAACTAGTGGACTCTGAAGTCCCACTAGAATGCTTTAAAGTGATTTTTTAGATTTTATAAGTCCAACATAATTTTTAGTCTATAAAAGGATTTGCTAGCTGTATTTGTCCTGCATGTCAGAATAAGTGGTAACTGTCGTGGTGCCTCTTGTGCTTTTGTGGAACAGATCCTGAATTCTATAACAGAAGAAGTCCTTGATCATGTGGGTACTTTCCGAAGTGTTCTGGATCAGCTAGACTGGATCATAAACAGATTTAAAGAAGGTAACACAAAGTAGATGATCTCTAGTTTTAGCATGTAAACATGTGTTTACATCTGCACAAACAAAAATGGGGATCCTTTGACAAAACTCATTTAGACTTGTCTAAGGCAGCTTGTCCTTGGCTTTTGGCTCTGCCTGCCTTCTTCCTCCCCTTGCCTCCAGGCACTTGGATTAGAGGTGTGTGCCACCACACTTGGCTTCCTACTTCTGGGTTTTTGCCTTTTCCTTTCTTGTATGCCCCTGGATCCACTGGCTGTTAGTTACGTGTGGTTTTCTTCTTGCGAAGCCCATGGCCTTGCTTCCTTCTTCATCTTGATCTCTGGCATGTGATGGTTTTGGCAGCTCCCATCCCTAGCCCTTCACTGGCTTTTACTCCCTGATGCTTGTGTAGCTCAGAACCTCCCACCTTGTCATCTCCATCGGCTTCTGTCCTAACCAGGTCTTTCTGCGCAATCTTTGTCCACTGGGAACATGACTCATGTCCCTGGGGCTCCACCCGCAGTGCTGCGTGCATGCTCACCTGCTGTCTGGTGCATGCTTCTTGCTGAGGGTGAGTCCATGGAAGAGCACTTGACTTGAGTGTGTGAGGCCCTGGGCCTAATCCCCAGCTCTGCGACCAAAGACTTCTTTCATTAGGGCCTGACTCAAGTGAGAAGTCATAAAATCTTAGGTTCTGGGCATTAAACCCCTGAGGTCACCTCATCTCACCCATGCATTCATTCATTTTTGGGTTTTTGAGCCAGAGTCTCTCTATGTAGGTCATGCTGACCTTGAACTCTCCATAGTAGCCCAGACTATTCTGGAACTCATGGTGATCCTCCTGCCTCAGCCTCTTAAGTGGTGGGGTTATAGATGTGTGCCACCACACCTAGCTTATCTTTTTTATTTAGAGATAATCCCACATAGTTTCCCAGGCTGGGCTTAAACTTGCAGTGGTCCTGCTTCAGCGTCTTAGAATGCTGGGTGACAAGTGTGTGCCACCAGGCCCAGCTTGGCAAAGTTATTTACTCTATATTATTTTTGTGCGTTTGTTGAGACAGGGTTTCATTACACAGTTCAGGCTTGCCTTGAACACACAACGTAGCCCAGACTGGCCTCAAACTCACAGCAATCCTCTGCTTCAGCCTCCCAGTACTGGTATCCCACACTGCTTTGACAGATACTTTACTAGGTAGGCATTTGTGTGTGGTAGAGACTTCAAAAACATTTACTGAAAGTTACAGTTGCACTCCCTTTCCTTTCAGATTCTTCTTTAGAACTCTTCCTTCTTATCCACAACTTGGACAGCCAAATGTTGAGAGGAGATAAGAGCCAGCAGATTATTGGACAGCTATCATCTTTGCCTAACATATACCTGATAGCATCTATTGACCACCTCAATGCTCCTCTCAGTAAGTTAAAACCTGCTGCTTTCTCTCTGGAAGATGAGTGTTACAAGGTTTTTACTGTGTTTTAGTAGCCCCTCCCCTTTCCATGTTTAAAGACAGTTTAGCTGGGTGTGGAAGCGCATGCCTGTAAGGCCAGCACCAAGTACACTGAGGCAGAGGACTCCTGAGTTAGGGCAGACTGGGCTGCATGGTGAGTTTGAAGCCACCCTGAGCTACTTGTTGAGACCTTTTATCAAAAGAAAAACAAAACAAAAATAAGTGGCATGTCTGGGCACACACCTGTAACTCCTGACTGGGAGGCTAAGACCGCAGGATCTAAGTTTGACCCTCACCTGGGCAGTTTAACAATTTAATTAGACCCTGTCTCACAATTTTAAACAGATTTTCAAAAGGGCTGGGGATGTACTCAGTGGAAGGGACCTGATTTAATACCCAGTGCCAAAAAGAGCACACAGTTGCCTAAAAGAAAGTTATGCTCAGTCTGGGTTAGTTCTTTTGTGATACTGCAGACTGAACCCAGGGAGCTGTGAGCTCCCTCTGTGTCTGCCCTTCGTATTTTTATTTTACTTGGATAGGCTTTCACTGAGTTGCTCGGGTTGGCCTGGAGTTCACATCCTTCTGCCTCAGGCACCCAAGCAGCTAGGGTTCCATACATGCTCCACAGTGCCCAGCCACAGCAAAATTCCTGAAGAGCCAAGTTCACATCGGAAAGAGGGGAATCTTTTTTTTTTTTTGTCTTTTTGAGGCAGGGTCTCGCTATGCAGTTCAGGCTGGCCTTGAGCTCGATGTATAGCCAGGCTGGTCCCGAATTTGCCACGATCCATCTGCCTCAGCCTCCCAGTGCTGGGATTACAGGCGTGCGCCACCACGCCCGGCTCAGAGGGGAATTTTAGAAAAGAAGTCACATGGCAGTTGTTTTGGCTTCGGGTGTTGCAATGTTTCTTTTATAAACTTAATTTACATGCACTGTGATAATCCTGCAGAACAAAATACTGATTGACAATGAAGTCACATCATGAGTTACTGATTTGGATGAGGGATTGTTTAAAAAAGAATTTCAGGATTCTCTGTAATGTTCTTCTGGAACGCAGTCTAGGGACATAATGTGAAAACGTTTTGTGATTCTGTTCTCTGCTTGTGCTAGTGTGGGATCATGCAAAGCAGAGCCTTTACAACTGGCTGTGGTACGAGACCACCACATACAGCCCCTACACCGAGGAGACGTCCTACGAGAACTCCCTGCTGATCACACAGTCCGGCTCACTGCCGCTCAGCGCTCTGACGCACGTCCTGCGGAGCCTGACCCCTAATGCACGGTGAGAAGGAAAGCGTCACTTCCTCCACACTGCGTCAAGGCCTGGGGGTGCAGCTCAGTCCCATGGCATCTGCCTGGCACTCGGCAGGCGCTGGCTTCTCTCCCTGTGCTGCAGATATGTTAACTCATTAACTAAAACCTTTCCAGTCTGGTGGAAAATTCACTCTCTTAAACTCTAAGAGGTACCACGTAGACTTCCTTTAGATCTAATAGCAAAGACTGCTTAAAAGCACTTTGGGTGGTGGGGATACAGCCCACATGCTCAGCACCTACCTGGCAACCGTGAGTTCAATTCCCAGTACCAAAACAAAAACAGAAAAGTTTAATAGAAGACTTTTCTAGTCCAGAGGGCATGGTACTTCCCAGCCAAAGTCCCCCTTCTTCTCTAGACATCTGCACAGCAAGAAGCATAAATACAGAACAGCAACCGGAAGGGGCCACTAGGGCCTGGGGTAGCTCAGTGGTAGTGCATTGCCGACATGCACCAGCACTGCAGAAAGGGCAGAAATGCAAGTACCCAAGTCTGCCGTGCAGACGCAGCTCAGTGTCAGACAGGGGCTCCAAGGCACAGCCACACCAGAGCTTACTCCTGGGAAGCTTTCCCTGGTGGGTGTGTAACTGCATTACCACAAGAGGCTAATTTTAATTACCTCAGAGGCTAATTTTAATGAGTTATTGTGTACCCTGTAAACAGATTTGGGGGCTGAATGGTAGAGCACTTGCCTAGTGTGCATAAGTTCTGGGCTCATCCCCATCACTGTAAACAGTTACTCTATATTAACTTGTACAAATAAGATTAGCATTGCATGGTTATCTTTTTCCCGTGCTGTGGGTCAAACCCAGGCCCTTTCACATGCCAAGCAAGTGCTCTGCACCCCCAGCCCAGCCATCAGCAGCTGTTGTAATGGAGTGAGGAAGAGAAGACGTCTCCCCTCCATTCTGTTAGATTTTTTTTTTTTTTTTTTTTGTACCAGGAACCAAACTTGTGACCTCAAGTTTGCCAGGCAGGTGCTATGCTGCTAAGCGGTATCCCCACCCCCTTCCCCTTCTTTGTACCATTACACTTACTGGTGAAGGACTGTCATGAGTGGATGTGAAGTTGGGGTATGTGCAGGGTAAGAATGCTTGACTTGGCGGGTATGGTGGCCCATGCCTATAACCCTAGCACTCTGGGAAGCTGAGGCAGGAGGATCACTCTGAGTTCGAAGCCAGCCTGAACTACAGAGTGAGACTGTCTCCGAAAGAAACAAAACAAAACAAAAACCTGCTACACATTAGATAGGCACTGACTGTGCTCATACAGATAGTTTCCTATTTTTTCTTTTTTTTTTTTTTTTACCAGTAGCAGGGATTAAACTCACAACCGTGCACTTGCAAGGCAGGCACTTATGCCACTGAGCTAAATCCACAGCCCCTCATGCAGATAGTTTTTATTGGGCATACCTAAGTATCTGAATGTCAGCCTCCAACACTTTTTTAAAAATTTTTAAGTTATTTTGGAATTTTGGTTCATTCTGCAGTTGTTGTGATTTAGTTTCACTTGTATGAATATAATTGACCAAGAATGTTCAAAATTTAGCCATAGTTACAGAGTAGTCATTCAGGAGATTCAAAATGTAATTAAAGAATTAGTCTCTACATCACTATAAAAGTGAAAATGAAAATCTGTAGCAATTTTGGTATAGCCAGGCACTCCCGGGAATCTTCAGTTGTGGAATATTCCTTCCAGCCCCTTAATTCCACTCATTTACTCTCCCACAAAAGTAATTCAAAACACAAAAAATGGACCAGGGATTTAGCTCAGAGGCATAAAGCACCTGCCTACCAATTTTGAGGTTGTGAGTTCAGTTCCTAGCACCCAAAAAAAAAAAAAAGTACCCTTAATGCAGTTATTTTACTCATCTAAAAGAAGATATTACCCAAAACAGTAGAGAGATGACCACTTTGTGGTTTATACTAAGTCATTAAAATTTATTTGGGAGCAGCTTAAAAAGGTATAGGAAAAATGAGTAATTGAAAAGGTACAGCAGGGCCAGGGGTTTAGCTCAGCAGTGTAAGTGCCTGCTTGGTAAGCATGACATCGTGAGTTCGATCCCCAGTACCAAAAAAAAAAAAGGAAGAAAGATACAACATGGTGTGCATAGCTGGGCGTGACAGTGCACACCTGCAGTCCCAGTGCTCTGGGAGCAGAGGTAGGAGAGTCACAGTTCAAGCCCAGCCTGGGCAGTTTAGCAACTTAGAGAGACCCTGCCTCAGAAAAGGGCTGGGGCACCGCTTGGTACAGAGGACCTAGGTTTAGTCTGCAGTGCTAGGAAAAGAAAAACCGTAAAGGTGCCGTTGTATACTTAAATGTTCAGGTTTATGCAGTTCAGTCGCCTCATGCAGAGTGACGGCCAGCACCTAATGTGGCCCTAACGGTGTGGAATCCATACTTGCCTCTTTAGTCATCGTGGATTCCAGATTTTCTACAAGGAGGAAAATCCCAGTGAGAGAAAAACCGACAGTACAGGGGCGGGAAAAGAATAGAGACATGTGATGCGCCAGTGCCAGCTCCCCGCGATGCCTCGTCAGCCTGTGCTGCAAACGTGGCTGGGCGTAGCCAGAAGGGCCCTCAGCAGCTGGCCCGGATGGGGCCTCTCGGGACGGGGCCAGTTGCCAGTAGCCCCATGTCACGTGCCCCTCTCAATGTGGATGCTGGCTGATGGCTGTTTGTCTTTCCCTAGGGGAATCTTCAAGCTGCTGATGAAGCATCAGCTGGAGAACCAGGAGGACCCTTCATACCCTGGTACCTCAACGACCGCCCCTTCCCTCTCCCGCCACCAGCCAGGACGTCCCTGGGCCGGGCTGGGCTCCATGTCTGCCTCTCATACATGGGCATTTTGGGAGACTGGCTTCCTGTTGGGAAAAGATAATGTTCATGAAAAAAAATTTGAAGGAAAAACGTTGTAGTAATTGTTCAGCTCTTAGGACTTAGTTCTTTACTTGTACCTGTATTTGTTTCTTGTCTTTTTGTGATGGGGTCTCACTGCAAAGTTCAGCAGTCTCTGAGCTCACACTGGCCCAGGCTGCCCTCAGACTTAGCGATTATCCTGCCTCAGCCTTCTGAGTGCCAGGATTACAGGCGTGCACCACCACGCCTACGTTGGTTGTCAGAATTGCCCAGGCTGTTGAGTATCCTGTCAGTCATAGCTCTGACTGACGTGGCCTCCTTGGGCAGTACCCAGGCGCCTCCTAGCTTTGATTGTTCTCGTCACCTACCACGTGGCCAGCTGCATGCCACTTCGGGGCTGTGGGCACAGGGTTGCGCCGCAGAGCTGACTGCAGTGGCTGCCTCCTTTTGAACTTCCCAGGCCTCTCCTTTCAAGACTTCTACCAGCAGTGTCGGGAGGCCTTCCTCGTCAACAGCGACCTCACCCTGAGGGCCCAGATGACTGAGTTCAGGGACCACAGGCTCATAAGGACAAAGAAGGTGAGACTGGCTTTCCACCCGCCCCACGCTGGGAGCTGTGCGCATCCACACCGAGGGCCAGGTATCCCTGGCCCAGGACCACCTGGAAGTGAGGCTTGCCAGGCCTGCGACACTGGACCCGGGAGAAACACATGTCAGGAAGGGGCCAGGGCCCACTCCATGCCCCACCGCCACTGGTGGCAGAGCAGGGCTGAGCATTGCTGTTCCTGGCTCCACCCGTCCGGCAGTGCTCACTGAGTATGTGAAATATGGCACACAGTGCTAAGCAGGCCTGAGACCTGGGCGCTGTCCTTTTGGAATTTAAACCTAGTGGGGAGGTGGACAGTAGTGGTCACCACCCATGTAAAACACAAACCATGTCAATCTATGGCCTGGTGTGGGGGTGCACACCTGCGATCCCAGCGTGCAGGAGGCTGAGGCAGCAGGATGCCTCCAAGTTTGAGGCTACCCTGGGCTACATAACAAGAGCTTGTCTCCATAAGAAAAAAAGAAAGGGCATGTGGAAATAGGTGACTTTGACTTCGGCTGATATCACCGCGCTAGTTAGGTCTGGTAGCCGGCAAGGCAGCACACATGCACGTGCTCAGCTCCCAGGGAGGCTTCAGGCAGGAGGATGCGGAGCTGGGGCCTGGCCAGTGTAGCCACACCGCATCTCAAAACCAACATGTTTCAGAAGGGGCTAGGGAAGGAGGGTGGATACACGCTTGCCAAGCGTGAGTGAGGCCCCGAGTCAGTTCCTAGAAGCAGAAAGAATGGGGTTGTGGAGAGGAGAGGAGTATTCCAAGCTAGGAAAGGCACAGCTAGAGATCAGAAAAGGAGGGCGGCCAGGGCGGCCCGGCAGCTGGAGTGGGCATGGGTACAGCCCAGGCAGGGATCTCCAGCCGGTACTCCGGGGCCTGAGCTGGGGCTGAGCACTGGCCACATAACCAAAGTTGGCTCGTGAGTCTCCGTGCATCCAGTTCCCAACTCAGCAGGTGCCAGTGGGGCCAAGAGCAGAGGCAGCAGGAGAGGTCTTGGGCCCAGGAGTGGTGAGGGATGGGAGAGCCAGACAGGGTGGGCAGAGGGTGAGCGACCAGAACCCACAGGAAGCCAGACCAGACATTGCTGCCGGAGAGCAGCTGTATTGGGCGGAGCTGGCTGCCTTGCCATTTGGCTTGGGAAGAGGGGTTTTAGGGTTACTGGGTGGGCGGCTCTGCGGGTGAGCCAAGTGCCAACAGCAGAATGTGACAGGGTTATCGTAGGCGAAGCTGACTTCTGCAGTCGGAACAGTTCTGGGAAGTTTCTTTTTTGCAGCCTAAGCATGAACAGGCTCTGGGGACAGACTGACCGTTCAGAGGGAGAACACACTGACATCTCTCCAGCTGCAGAGTGCGTCAGCCGGAGCAGTGTTGCAAAGCCAAAAGTACACATATGGTGGCCTTCGCCTTCTGTGTGGGTGTGTGGTACCATGCTGTTTTGAAACAGGTCTCACTGTGTGGTCCTGCATCAGCCTCAGGAGGGTTAGGATTACAGACATGTGCCAGCACATCGGTCCCACACCACTTTTTGAGACTCAGTCTTGCTATGTAGCTTAGGCTCAAATTCATTGTGTAGCCCAGGCCAGCCTCCTGCCTCAGCATCCCAAGTGCTGGGATGACAGGCATGCACCGTGTCTGGCGTGCCTTAATTTTTAAATTATATGTTCATCTAAAATAGTTCTTTTAGCTAGGGATTTAGCTCTGCGGCATAAGCGCCTGCCTGGCAAGCACAAGGTCATGAGTTTAATCCCTAGTACCAAAAAAAAAAAAAAAAAAATACAGTTCTTTTAATTAAATGTTGAAATCTTATACTCAGTAATTTCAAGATAACAATATGCAGTGTACTTTTTCTTTTCTTTTCTTTTTTGTGCCAGGGATCGAACTCATAACCACACACTTTGCAGACAGGCGGGCACCTATGTCGCTGAGCTAAATCCCTGGCTGTAATGTACTAATATACCCCTTGTTTTGAATTTTTTTTTTTTCTCTTTAAAGAAAAAGCCCTTTTTGGGAGAGGTACTAGGAGTCAAACTCAGGACCTTGCCCCTGCCAGGCAGGCACCATGCCGCTCCCCGGCCACTGAAATAGCCCTCGATGGCCTGGGAGGGGATCGGTGAGGGGATCGGTGGGAGAGCCTATGGCTTGCAGGCCTAAGGCCTGCCTCGATCCCCAGCACCGCAGGAAGAATCAAACCACAGACCTAAACTAGACCTTACGAGCGCTCCAAGGCACCCAGTAGGTTCGAGTGGCTCTGGCAGGGCACTAACATGAGACTCTGGCACCCTCTAGGGCCCCGATGGCGTGGAGCACTTACTGATCCCTGTGGACAGCCAGACGCTGACTAACTTCCTGGAAGAGGAGGAGGAGGCGACGGTGACGGCCTGAAGTGGCCTCTGCACCTGGCTCCTTGCGCTGCCTCCCTGCGCAGGGACCATGGTGCCACGGGTGGATGTGCCTTCTTCACAGGTCACCTCCGGGGACTCCTGTGGGACGGGGACGCTCAGGGACGCCGGAATGGATGTTTCTCGGCTCTTTTCTGCTAGGGTCAGCATTGCCGGGGCTCCGAGGAGGCCTTTAACACTCCCCGAGTTGGCCCTGCGTGCGCGCCAGCATCTTGGCCAACCGTGTCACGTGGGAGCCGGGGCATAGGGAGGTGGTTCAGGGAAGGGACGAAAGCCGGGCAGGACCCGGCCTACGGCAGAGGGCAGGGAGCAGGCCAGGCTGAGGGAGTCCTGGATCGCGCCACAGTGATTCGCACGGGGTAGGAGTGAGACGGAGCAGGGTGGCCTGCAGCCCTGGGGTGCATGTGGCATCTAGCAGCAGCTATGTGGCCCAGTGGGCACTGGGCACGGTGGCATCAGCCTGCCGCTCAAGATGGTGTCCTGTGACCCCTGCTGAAACTTTCTAAAAGTGCTGGTGACTTCTGTTAATTTCTTTGTGATATAGAATTGATTTTGTGTCTTAAGTATCACTACTGAAAAGACATCATTTATACATGAATTTACTTCTAAAAATATTTTTTGCCAGTAGCATAGCAAATTTGAGTGAGTTTCCTTCCCACGCCTGACCCCTGCCAGCGGCTATTCTGCTGAGAGGGCGCCGTCCATCACTGGGCTCCTAGCCCTGTGCCAGCCACCTCCCTGCCGCCCCACTTAGAGGCACAGTGGTGTCATGCTTGGGGGTTTGCACCTTGCTTTCTTGCTTTTGTCTTGTTTATAGCTGTTACACTATAAAAATATGTAAAATTTTAATGACCTAACATGCAAACTTTTGCATCTGCTCTTAAATATCTATGGTTTATTTTTGTAATTTTGGTGTCTGTATACTATTGGCGAGCAGTCAGTACATGTCAGCAGAGTGCTACTGATAAATAAAAGCCACTTTGGATAGCATCACTGTCTAGCTCCCAGGGCTGGTTATTACTGAGCACACTACCCATGTCTGTGTTCCCTGAGTTTGAGGCCCAGGCTGCCCACTTACACTGCTGCGTCACTGCCCTCCTGAGGCCTCCCATCCACAGCTGACCTAATGGCCAGGATTCTGCACAGGGCTCAGGCCTGCTGGCTGCCGCTCAGTGACCCACTGCGAACCATCCCTGCTCAGGTCCCATGCCTTCCAGGTGACAGAAATGGACAACCCTTGACATTTTGGACAGTATTTCAAAAGGTTTGCTTTTACCATTATCAAAATAACACGTTGAAAAGAGAAAGTACAAATATTTTTTTAAATCTCCCGTCATACCACCGAAAGGAAAAAAAGTCACAGTAAAAGTGGATTGCTAGCTGGGGATGATGGCACACACTTGTAATTCAGCATTTGGGAGGCTAAGGCAAGAGTATCTCTGTGGATTGCAGAGCAAGTTCAAGGCCAACCTGAACTAGAGCGAGACACCATCTCAAAAAGGGGTCAGCCCCACACTATACCAGTTTTGCTCTGAGTTCACCAAACCAGCCCAGTCTCCTCAACCACTTCTTAGCAGGAGGCCTCGGATAATTCTCTTTCCTTTTCGGCTCTCTGAGCGCTACACCACAGAGAGAGGGTCCCGGTCGCACTGAGACAGCACCACCTGCACCCTGTTCTCCAGGTGTGCACACAGCAGGTCTCGTAGCTCCGAGAGAAAGCCGCGTTCCGTGTTGCTGTGCTCGCAGAGGACAACACTGATTCCTTGGGCAGTGGCATCCAGGACGTCGTGATGGGACATTTCACCTGCAGCAGGAAAGTCAGAGCTCAACCAGCAGACATGGAAACTGAATGCATAAGCTTGTGCTGTACATAAAGCATGTGGGCAGCAGAACGGCTCCTCTGACACTGCAACAGCAAAAGCTATCCCTCCAAGAACCCTAACTTTCTCTTGGTGACCCAAGCAAGTGTCCAGGGCTGCTGAGGAGAAAGAGGGGTCCAAGCCTATGATCCCAGCACTGGGGAGGCTGAGGCAGGAAAATCTCCAGGAGTTCAAGGCCAACCTGGGCTACGTGTTAGGTATGAAGCCTGGCTGACCTGGTCAGAGCCTGTCTCCGTAGGGACACTCATAAGCGCTAAAGAGGACTCCTTTAGGTCTGGGCAGGGCATGTGCAGGGTTCCACCTCAGCTACAGCAGCCTAGGGGGGTGCAGGACCCAAGACCGTGTTGACCTGGGACAGAAGGGGATCACATCTGTTTATGTACTGTCTGTCTCTGCCAGTGCTGCAGACTGAACCCTGAAACTGCAGTGAACTCCATCTCCAGGCCTTTCATCTTTTATTCTGGTAGAAGTGCTGAGTTCACCAGGCCAGGCTCAGACTTGTCCTGTCCTCCTGCCTCAGCCTCCCAGCAGCTGGGACTACAGGCCTGATGCTCAGTGTTCCATACTAAGTGATTAAATGACCTCCTTCCCCAAAACTACAGGACATCCCCAATTCTGATGTTGTGCCTATGCAAATGCAAAAGCAGTTTAGGTGTCACACATGCCCCAGCACTGCCCTCACAGTAATGGGAGTGGGGAGCATTCCTACCTGTGAGGTACAGGTCAGCTTGCACCCCCTGAAGAACGCTGCTCCCAGAGCCAGCACACAGGGCCACGTCATGGACCTGGGAGTCTTCAACGTAAGCAAACGAGACAGCCGTGTTTGGCCTGCAGTCCTCTGTGAGGTGTAGGCACTGCTGGCCTCTCACCATGCACAGCACGTGGATGCTGGGGTGCTACAGGAGCAAGCTGCAGCTCCTGGTGCTGCGAGGCCAGGAGACCCCGCCCGGTCTGGCCAAGGGGACCCTGCACTGCTATATGACAGGGACATCTCCACAAGGTGGCCCTGGAGGTGCAGGAAAGCCAAGGAACGTGCTCCTGCGAGCTCGCAGGCCCAAGCCAGGGAGGGTGTCTGCCAGGGGCCTGGAGCTTGCTCCCTCTCCCATCCTGTGGCTTACTAACTCGGGCAGGTGGACTCAGGCTGTATGGCAAGTGCCCACTTGTAGAAGACGTCATGGCACATGCCTGTCATCCCAGCACTTGGGAGGCTGATGCAGGAAGATCACCTCCCCAGACTACGTAGAGACCTGGCCTCAAACTGCCAAACCAAAAAAGGGGAGACAAAGCGTTTGGTCACAGAAGAACAGGGAAATGTGTGACCTCACATGCTGCAAAGGGCCAGGACAAGCCCCAGTGCCAGTCCGTGTGACTGCAGGATACCAGCCTTGTCCCCAAAGGCCTGGAAAAGCTAGGGGAAAAGGCAGTCGCCCGGTAACGGGAGCCCACTGCGCTCAGCCACCACCCTGGACTCCTCCTCCCTGCCTGAATGAGACTGTGGAGGGACTGCCACACTCACCGGAGGGACTGCCACACTCACCGAGGCTCCTGCCCGCTCCGAGTGCCAGCCGGACGTGCGCCAGCTTCAGGTGGCTCTTCACCCGCTCCACCACGGTGGCCAGGGCTACGGGCTCCTCCAGCACGCACAGCCGCCCCATCCCGGTGTGCGGCAGCAGAGGCTGGGAAACGGACCCCAGCTCAACTGGGAGCAGAGCGGGGCCGGAGGTGGCACCTTTCACCCAAGAAGCCGTCCGGGAGCCAGTGGCCGGGGCCAGGAGCCGCCCACCGCCGCTGCCGCGAGCCCCGCCCGGCCCGCACCTCCCGAGCCGCGCGGCACCCGCACCTTCTCCAGGGCCAGGATCTCCATCTCCTCGTAGAGCCCGCCGTGCTGTGACAACCAGGCCACCACGCGTGTCAGAGCCTCCTGCGTGCAGTTCAGGCTCAGCCGCACCTGCTCCTCGCCGTCAGCCCTGCCACGCAAGACACGGAGTCCGCCCCGCTGACAGCTTCCTGCGCAGCACTAACCCTCTCTCGCCCCCTCGTGCCCCAGCCCCAGCACCCCCACGGGGCGGCCCTGCCCCTGGGGCAGGGCTCTGTGAGGGACGCTGGCGGGCCCTGGAAGCCCTGACTACACACAGACCTCTTAAAAAGCTCTTTGAAACAGGATCCAAGTTACACAAGGTAGGCCTCAAACTTGAGAATTTCCTGCCTCAGCCTCCCAACTAGCCACTAAGAATACCACCACACCCCCCTGAAGTTGTTTTGTTTTGTTTTGTTTTCTTGGTGGCAGTGGGGACTGCACTGTACGCGCAGTGTCACTCCCTGCAGCTTCCAGATACCCTACAGTACTGGAGATGGATCCCTGGGCCTCTGCACTGAGCCACAGCGTACTCCAGCCTTTTTTTTTTTTTTTTCTTCCGTACCAGGGATTGAACTCACGACTGCCTGCTTGCAAGGCAGTTGCTTATGCCGCTGAGCTAAATCCCCCCCCCCCTCCGCCTTCTTTTAAAATCTTTTGAGCCAGGGTCTTGCTAGTTTCCCAGACCGGACTGGAACTTATGAGCTCCTGCTTCAGCCTTCCTAGCTCTGAGGTTACAGAAGTGTGTCGCCATAACCTAGCAGAAACATTTTTGTTATTCACAGAATTCTAGGGGCTGGGGATTTAGCTCAGTGGCATAAGCAACTGCGTGGCAAGCGTGAGGTTGTGGGTTTGATCCCTGGTACCACAAAAAGAAAAACAAACAAACAAAAAAAACCCCACAGAATTCTAGAAATTAAGAACACGTAAGAAATAACCTACAAGCATAATTTGTCAGCACTGAAATCATCTGTGTGCCTTGTTTGTGTCTTGATAGGGTCTCACCACGTAGTTGAGTAATCCTATACTCACACCATAGCCCAGGCTTGCTTTGCTTTTCTTTTCTCAATACCAGGAATCAAACTCCTGATCTTGCTCTTGCCAGGCAGGTGCTGTGCAGCTGAGCTACATTCCTGGCCCGCCGAGGACAGCTTTAATATCATGGCAATCCGCCTGCCTCAGCCTCCCAGCATTACAGATGTGAGCCACCCTGCCCAACTAGAGCTTTGAAAGAAAAGAAAAACAGTGCCTGGGCCCCAGCCTAATGTTAAAGCCCAGATATTATCTACAACATGGGAAAACCGAGGGAAACTAGAAAGTCCACAATAGGCCAGCACTGGGAGCCACTGAAACGGGAAACTGAACACAGCTGCAGGGCTGCAAGATAAGGTCACAGCTAAGGACACCTGGCCTCTAATTCCAATTAACTAAAGACGATAGCTGTAGGCATTTCACTCCTGTACACGGAGATCTTCTATGATACTTCTAAATTAACATAATTTGTTACTTGGAAAGGTCAGTAAACCACTCCCAAGGTCTGTTCAATTTCCTACATCTTCCTCTCTAACCCCTCCCTTGTTTGGAAACTAAATAAATAGGGCCACCCAGAGGCATCCCTCGTCTTCCCCACCAGAGTATCAAACTCTGCAGATGGTTTTGGAGCCATCTTCTGGAGCCCTAAAATGACACCACTTATTTATTTTAAGCCATTACTGTACACTCGTTTTGGAGCTTGGGGATCTAGGCCAAGTGTGGTTGTACATGCCTATAATCCCAGCTCTCCAAGAAGCTGAGGCAAGAAGATGGAGAGTTCAAGGGTAACATAGAGCAAAACCCTCTTTCCAAAAAGAAAAGTCCAAGTCAGTAGGAAGACAAATGCTTAAATCTACAGCACCAGGTAGTAAAAACACAAAGATTTCTAAAATACCCTGTTAAGTAAGGAAGGCAAATACTACCAGGCCTCACAGTGTAGACCTGCAAACCCAGCACCCTGGAGGCCAAGGCAGGAGGCTCCCTAAACCTCCCAACAGCTGTGCTCCTAACAAAACACTGTCTCAAAAAACAAAACAACCTGTAATGCCAGCACTCAGGAGGTTGAGGGAGATGACCTAAGTGTAAGTTTGAGACCAGGCAGAACTGTTGCAAGACCCTGTCTCAAAAGACAAAAGGAAAGAAACCGATGTCCTAGAGACATCCCCGCACCCCACCCCGCATGCTTCTGAGATTCCCTCTTCTCTGAAAAAAAAGACACTGGGGGATGAGGACAAGGACTAGGAGGGCTTCTGTTTGATTTCAATTTTTCATGTATTTGTTTCAGGGATTTTCTTTAAATTTCAGCATCTAAATGGTATTTCTGTATAGAAGACATCAACAAGAAAAATCTACTGAAAGCCTCATAAAAGACTTGAGAGTCCTGAAATTTCCCAAAACTATTACTGATGTACACCCATGGTTTCACAATAAAGAATTTACATTTAGAAGTCAGGCAAGCAAGGTAGTGCATGTCTGTAACCCTAGCAATCAAGAAGCAGGAGAAATGCCGTGAGTGCAAGCCCAGCCTAAACTGCACAGCAAGACCCTATCTCAAAAAAAAAGGGACAATGAGATGTACTTTTCCTTCAAGTCCTTGAAAATCACTGATTTCCTGGAAACTGACAGAAGTAAGCACTATCTCTGTACCATTAGGACCTGTCTATATCTTCTGAAGTAGAAACAAGTACTTTGAACACTATCAGGGGACAGGAAATACCAGGCAGGGTGCCAGGGCCATCCCTTCCACAGGGAGCTGCTCAGGAGCGCCACCCAGAGCCCTACCACTTCGAAGACCCATGGTTCCCTCTGCCCAGAACAAGACACAAGCAAATGATCTGTACAGCCCTTGGAAGCCAAGCCCAGGGAAAGTGATTTCTTCTACACGGACTTTGTAAGAAAGGGCTTATAAATAAAACCACACCCAAAAAAGAAAAATACCTGGTGGAGAAACATGTGATGGAAGCATTGCTGACTCCTTTCAGGGCCGACAGGACGGCGTCCAGGTCCTGGGGGTGCCTAATGCTGAGCTCTACTCGGTGGGTCCCCTCTGTCGGGTGGCTGGCGGCTCTGCAGGGACGGATTGGCCTGGAAGTACAAGCACCTGGGGAAGTCATGAGGAAATCAGAACTGTTCTGGATTTTCATTTTAAGATGTAAAAGCAATGCCAGGGAGGGATTTAGCTCAGCAGCATAAGCACCTGCCTGGTAAACTCGAGGTTGTGAGTTCAATCCCCGGTACCAAAAACAAAAAACAAAAAAACACCGAAGGTGTAAAAGCAAGATAAACTACTACAGGCAAAATTTATAACAAGCACTTAAAAAAAACCATGTTCAAGGGGCTGGGGGTTTAGCTCAGCGGCATAAGCGCCTGCCTTGCAAGCGGGCAGTCGTGAGTTCAATCCCCGGTACCGATTAAAAAAAAGACAAAAAAAGAGAATGGAAAACTAGAACCTGACCCAGTGTCCTTCATATGGCCAAAGTTCAAGAGAAAGCTAAAAGTTGATAGGCAGTTGATTGTGTGTGTGTGTGTGTGTGTGTGTGTGTGTGGTATGTATACATGTAGATCACAGAGATGTTTGAGATATCTCTTATTTCTTCTCATTTTACTATGGGATGTCAAAAACAGCAGAAAAATTTTTCAACCACAAAAATAAATGAGGTGGGTATACCACACACAAGAAAGAAGATAAAGTTTCAGGTACACAAGAAAAAGAACATTGTGCTTAACAGGGAATAAGATCTTGGCAAAAGAAAAAAAAAAATACCTGGTTTTAAAAAGTTGTGTGTATACTGGCATGTAAACCAAGGATGGTTTCAGTTAAAAATTTCTTTGGTTAAAGAAATAACCAAATTACCCAAATTATAGCAAAAGCATAAAAATTCCCTTTGGTTAAGAATCTTGGGGCTGGGGTTTTAGCTCAGTGGCATAAGCACCTGCCTTACAAGCAGGCAGTCCTGAGTTCAATCCCTGGTACCGATAAAAACGAAAAAGACAAAAAAAAAAAAAAAAAAAGAAAAAAACCATGTTCATTTTTCATACAATACAGATATATATACATACCCCTTATAAACATCACCCAGTCCCCCCAACATAGGGACTTGGTATGAACAAACAAGATCAAATTCATTAAAATTTAAATTAATCTAAATATTTTTAAAAATCTAGTTCATTTTCCAGGAGATTTAAATAACTTTTAGATGCCAGAATTGTATACTGCTTTGTAAATCTACTCATATAAATTATGCTTCAAGATCTAAATGCTTGGCCTAGCAGAGTGGCACACACATGTAGTCCCAGCACTCCACAGGCTGAGGCAGGATGATACCAACAATTTGAGGCCAACCTGGGCTACAGAACAAAACCCTATCTCAAAAACAAAACAAAACAAAAACGCACAAGATGCAAAAGCTCATAACAGGCTCATATTAAGAGAAATCACATCATGCCAGGGATCTAGCTCAGAAGCAAAGCACCTGCCTGACAAGCAAAAGGTCCTGAGCTCCATCCACTGTACCAAAAAAAAAAAAAAAAAAAACCCATCATCATAAAAGCCTTATGATGGTAAATACTAAAATGAATACTAAAATGACTTAAAATTTCCTCAGCGGTAGGCATTTTAAGCTTGAATGAAAGTCTAATGTGAATTTAATCAACATCCCAACTACAGCCTGGAAAGGATGAACTTTGACCTCATCAAGAATTTTTTTGAGTGTGGGGGGCCTCTCTGTCACACAAGTGAGGACTCCTACAACCCCAGCAATGAAGACTTATGCTGTCACTCATTAATACGAGTGTCCATATAAATGTAAATATGATATATAAGGTTAACTACATATATATAAAAGTTACACTTTAGTTACACTATTATTTCTCTGAGTTCACTGTATTGTTCAGACAATTGAATGCAGCTGTCTTGTGCTCTGGGTAGAGTGATTTGGGGATGACAATGTGCGATGTATGGTCCACTACTGCCCCTGATTGATGTTTTGAATTTTTTTTTTTTTTTTTTTTTTGTACCTAGGATCGAACTCAGGACCTCGGGATTGCAGGGCAGGCGCTCATGCTGCTGAACTAAATCCTTGGCCCTGAAATTTGGGTTTTTTTAAATTATTTACCCTTTGAAATAAAATAGATTTGGAAAAAAATATGAATGTTTTTCTCTTCGAAATACAAGTTAGTTGTCAGATTTCAACACTATTTTTAAACATAAAAATACAATGGCCTGGTATGGTGGCGCATAGCTGTAATCCCAGCACTGAAGAGGCTGAGGCAGGAGGATGTGAGTTTTGGAGGCCCGCCGGGGGCTACACAGTAAAACCATCTCAAAAAAACCTAAAAAACAAACAAACAAAACTAGTCCTCACCCTCCACATGGCTCAAGCTAACAGAAAGGACACTAAAGATCTCACCGAGCCCCTTGGCCAGCCAGGCGTTGACACCCTGGGGGACGGCGTCCAGCGCTGTGTGTGGGGAGTAGATGGCCACCCTGCCCTCCAGGGCACGGACCACCAGGCGCTCCTTCCAGGTCCCCCAGGTGACACGCTTGAGTGGCCGGAAGATGGGCGGGTGGTAGGAGAGGACCAGGTCAGCCTTCGCCTGCAGGGCCTCCTGCAGCACCGCCTCGGTCAGGTCGTTGGTCAGGAAGAGCGTGCGGACCTTGTGCGGGGGGCTGGGCTCTACGAGGAGCCCCACGTTGTCCCAGCTCTCGGCGAAGGAGAGGGCCGCGAGGTCATTCAGGGCGCTGAGGACGGCCTTCAGATCCATGCCTGAGGAGGAGTGCCGGACCCGGGAACGTGCGAGCTGGACCGCAGCGGGCACCAGACGCCCGGGCAGCGCCAACATGTGACACCAGGCCGAAGCGAGCACTGGGGGCAAAGGCGGGAAGCAGAGCTCCTGTGACTTCCGCGGCAGCTCTGGAGGTCACATCTGGGTGCCCCAGGTTCCTGAGCGCACGGCCATGGCTTCCCGGGCTCTGCCCTCCCGCGGTGGGGATTGGGGGCACTGCGACCCCGGAGCGTCCCTCTCCCACTGCTGCGTTCCCTTCCTTCAAGGCCCCTTGGGCTGTCAGCGCTCCTCCGCCCTTTCCGGGTACTGGAGATGGAACCCGCTGGCCTCCCGGCCCAGCCACATCCCCAGGCCTGGGTTTTTCTCACCCGCCACTACGCGTCCCTAAAGGGCACAGGCGGGGCCTGAATTTGCAATCCTCCAGCCTCAGCCTCCCAGAGGTGCAGGATTACAGGCCTGCCCCACCCATGTCCAGCCCTAAAGAAAGCTTCCCTTGACAACCCTTCCTCTCCACTGTCCGGCCCGACATAGCAATCTACAGCGTGAGTTGGCTGCCGCCTCCCTAGGTGCAGCCAGGTGGGGCCGTGTGGGCCAAGGGAGGCTCGGGGCGCGGCTTCCGGACGCTTGCACGCAGCAGGGACGCGGCAAGGCGGGAAAGAAAAGCGAGAAAGGAGCTCCTGCCTCGAAATAGGAAGGCGCGTCCGCGGCCCCGGGAGGCTCGGGCAGCCTGCGCCCGCCTGGAGCTGCGGCCAGGCCCTGGCTCCGGAAGGAGATAGTCCAAAACTTGCCAAGTTAGGTCACTAGAAAAACAGCACCAACCCTATTTTTAAACGTCGTGTCCGGTTCTCAGTTATGAGAAAAACGACCCAAGTCCTGGGGAGGTTCCGCAAGGAGCAAAGCGGGAGTCCAGCTGCCCCCGCGCCCCTGCCCCTCCGATCCAGGGCTCCGCCAACTCCCCGCACCGGCAACCAGGCTCCAGCCCACCTCGGAGCTGCAAACTTGGCTGGCCCTGTTTCTAGACTTCCGTCACCGTGGCAGCCCACGCCTGTAACCCGGGAGGCTGAGGCAGGAGGATGCAGAGGTTGAAGGGCAGCCTGGGCTAGACGACGAGGTCCTATCCCCAAAAAAGAAACAAACGAAAAAATCCTTACAGCCGGCCGTTAATTATAATAACCCAATTATTTAGGAAGCTTTTTTAATTTCTAGTGTAAAATGAGCCTAAAACGCGGCGGACGCTGACTACAAGACCGAGGAGCGAGTGGTGTGACAGGGACGCGGGCCTCGGGGCAGCGGGCCCCTGCCCAGTGCCGGTCTCGCCGCACTGTCCGCCTCACCAGCCACAGCGCCTGAAGGGAGCGACACGGCCACTGCGCGCGTTTCCAGAGCGCCCACCGCTCACCGGGCCGGAAGGCCTCCGCGGGCGCCACTCCGGACCGGCTCGCGCTGCGGGGTCCCGCGAAGCGGAGGAGGAGGAGGGCACTAGGCGGAAGTGACCGCAGCGGGCGGAGCGGAAGTGGTCCTCTCCCGGGAAGTCCTCCGGGAGAACGGAAGTGGTGCTGTCGGCGGAAGCGGAAGTGGAAGTGGTCCGGTCCGCCTTACTACGACTCCGCGGCGCTGCGTGGGCCTCCTAGGGAGTTCCGGAGTGCTTTAGCGCGGTAATTATTAGCGCAGACCCGGTTCCCTGTCGGAATCCAGCGGGGCAGCGTTCCCTTTGCCCCGCAGCCCGGCGGGTTCTGGTGCGTGTGGCGTGAGAGCGTCGGCAGAAGGCAGGCGGGGGGAAGGCGCTTCTCTGCAAAGGGCTCCCCGCTCGACTTCGGCGGGCCTGAGGCGTACCGTGGCGGCCTCGGTGCGGGCGTCTCCGGCGGGAGGGCGGAGCAGGGCTCGGCTTGATTCTGTGCCGGCCGCCGGCGGCCGCGGGTACGGGCAGGCTCCTCTGACCCGTGGCCGCCGAACCGCCGCCCGCAGCAGCCGGGGCGCGCCCTGTGCAGTCCAGATCTAGGCGCGGGGCCTCTCATTTTACTTTTTTGCCCTTGTGGGCCCTTTTTCCTCTCGGCGCGCCTTTTGGGGTCTGTGGTCGTCAATAGATGCGGCTGCTGTTCTTTCACTCCCGGCTGTAAGAGAAACCGTGCGATACGGAAGCTTGTGTGTCTGACTTACTTAACTTACCAGATTAATTACTTCGAGGGATAAGTAGTAACTCGAGATTATACAGTAAATGGCATCACCTCGTGCAGAAAGTCACCCCCGACCTCAGACGCAGGGGTGGCAGGCATCCCTTCCCAGAATGCCTTTGTTCCTTCCACGCACCTTTGCTGCGAGGCCCGCTTCCCTGCTGCACCAGTATCAGCTAGGCAGCTGTTTGTCGTCTTATAGGTGATCACGGCTTGACCCACTTTATACTCAACTCTGATTTTGCTCTATAAAACATTCTTAGGGAAATGCACTTTCTGGTCCCCTCCTGCCTCTCGGAAGCTCTTGCTCAATAAATCTTTCCTACTGCTAACCTCCACTGTGCCTTGAAATTCATTCTTGGATTTGCAGGACACATCTAACAGCTACTAGGTTGGTAGTGGGATTTCATTTCGTAGGTCTTGCAGGGGTTGACAAGACAACCAGCGGGACTCTGGCCTCAGAGTGGCGGAGGTGGGGTCACCTGCTCACTTCATGTTCATAACTTGTTACTCGCAGGGAATCATCGGACACTTCTGTTACATAGTAAAGATGAGTGTTTGCGAATGAAGAAGATGAAAGAAAATGAACTAATTCTGTTTACTTTTAGGAATGGAAACTTACAAGCTTTTCTTTGTAAGACTGAGAAATATTTCTTGAAACCAAGAAAAAAAATGGTAAGTTTTATTTAATTCTATAATTTTTAGAAATTCAATCAAGGAAAATAAAACTCCCTGGGAATTTCAGCGGCAAGATAAGCACATAAGGTGTTAAAGCATACAGTATAGCTAGGCATGGTTGCACACCTGTAATTCTAGTACTTGGGAGGCTGAGGCAGGAGGATCCTTGCAAGTTAGAGGCCAGTTGGGCTACATAGCAAGTTCAAGGCCAGGCTGAACTACACATCAAGACCCTATTGAAAAACAAAAATTTTAGAGATGGCACTTTACCCAAAGATTTATCTTCTGGAGTTTTTTTCCTGCTGTTGAAATAAATTTAGGGGGGAAAAATGCAGCTATTTTGTAGTTTATAAAGCAGCATTTTTGTCTTTTGCTTGTCATCTTCAATACTTGTTCAGGGAACTAATAGTACCTGTAGTCACCTGGAAAATCACATTTGTTACCTTTTCTCTCTAGTCTGTGACACTGCACACAGATGTAGGTGATATTAAAATAGAAGTCTTCTGTGAGCGGACACCCAAGACATGTGAAGTGAGTACCATTGTTTGTATATTTAAAATCAGTTAATACAGCACTTGCCTGGCAGGCACAAAGTTGTGAGTTTAATGCCTGGTACAAACAAACAAACAAACAAAAAACCCAGTTAATGCAGCAGGATGACCATTTTGAAATAACACTTTATGTAAATCCTTGGCCGCAAAGAGTTGGCCATTATAATTTCAATCTTAGTTTCCACTTTTCCTGAATTTACTGATAGAAGGATCAAAGAGAAGGTAGGTGATTTCCCTGCAACTGGAGGGTCCACTGTCTTTTCCTTTCGGCCTGTTTTCCTCAAGAACATCATCACCAGGGTTTAAAAAGGAGAGCTGCAGGGCTGGGGATTTAGCTCAGTGGCATAAGCGCCTGCCTTGCAAGCAGGCAGTCGTGAGTTCGATCCCTGGTACTGATAAAAAGGAAAAAGAAAAAAAAAAGGAGAGCTTCTCCAGTGTTTCATATGGCAAATGACAAGGATACGAGGAAGACCCATCAGCTCTGTGTAGTTGCTCTCTCAGCTGCTGGTGACAAGCTGTCCTTTGTGGTCTTAGGCAGGGTGGCCAGGGGCAGTCCTGTCTTCACAGAACTCACATTCTAGCTGGGAAAACTTTTGATTCTGAGAAGTGATAATGGGTTGAAATAAAGTGTTCCAAGAATAATGATAAAGGGACTACTTAGAAGAAGGTTCTCCCAAGAAGATTATCTAGGTCTCACACAGGCTGGGTGTGGTGGCGAACACCTGTGGTCCCAGCACTGTGGGAGGCTGAGTCAGGAGGATTGCAAATTTGAGTCCAGCCTGGACAATTCAGTGAGACTCTCTCAAAATAAAATGTAAAAATAAAGCTGAGGCTGAATCTCAATGTGCAGACCCAGAAATAAGAGAGGAGCCAGGTGTGGTAGCACATACCCGTAATCCCTGCACTTAAGAGGCTGAGGTAGGAAGATTGCTTCAAGTTTTGGCCAAACTGGGCTGCACAGCCTGAACTACATAGCAGGACCCTGTCTCAAAAGAACCAAAAATTAAAGAATTTTTAAAAAGATACATGGACCGGGGATTTAGTTCATCAGCTAAGCGCCTGCCTGGCAAGCATGAGGTCATGAGTCTGGTACTAAAAATTAAAAAAAAGATACACAAAGAGCATTCCAGGAGCTCCATGGTAGGACTGGCTTCAAGCACACAAGGTCTAGGTTCCAGGTGTAGAAATAGCAGGTACAGAGGCCCCTCCATGCCCTCAGAGTGCCGATGAGGCTATAGAGTATGCAGCTAGGCCTTGCGAGGCTCCTTATCCCTGCTGAAGATTGTACATTTGTTTTTTGATACTGGGGATCAAACTCACAACCACAAGCTTGCAAGGCAGGTGCTTATGCCACTGAGCTAAATCCCTGGCCTCCAGATTGTACATTTGATTCTAGAGCAGGAAGCAGCTATTAAAGTGTTTTAGACTGGGAAGTAACAGTATACAAAAGCAATACCTAGAAGCAGGCATGGTGGCTCACATCTGTAATCCCAGCATTCAAAAGGCTAAGGCAGGAGGGTCACCACAAATTCAAGGCCAGCCTGAACTATGTGGCAAGATTCTGTTTCAGAGCCTAAAAGCCTGAGTTGAACATGCTCATTAGAGTTTCAAGTGAGGATTATTGGACTGATTTGTTTTGTTTTGTCTTTTTGAGACAAGGTCTTGCTATGTAGTTCAGACTGGCCTTGGGCTCACTTTATAGCCCAGGCTGGTTTCAAACTCCAAACGATCCTCCTGCCTCAGCTTCCCAAAGTGCTGGGATTACAGGAGTGCACCACCATGCCTGGCTTGTTTTTTTAAAACTGGGTCTCGCTATGTAGTTCAGACTGGCCTTGAACTCGCTATAGAGCCAGGGTGGCCTCAAACTTTGAACTTGCAGCCCTCTTCCTGCCTGAGCCTCCTGAGTGCTGGGCACCTAGGCGTTCCCCACCATACCAGCATGTGGGTGTTGATCATAGTGCTTGCTGTATTCCTTAGTCAGTTTGCACTTCTTGCAGAACTTCTTGGCTCTCTGTGCCAGCAGTTACTACAACGGCTGTGTGTTCCACAGAAACATCAAGGGCTTCATGGTCCAGACGGGAGATCCCACAGGTATGCATACAGTAGGTTAAGGCCAGGGGTTGGGTGTAACATGGAGAAAAAAATCTAGTGAACCACTGGGCTGCTGTGCCTTAGCAAGAAAGTTTGAAACAGAGACTGTGACCACCCGCCCCTTGGATGATAGCAGCATTGATAAGGAGGGTGGTGGTTTGCTTGTTTTACTGTAAGGACATTTTAGTTTTTGGTGTCTGTAAAATAAAATATGAGGAAATACTAGGTGTCATCAAATGTTATTTCTGTTTAAACAGGTATGATATAAAGTGCTGTAAAGTTTTAAAAAGTGAACCCTAAACTGGGTGTAGTTGCCCCCATCTGTAATCCCAGCACTTGGGAGGCTGAGGCAAAAAGATTGCTGAGAATTTAAGGGTATTGTGGGCTACATAGCAAGATTGTGTCTCATAAAAGCATAAATAGGTAAAGTTGAACGCTTTTGTGACTCTGAGTGCCACTTTGGCTTCCTTTTATGTACACAGGCACTGGACGAGGCGGTAACAGTATCTGGGGCAGGAAGTTTGAGGATGAGTACAGCGAACACCTCAAGGTACAGCCCGCGCTCAGCTTGCTCTTCACCTCCGCTTGGGCCTGGAAACTCGGGCGCATGTGCTATGGAGACACAGGTCGACAGCGTTACTCAATGTGCCGTCCTGCAGCCCTTGAACGCTTGGTAAATGAAGTCCAGGAGGCCCAAGTGGCCATCCTGGTCTGGTGCAGGGCCAGAGCCTCAGCCTGTAGCCGTCACTGTGGAGTCCAGCTCGAAGCATTAGTGCTGTGTGATGGACTGACACCATCTCATAGAGTTGATGGCTGACGGCAGAGCCACTGGCCTGCTTTGAGAGGAGAGGAAAGATCACTTTGTGCTCATGGTGTTGCTTGACCGGCGCAGCTCCAATGAAACAGGAGACAGGAGACGCTTTTGTGGACGACAGTTAACTGCTAGTTTATTTACGCGGGCTCTGGTTTATATATTTGGCCGTGACCAATCACAGGCTGCCACAAGGAAGCAGGGCGGGAATGGGATGCAGGCTCTGGCTACCATATCCAGCTGTGGCCAATCAGGAGTTGCCACAGAGTACGGAGTGAGCACGAAGTGCGCACGGGTTGGCTAATTTAAAGAGGGACGTAGCTGCGGAAGCTGGCGTGGTCCTTAGTCCCGGGTGGGGTATGGTATGTTGAGCGCCTGCGCCCAACATCTCCCCCTTTCTTTATAACTGACGCAGGGTCTCCAGAGGTCGGTGCCCCTCGTGAGGTGTCACGCTGCAGTCATGACAATGCCTCACTACTTGTTGGTGCTCTTTTGGAGGGGGCGGGAGTATTGTTTTATGAGCCCAACCCGCATGCTCACCAACATGGGGACCGGGGTGTCTCCTGGCCAAGGACGACACCCCCTGCGATGCTTTGCTCCACACCTGCGTCACAGCATGGCAAGCCATGCTGCCGGGCTTTGACCAGATTCCATGATCAGCAATGCTTGTTTGATACTTTGTCCCTATTCCTTTGTCTGCGAATCCGACAGAGCAGAAGTAGACTGCCGAATGCGGCAAGTGTAGTTATGGTAGCCAGAGCCCCTGTTCCCGCCCATTCCTTTATGAAAGCCAATTGGAGAGTTGGCCCGAGCTGGATCACAGGAAACTCGTCTGAGTCCGCCATAACTGGAACCGGTGCGAACTGGAGTACCTGCATAACAACAGCTGAAAGTGCACTGTTATCCCAACATTGTAACATATAACAGGTTGCGGTGGAGCAATTTGGAAAAGTCATATTTGTGGTGTTTATGGTGGCCAGGGAGAATCCCCATAATATCTCCTGGGAGTATCCATCCAGGAGGTCACAAGCGGTAAACTGGAGGACCCTTGCCCAGATAGGGGTGCAGAAGGATCCCTGGGGCCTCCGAGCTGGCGCTCCCTTAATCGCGGCCGGCTCGATTTGGGCCCCCTGCAAAATGCGGGTGGGGAGGTAGAGCCGCAGGTCTTATACGAGGCGGCCCTGGGATCCCGTACTCACTTTCATTGACCCATTTACTCTGAGAAATCCTGCATTGCAGCTCATTTATGGCCTCAGAGTAGGGCCCTCTCGACTGTGTGTGTGTGACTTCCCCTTTCGGTGGTGTCTGCATCCACCATTTTGTATACTTCTTCTTCCTCCCCCTCATTATCTGACGAATCCTTTGTTTCTGGGTTGGGTGGGGTCACCTCGCCTGCGGCACTGGGCTCGCGAGATTGCTCACGGGAGGATTCTGCCTGATGGTAATCAAGCGCCATGGCGCCAGCCCTTATATGGTCACGACAAGAGGTGTCTGCAAGACAGCTCCTCACTACTGCCCAAAGGGGTCTGACTCCTGGCTCCAGGAGGCCATTTTCTGCTGCAAAGTCAAGATCTCTCCCTAATTTATCCCAGCTGGGGATGGTAACGGACCCCGTGGGACCAAACCAAGGTGCTACCTTATCGACCTGATCGAGGAAGTTTTGAATTTGTTCTCGTTTCATTTGTAATCCCTTTTCTCTCAGTAAGTTGCTTAAGGCGACTGACAGTGGCTGAGTAGCCGTGTTGCCCATGTTAACCGGAATTTCAAGAGTTTCTTTTTATTTTTATTTATTTTTTCTTTTTCCTTTTTTTTTTTTTTTTAATACAGGGACAGCTTAGTCCCCGCGCCCCTTTACGGCGCCCCCAAAACCGGCCTCTTTACGGCCCCCGGAACTCTCTTTACGAGTTCCTGACCCTTGCGACGCGCGTCCACCCAAGGTTGCCCGATAGCACCTGCCATCCGGCCCGCAGCCCCCGCTGCCTGTTGCGTAGCCCCCGCCACCAACGTTGAGCAGTTTAACCTGTAAGCCCCTGCCCGCAAAGTAGCCCCCGCTATTGGCGCTTGACGGTTTTACCTGTTAACGTCTCTGTTCCGTCGGAGAGAGAGGTTCGTTCCCCGTACTGTCGGAGAGAAGGTCTCAGCGTTCCCGGCTCCCCGTACGGGCCACCAGTTGACCGGCGCAGCTCCAATGAAACAGGAGACAGGAGACGCTTTTGTGGACGACAGTTAACTGCTAGTTTATTTACGCGGGCTCTGGTTTATATATTTGGCTGTGACCAATCACAGGCTGCCACAAGGAAGCAGGGCGGGAATGGGATGCAGGCTCTGGCTACCATATCCAGCTGTGGCCAATCAGGAGTTGCCACAGAGTACGGAGTGAGCACAAAGTGCGCACGGGTTGGCTAATTTAAAGAGGGACGTAGCGCATTGCGGAAGCTGGCGTGGTCCTTAGTCCCGGGTGGGGTATGGTATGTTGAGCGCCTGCGCCCAACAATTGCTCATCATCAGCCCCCCTCTAGCCACACACGGGGTGCACGCCTGTCCTTCTGGCACCCTAGGAGGCTGAGTTAGGAGGATGGCAAGTTCAACACCAACCTGGGCTGTTTAGTGACTTAGACCCCATCCCAAAATAAAAAAGGGCTAGGGATATAGCTCAGTGGTGGAGCTCTGCTGGGTTCAATCCCCAGTACTGAGGGCTAGGGGGATGGATACTTTTTCCCTCTAGTTTTTTACATACATAAGCACAAAATTTCTGAAATTGGTTACATCTAGGGATAACAGTAGCAGTTGGATATTTTTTCTTTTTTATATTACTACTGTAAGGATATGTATTTGTTTTGTCATAGCAGTCTAATTTGGGAGGAGATAAACTTTTTAAAAAGTTAGCCTTTTCCTGAAGTAGAAATGGAACAGTTTTTTAGAGGTTAATTGCATTTCAGAATACCAGTTAAAGCCAGCTATCAGCTGTCAGAAATCACCTGTGGGAATTCTAAAACACATTCCTGTAATCCAAGCACTCAGGAAACAGAGGCAGGAGGAGAGCCACAAGTGTAAGGCCAGTCTGGAATACATAGCAAGAACCTGTCTCAAAAACTAAAAAAAAAAAACAAAAAACACCAGGGCCTAACCACCCCCAAAGTAGAGGGAACTGGCCAGTAGGCCACAGAGGGCCTGGCCTGTATTGTGAGGTCGCCCGCTGTCCTCAGGAGCGCTTGTCTTCCACACCAGAGCGTAGTTGGGTTCTCAGCATCACTTGTGTGCCAAGCTGACTTAGAGGTCCGTTTCCAGTGTCTGCCCAACAGAGACCCTTGGCACCTGCCCAGTCCATGGCCCAACTGTCCCTAGTGTGCTGTTTGTGAAGTGAAGGTCTAGGAACAGCCAGTGCACTCCATAGTGAAACACTAGACCACAACAAAAACACCCGTGACCTCACACGTGTGAGCTTGCATAGGGCACAGTCACAGAACACGGTGTGGGACGTGCTTCCTGGAAGCCTCCGATTGTGTGGTTTTGTGAAGTTCAGACCCTTATCCAAGGCTGCACAGCACTGTCCAGGAGTGGCCACTGTCCAGGAGTCACACACTGGTATGTGTGTGACTTTGTGTGAGTGGCAGGTGCCTGGCGCGTGGTGTGTGAGGGTCGTGCGTGACCGGTCCTGGTGTGTGACAGGTGGGCGCCTGGCGTGGGCATGTCACCTCAGGGGAGGCTAAGGTACTGCAGCGGCCAGTGTTCTCTTCTGAAGCTCAGCAAGAGGGAGTGGCGCTTATTTTCTTACCTTGCAGGCAGCACCTCTGTGCCTGCTCATGCAGTCGCTTTGCAGCAAGGGAAGCCCGGTGTCCCAGGCAGCTCCTCCCCGCTGTCACCTGCAGCCAGGGTAGTGGAGCCTGGGCTTCATCCGGTCGGCACAGCCCTGCAGTGTCTGTGTGCAGTCTCTTGCAAACCAACCCAGTCTCCCCTCCCTTAGGAGCGGAGCCTGCCCCTGCCCCTGCCCAGGCAGTGAGGCCCGTCCGCCCTCCTCTCCCCTCCACATGCCGTCAGCTTGGCATCCGCGGTGCTGTAGGCAGGCGGATTCCCAGTGGGCTGAGGAAACGCGCGAGGGCTTGGGGTCAGCCACATACGCTCCACCCGCGTGCAGGCTGTTTTTGTCACCCAGCAGCACTGCCCTGGCTTCTCTGAGCGAGGTGGGGACCCGGGCTGCAGGTCTGCGAGCCGCGGTGCGGGGGGCGCGGGTGGGCGCCGACGGCCTGCCGGGGTGACAGTGACGGAGTGGAGGCACGAAGCTTACGCCCTGCTTGTCTCCACAGCACAGTGTCAGAGGCGTCGTCTCCATGGCTAACAACGGCCCGAACACCAACGGCTCGCAGTTCTTCATCACCTACGGCAAGCAGCCCCACCTGGACATGAAGTACACGGTGTTCGGAAAGTGAGTGCCGCTGGCCGCCACTGCGCATGCGCAGTCGTGACAGGCTCGCCGCCGGCACCGCGTGGAGCCCGGACCGCGTGGAGCCCGGACCGCGCAGCCAGTTTCTGTCGCAAAAACCTGTACATCACTGGTTAGGGGAGGTAGCCTTTTGCTTGTTTAGGTTTCGGAGTCGAGAGTCGCAAAACGGAAGCAATCCTGCCCAGACTCCGAGTGTGGGGGTCCCTGGCCACTGCTGCCCTACCCGCCAACTCGAGGCCAGGGAAACCTGAAGTGGAACAACCTGCACACGCGTTTTTCATCCCTATGTAAATCTCAGAAATTGCCCTGAGTTACACCAAGAAGTACAACCTCAAAAGCTGGTCTCTACATAAACCCTGTTTTAGACTCAGATTTTTGAAGCATGCGACTTGAAGGCAGCTCTCGGGGTTTCTCCTCAAGGGGCACACGCATGGGCTGGCTGAAGCCCAGCTCCACTGACCACCTCTCCAGCTCTGCCAGTAATCATCTGAGTGAGGGGGAAGGCAAGCTTGAGGCTCCTCTGAACCCCAGCCCCCCACTGCTCAGCCCTGAAGACCAAACGCTGTGCTGATGGGGTGGCTTAGGGCCCTGGAGGGGGGCGACTGCAGGGCCAGCATGTGCACCTTTGCCCTCAGCTGCACACCGGCCACTGTAGGGAAAGGGCCCAGGGACAGTCCTTTGGGTCCCCAGCACATGTGGAAGGGGACAGTGACTCCAAGGCCCTGTAGTCACACTCTCGGCGGCATTGCTGCCCTGGCCTAGCCTTTACTGAACTCCAAGAGCCCAGCCGGTGCCTGAGCGAGGCTGGCTGGTGAGGGGCTGGCCAAAGCAGCTGCCTGCTGTGGCATCCCACCCTGCTGTGACCAGATGTAGCCCGGTGGAGGTTGGGACAAGAAGCATGTTGGTGAGAATGTTCCTCTTTGTTCTTACTATATAACATGAGTCTTTGAAGCCAGCAGGACAGTGCATGCTTGTAATCCTAGCACTTCTGAAGGCTGAGGCAGGATCCTAGATTGGAACTCGCCTGGGCCACTTGAATCTCTAATTGTGTATCCAGCTAGGCAGCCCTAAGGATACAAGTCATGCTCTGGTCTTTTCTCTTTTTTTGTGATCCTGGAGCATTAAGCCCAAGGCCTTTGCATGGAGCTGTCCCCAGCCTTGTCTTTATTTTTTGTGAGACATGGTCCGGACCACTAAGCTGCCCAGACTAGGCTTAAACTTCAGATCATCTTGCTTCAGCCTCCCACATGTTGGGATCACAGATAAGGGCCAACATACCCTGAGACCCTTTCATCTCAAAGAAACTGTAACAGTAGCCGGATGTGGTGTTACACACCTGTAATCTCAGCGCTCACACTCAGGAGGCTGAGGCAGGAGAATCACTGTCAGTTGAAGACCAGCCTGGGCTACAAAGTGAATTCAAGTCCAGCTTGAACTGCGTAGTGATACCCTGTCTCAAAAAGGGGAAGAAAAAGGGCTGGGAATTTTTAAAGAGGAAAATAGAATAAAATCGATCAAAATAAACCAGAATAAGTGATACAGGACTTCTAAATCTTATGAAATCAACAATAGTTACCACAGTGTCTTTCTTGTCTTCAAGATACCACCTTTGTACATATTAAAAATAGAACAAAGGGCCAGCGGTTTAGCTTAGTGACAGAAGCACCTGCCCTGGCAAGCTCAAGGTCATGAATTTGATCCCTGGCATAAAAAAAAAAATCAGAAATAGAAACAATAAAAACAAAACAAAACAAAACAATGAGTGCAATAAAGGACATCAGAACAAGCCTGTAGTAAATACAACATAATGGCTTCTATAACATGTCTTGCTATCTCTAAATATCTGCGCATGCCATCAGAGTTAACATAAAACAAAAGAAAAACCCAGCCCCAGGCTCCCTTCCCCCCAAAAAAAAGCAGTGAAAATGATATGGTTTCTAGGCAGAGCTCTCCTCCCACGGGGCCTGGTTCTCTCCCTCCACAGTCGGAGAATGTGCAGGCTCACGGGAGAGAGGCTTGAGTCTAGCTCTCCCCAGGCCGGCAGCAAGGGCCAGGAATTTAGCTCAGAGGCCTGTGTGGTAAACGTAAGGTCATGAGTTTGATCCCCAGTATTCACAAAAATTAAGAAAAAAAGGATGCTGGCGATTTAGCTCAGTGGTATAAGTGCCTGCCTGGCATTCAAGGTCATGAGTTTGATCCCAGGTACCAAAAAAAAAGAAAAAAGCCAGACTATAACTGTTTCAAGTGTTTGGCTCTCACGTTTTTGTTTTGTGTCCTTTGAAAGGTCTCTAGTTCAGGCTGCCCTTGGACTCCACTGTTACCTCCCAGGTGCTGGGATCACAGCTGGGCACCATCACACTGATTTTATGTTTAATCTGAGGAAATGTTCATACAGACATTTCTCTTCCAGGGTAATAGATGGTTTAGAGACACTTGATGAACTGGAGAAGCTCCCAGTAAATGAGAAGACTTACCGGCCTCTCAATGACGTGCACATTAAGGACATCACGATTCACGCCAACCCATTTGCTCAGTAGACACAGTCACTTGGCAGACCCTGGACGGATGTCCCTGAGCAGCCCAGTCGCTGTGAGGTCAGGCCTGTGTCTACCTGTTGTGTGCAGCCAGGGGCATCACTGAGGAAGCTCAGCAGCCCCTGTCCTGTTCGTACAGCGAGTCGTCTGCTAGAATCCAATGGCCCCTTCCACTTTTGGCTGGAGCAGGAGTGGGATAGGGTGGATGGAGAGAGGATTTTACTGTATCTCAAGCTGTCCAGGAACATGTGGTGATCCTCCTGTCTCAGCCTCCTGAGCGCTGGGATTATAGGCATACACCACCATGTGCAGCTTCCTTTAAATTTAATATTAAAGATATATTTTTTTAAAGTTTTGTTACATGTAAATACTCATTTTTAAGTGCTGTTTCACATGTAAGCATTTTTGAGCATGCTGGCTACGTAATACTACCATAGCTAACACATACTCTCGGGCGCTTTCTGTGAGTTCCTCACTTTATGCTGTTAGAGAGAGGAGAGCCACCATCACACAGATGGTGTAGGAGGGGTCTCCGGGTCTGCAGGAAAATTCTCAGTCTACAGTACAGCAGCACTGCACATTTTCCAACTGACCCGCTCACAGGATGCTGCAAGGTACAGTGCGCTGGGGTCCTGGGCCTCACCGGCCTCACGACTCTTAACCCTTACGTGGTGACTGAGGCAACTTAATAAGCTCTGCTTTCTCACCCTGAGCAGTCTCAGGCGCTGTCGAGAGGGTCACTGGTGGGAGTCTGCGGGACCGGAAAGCTCGGTTCCCACCACACTTGGTCTCCCTAACGGCTCCTGGAACCAGGCTGTTCACAGGTGCTCTCGTGGGTTTGCCAAGAATCACATTCCCTGTGCTGCGTAAGTCACCCCGATTAGATTGTGCTGTTCCTACAATCAAGACCGAGTACTTACATCCAGGTTTGTCTCGTTTCTCCAAATGGCTGGTCTGATTGTTGTAGTTTTTGAGCAAAGGTCTCCCTGCGTAGTTCTGCCTCCCGAGGGTATCAATAAATGCGCTGAAGTATCGATAAATGCGCTGCAGTCCTCAGAGCCCTCTTGCTCCTTCCTCTGACTTCTCCTCCTGCTTCTTCGTACTTTCCATCAGGAGAGAGGGCTCCACACGGCCTCAGTGTTCTGCGTTCTGGCTCTTGTCCTCCTTTCTCCATCCCTCGCCGTCCTCACCCCAGGACCAGGAGAGCTGTGTGAGAGGCGGCAGAAGTGGACTATCTTGTCTCAGCTGCCACATAGTCGCGGTTTTCCAGCCAGATCCACTTACTAATCTGTGGTACTGCTGGAAACCAGCATTAGCCTGAACAGGCACAGCTGGTACAAGTCCTCAACTGAGCTTCCTCCAGGCCCAAACGTAGAGGAATGCAGGCACTGACTCAGCCTAAGGAGCTGTGTAAGTGCCTGCTTGGTAAATGCAAGGTCCTGAGTTCTATCTCCCACCACCAAAAAAAAAAAAAAAAAAAAAAAAAAAAAAAAAAAAAAAATCAGATTAAGTTATAAGATAGAACCAGACTTTTTTATTTTTTATACTAGGAGCCAAATTCAGCCTCACGCTGGCCAGGCAGGCTGCACCGCTGAGCAATATCCCTGGCCCAGAACCCAGCTTTTAACATGTCTAGCATGTTAACCAGTTTAGCAAACAACACACTGGTTATGTCTCACTAGTGATGCTTCAGTTAAATTCAGTTTGTCTCTATGGAAGTAGTGGTCACAGTGATGGTGGGAACTGATACAACCTTGTAAATTTTCAGGATTAAGGGAGAATATAAACTGGGTGTGGTGAGCCAGGCATGGATTGAGTTCAAGAGCAGCCTGAACTGCATAGTAAAACTCTGTCATAAAATGACAAAAAACAACCTAGGTGTGGTGGTGGCACATGCCTATAATCCCAGCATCTGTGAGGCTGAAGCAGAAGGATCACTGAGTTCAAGGCCAGACTGAGTTACGTATGGAGACTGTCTCTTAAAAAGAAAAAAACTTGGGGGTTGGGGATTTAGCTCAGCTGCAAAAGCACCTGCCTTGCAAGCAGGAGGTCGTGAGTTTAATCCCCAGCACTGATAAAAAAAAATTATATATATGTATATATATGTGTGTGTGTGTGTGTATATGTGTGTGCGCGTGCGTGCGCGTGCGTGCGCGTGCGTGTGTGTATTGCTTAGTACAACAAATGGTCCACTACAATTAGCTACTAGCTTCCAAAGATTGTGATTCCCTAGATTTGCACATTGTTTCTAAATTTATTCAGAACAACTCCCTAGATGGGCACAATTACATTGCTAAATATATTTAGAATAACTATTGATGAAGTTCATAAGATACTGTGATGGGATTTCTGTGAAATACTTACCTTTATCTAGTGCTCTTGGCCATAATGCAGGCTTTCAGGTACTGATCACTTAGCACTTTCAAATTCAGGAAAAGGGCTGCCAGAGGGGTGGGGCCCATAGTGAGGACTTCTCTTGCAGTGTGGGTGTTTTGGCCAGTTTAGGCAAGGGCACAAAATAACCACTTAGCCCTTCTCACCTGCCAAGAAAGAGCGGGAGAAAGGTAAGCCTGGGTCTGATTTGCTGTCTGCCATCTTTTCTTTGATTTCTCCAGCCCATGGAGCACAAGATGTTGAATATACAAAAAGCTAAAGACATTATTGGTTTGTTGGTGCCTATTTGCAAATGGGGTCATACATATCTTTGTTGTTAAAAGCATGAATAGGGCTGGGGATGTAGTTCAGCAGCATAAGCACCTGCCTTGCAGGTGCATGGTCGTGAGTACTGATAAGATGGTATGGTCCCTGGTACCGATAAGAAAAAACAAAGCATGAATATATGTTGGGCGCAGGCGCTTCACATACCCCGCCCGGGACTAAGGACCACGTCAGCTTCCGCAATGCGCTATGTCCCTCTCCAGACTAGCCTCCCCGTGCACACCCCGTGCTCACTCCGTGCTCACCCCGTGCTGACTCCGTGGCAACCTCTGATTGGCCACAGCCAAGTATATAAGCCAGAACCCGCGTCAATAAAGCAGCAGTTCCTGTTACCAACAAGAGTGTCTCCTGTCTCATTGGGGGGCTGCGCCGGTCAACTGGTGGCCCGTACGGGGATCCTCTCTCTCTCCGATGGAACAGAGATGTTAACAGGTAAAACTGCCAAAATGCTGGTAGCGGGGGCTACAGCGCCAGATAGCGGGGGCTATCGGGCAACCTTGGGCGGGCGTCGCAAGGGATTGAGAAACTCGTAAAGAGAGTTCCAGGAGCCATAAAAAGGCAGGCTACAGGGGCGCCGTGAAGGGGCGCGGGGATTAAGCTGTCCCCTAAAGAGAAATTTATCTTAAAACAGGGTAACACTGCCAGTCAGCCGCTGTTAATTGCTTTGAGCGACTTACTGAGAGAAAAGGGACTAGAAATAAAACGAAAGCAAATCCAAAATTTTCTAGACCAGGTTAATAAGGTAGCACCTTGGTTTGGTCCCACGGGCTCCGTCACAATCCCTAGTGGGGACAAACTAGGGAGAGACCTAGATTTTGCAGCAGAAAATGGCCTCCTAGAACCAGGAGTTAGACCTCTTTGGGCGATAGTGAGGAGTTGCCTTGCAGATGCTACATGTCGTGACCATATAAGGGCAGGCGCCATGGTGCTCAGCCACCATCAGACAGAATCTTCCCGCGAGCAATCTTGTGAGCCCAGTGTCGCAGGTGAGGCGGCTGTCCCTGACCCAGAGAGTGAGGACTCTTCAGGTAGTGAAGAGGAGGAAGAGGCACACAAAATGGTGGACGCAGTGGCCGCTGGAAAGGAGGAAGTTAGACACCCAAAGTCAGGCGGGCCTTACTCGGAAGATATAAATGATTTACAACATATGATATCTCAAAGCACATGGATTAATGAAGGGGAGAATGGCCTCCCAGGGCCGCCCCACATAAGGCCTATGGCCCCACAATGGGAACCTGACAAGATACCCCAACCACCTGAATACCACGCTCACCCAGGACCCTCTTTCCCGCAATGTAACTATTTACACCTGATCAACCTCAATGAACAGAATTGAAGATCATTATAGAGGTCTTTAAGCAATACCCACAACCCTTTAACCTACTCTCAGACTCACATTATGTCGTCAATGCCCTGCAAGTGATAGAGATCTCGGGCCCTATCAGGGAATCCTCCAGAGCCCACTCTCTTTTCCTGGAGCTCCGCACGGTGATCCCCTAGATGGATACTCCCAAGAAATAACATGGGGATTCTCCTTGGCGCCCGACTTGCCAAGCAGGACACATGACGTCCCCACGAGCCCCATAAGTAAGGGCTGGAGCTGGTATAACTGGAAGCTCACTAATCGGGCTGGAGCAGCAGGAGATATATCAGCCCTTTTCCAATTAGGCCAGACTACAGAGACCCCTGTCCGTGTTTTTCATAGCAATGTTTCAGGGGTGAGGAGCAACGATTCCTTCACACCCTCCACCTACAAGTCTCAAAAGGTCTTCAATATCACAAAAACCCCAGTCTGCCTGCAAGCTCCCTACCTTTTTCTGTTGTTTGAAGCCACCACAAATATGATTTTTCTAAATTGCTTCACCGCAACCTGTTATGTGTCACAATGTTGGGATAACAGTACACTTTCAGCTGTCGTTATGCAGGTACCCCAGTTCGTACCAATTCCAGTTATGGCGGACCCAGACGAGTTTCCTGTGATCCAGCTCGTGTGCAATAAAATGGGCAGGAATAGGGGCTCTGGCTACCATGGCTACACTTGCCGCATTCGGCAGTCTACTTCTGCTCTGTCGGATTTGCAGACAAAGGAATAGGGACAAAGTAATTATCAAACAGGCATTGCTGGCCGTGGAATCCGGTCAAAGCCTGGCAGCATGGCTCGCCATGCTGTGATGCAGGTGTGGAGCAAAGCATCGCAGGGGGTGTCGTCCTTGGCCAGGAGACACCCCGGTCTCCAAGTCGATGAGCATGCGGGTTGGGCTCATAAAACAATACTCCCGCCCCCTCCAGAAGAGCACCAACGAGTAGTGAGGCACTGTCATGACTGCAGCTGACTCCGTGGCAATGTCTGATTGGCCACAGCCAAGTATATAAGCCAGAACCTGCGTCAATAAAGCAGCAGTTCCTGTTACCAACAAGAGTGTCTCCTGTCTCATTGGGGGGCTGCGCCGGTCAAATATACATACAAGAAGCTTTCCCAAATATGCCTTTTCCCATGCTGTGCTTAACATGTGTTTTCAGTGATCACAGAAGGGCTGGGGATTTAGCTCAGTGGCATAAACACTGGCCTGCCAAGTGCAAGGTCATGAGTTTGATTCCCAGTACCAAAAAAAAAAAAAGATCACAGATATTAA